GAATTTTTTTATCTCATTATCTAGTTTACGATATTCTCTCTTCGAGTGTCCCTTTAATCTCTGAACGCATCTAACCTGTGAGTGAATTTTTTGCAGTTAGCAGACGAAAAAACCATCAGTCATGTTGTTTATTTCAACCAACTTGACTTTCGCGTATCGATCACACCGATCGAAAATTATCAGCAAAGATGAATAAAAGTGCATTTACGACAAACGCATTATCTCGCATAGATAACGCACGATGCTGTCACTGCTAATTTTGCTTCTCGTCTCGATACTTGTATCCAACTCACACGAACCGATAAAATGAAAAATCCCCGTCAGACTTTCGCACCCATTTATCATCAAACTCCTCGAAGTTCGAAGTAAGTTGCGTGCCACGTCATCGTCTTGCAGCACTAATTTAATATCGGCTCTAGCTACAAGTTAAAATTTAATAAGTAGCAGACAGCATGCACTCCAAAAACGAAACAGAACGCAGACACATAAAAGTGACATTACTTTTAGTAAACCGTCTGAACCAGCAGCTCTAAAATCCATTCAGACACATTCGACTCCGTAAAACTTCCGTTTAAATCGGTAATGAAGTGAACTTTTTTAATGACGCATTAAATCCGTTCCGTTAACTTCCGTTAATTGAATTTTATGACTCAAACAAACTCTAGGTACGAGCGGATGGCAATCGAGTAAACAGCGGCGTAAAGCTGGAAATTTTTCCAAATTTATCGCGCTTTTACTTCCCGAGCGTAAGCAAAGGAAGTATGTAATCGAGTCCGTCGGCCGACTCTCTACTTTTACGTTTTCTCGATCTTTCATGACCCCTAGAAGACGAAGAAATAGGTCTCCCATTTCCGTCTGTCTGTCCGTCCGTCTGTCCGTCTGTTGTCCCGGATTTTTATTAGACAGATAATCTCCGAAAGTACTCGACCGATTGTTGTGAAATTTTGTACTTATATTAAGAATATCATGTAGATGGTAAAACGCTAACCAAAATTTGTCTAATCATCCCCACCACTAATGCGATGACGTCACTTCAAAATTGTACATAGTAAATGGGTTTTCAATTGTATAAAATAACATAGTCCTACACATGTAGTTTACAACTCCGAATCGACTTTTCACCCGAAACGTCCAGATTTTTGGAAAAAAAATCAAAATTATAAAACAACATTTTGAAATTTAATTTTTAATCTGCTAACCAGAATGCTTTGAAATGTTGCAGATGTTTTAAGGCTATAAAGAGCATCATAAATCTTTAGTCAAAATATATTTGCTTATCCCATCCAAAAACTTGATGACGTCAGCTCGAAAATTTGCCGAATAAATCATATCTAAAATGTACAAAATATGATGAGTCTGTACTTGTGATCTATCACTCCATTCATATTTTTTGGATTTGCATATACAGGGTGATTCAAGAAAGTAAATGAAAGCGTAAATTTATTTTACTGATTTACTCAGGAACTACAAAACCGAATGCTTCGAAATCTTGAAGATATTTTAAAATTATCATAAGCATGGTAAATTTTTGATCAAAACGTATTTGGTCGTCCCCCCTAAAAAATTTATGATGTCACCACAAAATTTTGCTGAAAAAATCCTATCTAAAATGTACAAAATATGGTGAGTCTCTTCTTGTGATTTATCATTCCATTCAAATTTTTTCGATTTGCATATACAGGGTGACTCAAAAAAATTAATGAAAGCGTAAATTTATTTTACTGATTTACTCAGGAACTACAAAACCTAATGCTTTGAAATCTTGCAGATGTTTTAAGGTTATAAAGAGCATAATAAATTTTTAGTCAAAATATATTTGGTTATCTTCTACAAAAAACTGATGACGTCAGCTCAGAAGTTTGCCGAATAAATTGTATCTAAAATGTACCAAATATGATGAGTCTGTACTTGTGATTTATAATTCCAATCATATTTTTGGATTTGCATATGCAGGGTGACTCAAAAAAATTAATGAAGGCGTGAATTTATTTTATCGATTTAATCAGGAATTAGAAAACCGAATGCTTTGAAATCTTGGGAATATTTTAAAGTTATTATAAGCATGGTAAACTTTTGTTCAAAATATATTTGTTCATCCCTCCTAAAAAAATTGATGACGTCACCCTTAAACTTTGCTGAATAAATCATATCTAAAATGCAAAAATATGATGAGTTTGTACTTGTGATTTATCATTCCATTCATATTTTTTAGATTTTCTTAAGAGGTGGTTCAAAAAAATTAATGAAGTCAATTTATTTTATTGATTAAATTAAAGGCAACACTTATTATTAGTATTACACCCCAACCAACCGAATTTGGTAGACACAAAATTTGTTAAAGGAAAAACTCGGTTGAAACATAAGGGTAGCACGCTTATTTACATCGACTTTAACATTACAGACCTGCATTTGTTTTATGCGCTCACTTGGTTCCGCGAATGTGAAATAGACATGTTTATAATCAACCAATTGTGAATTTCACCGTCGAGAATTAAAATAAAACCCAATGTTTTATATAATAAGCGGAAGTCGAAGCAATAAAACCGATGGTCGTTTTGTTTACAGTTTCTCTGTTTGACTCTCACGTATGGTGTTACGCCTGTCATCTTAAATTAAGAATGTTTATACATACACGATTTTCAGTTGCCTCTGAAACGTATACGTGAGTAAATTGTTTCGTTATTTTATTGATTATTACAAATCAATATTCAAAACGACCCAATTCATTTTCCCGAAAATTTGAGAATATAATAGTTTTATTCTTAGTTTTACACTACATCTATCCCAACTGATATACGTGTCCTTGCAAAAATGTTGATGACGTCATCGCAATTTTTTTTTAAATTCCCACTACAAAAATGTAATGAGAAAAAAAACACAATAGGCATGCAGTTGGTGGATCTTTACAACTAATGTTGGCCAAAAAAACAGAGCCCATTCTGGCGAGCACGCTCCCAGTAAATAAACCGGGGTCGTTAGAAACAAAGTAACAGCGACACGTCACAGCGTATAATTAATTATTTGATAAAACTGGATTGGTAAATTTATACAGGCAGCTCAGGCGAGAAGCTTTGGGTATATTTACACGTCCGGCCCAGCAGGTTTATTAATGGAGAGTCTATTTTATGCAATTATGGGAGCAGTTATGGGACAGGAAGAGGAATGAGGGCCCTGGGGTGTCTAGATACAGACTTGTTGTTTTTCTGTATTGAAAAAGTTTGTTTTTCGCCGCGTTCTCAGTTGAATAAGTAGGAAGACGGGCGATTATTTAGACACTTTATGGCGTTATAACGCTTGTCGTAATCTGCTTCGACCGGTTTGGGACGGCTTTGTTGTTGTCGGAGCGAGGGGCTGCGTTTTTTAGAGGAAAACGAAAATGTGGCTCAGTTTTGTCGAGAGAAGATCGGTGTTTTTTGGAAGCGCTATTTTACAAAGTACGAATGTGATTATTCGCGGGGATTAAAGTGTGGTTTCTAATCTCTATAAAGATATACATACATACGAAATTTGACAACAATCAGTCCAGTAATTTCGGAGATTATATGTGTCTAAAAAAAATTGGTATAGACAGACTGACGGAAACGGGAAACCACTCTATTACTATGTGTCCTTCGCTTACGCTCAAGGAGTTTTAAAGTGGTTTAAAATTATCGTTGACGGTCCTTTGTTATTAAGCGCTCGATAAGTTGACTAGTGTTTGTGATAGTACTGGAATGCATAAATAGTTGTGATAAGAGTGCATTTTTACAAACAATACAAATTTACAAAAGAAAATGGCTTGTTTGTTTATGCAATTGAATAATATAGTGCGCAACACTCGGAAAATATAATTCAAAATTTGGGTTCATGGATTTCAGATAATAATTTATGTTTTTTGGAAATCTAGGTTGTAAATTGGGTAAGAGGATTACCAAAATCACGTTTGACGTTGTTTGTCAGTTTTCTAATCCTACTGCAAACATAATATAAGAACGACAAATCTATTTGTGCTCGTCTATCTGAAAAACTTGAGACTTTGCGAAAACCACTCACGACTCTCGCGTCGGGCTCAACAACGGCAACGCCATGTAGGTCATCACCCGGCCAAGATTAATCTTAATTCCTTTTTGTTAGATAAAATTCAAGAGTTTATTTTTATGTATGAAACACGAGCAGATAATTGAGGTCTAGCCGCCTAATCTACTTTTCGTGTATGGACTTCCTTTTTCCGAGCTGTCACCCGAAAAAATCCTCTTCGGAAATTTCTACATAGACGCGAACAACGCTAATTTATGACCAGATCTAGAAAGCCGTGTTATTATAAAGAAATTACAAAATAACGAGCGTACGAATGCAGAAGCTGTGATCCCATTTTCAGCTCTCTCGCAGTTCGACGACTATCAGTTAATTATACGACCGGTGCGAGCCGCATCCAGTACGTCTATAAATCGCCAATTAATTTATACATATTTATAACCGGCCATTTATTTTCTTTGCATAATCATTATAAATTCGGAAATCTTGAAAATCCTCGTAAACTTGCCTAATATTTAGATAATAAAGTACACGTGTGCAGCGTTTTTTGTGTCGACAATTTGTTTAAGGTTATTATTAGAAGATGCCGAAATAGTGGACGCTCGGAGGAATTCACACCTATGATCGAAGCAGCGAAAACCTAATAAGTTTGGTTTCGGTTTCGGTATCGGCTGCATCACGCTTTTCTCGGAACGAGCGTTTCCGCGATTCCGTTCGTTGAACTTTTGGTACAGTTTGCGTTCGCTCGAATTGCTCGCGTTTCATGCGAACCCCGCGACGCACAGCCGTGCAGTCTGCAGCGGCACAATATCTCGCGTCTCCCGAAAATCGTCCTTAAGGCGATTTTTGCCGTCGCGGCCGGCTCAGCTGTTACTATGCGAGCGATCAGCTGATAGCACTCGTACAATGGTCCGTCTGCGACCAATGAGCGCGCGCCTCCGCCCCCCACCGCCGCGGATTCATCGCTTGCCGGCTTCTCGCCGCTGAATCTGATGAAATGCAGTCAGTTTCTCTACGCACGCTAGGAATAAAGTAGTTTTTTCCCCCGATCACCACCGACTCGAACTTTCTACGATGCAGTGATCCGACTTTTCTCGCGCTAGTTGCTAGTTCTTCCTTCTGCTGAGAGTAGGCGCCGGTTCTCGAATTTTGGCGAAAAGTGATAGCAGTGGCCGGTGTATGTGCGTGTCGATGACTGCGTGAGGTGAGGATACGAGGCACCCTCCGAGCCAAGGGTTTAGAGCGAGAGGTGGGACGACTGGCAAAATTCCGGTAGCCAAACACAGCCTCGGACCCGTCCACGAAGGGACGACGATGGGACAGATACCCCAAAATGTGAGTTAGCCCACCTTCGTTGTAGCGCATGGCCCCGGCCTACCCCGATTTCGGTGACGCAACCGGCAACCTGTCGAAATCGAGCCGGCTTTGGATTTGCGGAAGTACTCGGAAACGCGATGGGTGCACGAGTGTGTAAATTTTTGTGAGTTGTGACACGACTCTTCGACCTGGGTGAGTCCGAGCTGAGGTTGAGCCGCTTAACCACTGTTTACGAAGTACCGAAAACAGCTGACTTGCAATGTTTACCGGTCCTTTGATTTTTTCACCATTAACTTCGAAAAACAGAATGATACAAAATTAAGTTATTTGCGGTTTTCGTAACGGAACGGATGAGCCGAAATTGCGAAAGAACACAAAAATGATGTACAATTTGTGGTTTTGGAAAAAATCCTGATTGTTGTCGAGTTAAAAGTGGACAAAGTTGAGTTTGATGTTAACCCAACTTTTTTTTTCCCATAATTTGTGTAATGTTGGTTGCATAATTGCCTTCCAAAAATAAAACCTCGCGTCGCCGTTCGAACTTATTTTCGTTCGAAAATTTACTGAGCATAAAAGAAAAATGTGTTGCAATAAAAAATAATATTTTGCTTGTTAGCAGTTAAAACTAAATGTTCTACAGGTGTCCCATTCTTTATGTTTAACGGCAAAAAACGTATTTCGTTCCAACGTAAATCTTTTGAATTTTCTCGATTAAAATACCGCTCGATCGACAACGTTTTGATGCAGAGTTGGCTCCGATCGTTACACATCACTGATTTATTTTCATTTTTAAGGTTAACTTTGTGGTTCGAAATGATGTTGTTTTCGCTACTAGTGTGTGTATTTTGTGTTTACGTTTGCAAAGACGGATTGATTTATGTTGGTAATAAATATCGCCATTGCTTGACAGTTTAATTGTTGCCCATTGACGCAAACGCATCAAAAACAATATCACACTTAATACGGCACCGACAGGTAAGGACCTGCACGGACGACATGCCAGATTTCGAGGGATCATTTACCGACCACCGCGCTCGCCGGACCTCAGTCCCGACCCTCGAGCTCTTCGCGGCGCCGCATTCCCAACTTTCCCCATCCTTCCACCGGCCCATTACCATGCAAATGTCACAAAACCTCCTCGTTTGACAAAAACACCAATATTAGACGTTTAATTTACGATTTTGTTTTCATGCGGTTCGGAACCGGTTTCGGTTGATGGTGTGATGTCTAAAAAAATCCACTTCTTGAGACCCACTCATCCATGCACCGGTTGTGAAGTTAATCCGCGATGATTATCCGCGATTTTACCAATTATTGCACGATTTCACGGCCAATTTCGAGATCGAAGAGTCGCCTCCGAACGGAAGTGGGTCACACATCAACCGTGACATTTGCTCCAATTCGAGCGCCCATTAAAAAACGGGAATCGCGGAAGACGCCGAAACAATGGCGCTGTCACGTTTCGTGCGATGGCCTGACCTGACCCGAATACGCCAGCGGAGCGAGCGAGACGTGCGGGAGAAACTAAAGAGCCGCGAAATCGGGTTTGCAGCGGCAATCGGCCTTCCCGTTGCATCAGTCCATAAATTTCGAACACGAACTACATCCTCTCCTTTGTAGTAGTTTGTTGATCCGCCACGGTTCTAAATTTATCGCGAAGAGGCCGACTTTTATGCTCCTTGCATCCGCCCGAGTCGTCCTTATCGTGGAGGTCGCCGCGCCCCTTAATTTACGGCGAATTTCCTGCAATATGGGTCTTTCTGGCCGGGCAATAAGGACGCCGGAGTGAAATTTAACGCTGCGCCGAAATCGACACGTAACGATCGCCGCCAGAAAACCAATTGCGGCGTTATTTCCACCTACATCTTAGAAGTCTTCGGCGATTCTGAAAGAGGACGGGTCGAACCGTGTTCGTATAGTTTTACTTTTGCGAAAATCGTGACGTAAGTCGTGGAACTATCCCGCGAAGATGTAACCCCGACTTGCGAAATTGCGTTACGTGTTGGCGAAAAAGTCGCCTTAAGCAGACCTAGGGTAGGTCTTCTTCTCGCGGGGTGAGTGCGAGTAGTCGGGGAATGGTGCGAGATGGGGCGCCAATCCGTTTTCGGGTAGTCGCCAGTAGTATTGTTTTCGCTTACGGGCTCTTTCTTGCCGATTTCGGAGCGCCCTTAATATTAAGGGCGACTAATCCTGTTCCGGCTCGACGAAACTTGCGCCGCCATATACACGTAAGCCGATAGCATCTTGTTTTACTCGACTCCGCCTGATGAGATTAGTTTTAAAGGGATATATTGCCTAATAGCAGCGGATAAACTGACTCAATTTCGTACTGCTTAATCCGATAATAGACTGATTTACATTAATGACTTGTGAAATTACTCTGTCATGTTTTCGGTTCGCGTTAAACGGCGTCAGGCCGGAACACGTATGGCTTTGCGAGTCTCAAAGCAAAATAAACATGGGAGGTTTTAATTACCGCGATTGCCTTTTAGGCCGGAGAGCTTTCCGATTAATACACGAATAACGCCATCAGGCCGATTACGCAAACAGTAAACACGGGCCGGGAGGGCGGGCATGCCCTAAATATGACTCACTTCGCTCGCCAAGAAGCGCTTTCAACCGTCCGAGCTGCTGCTTCGCCGTATATCGTCAACGCAATAGCATAGGCCCCGTTGTAGACTCGTGTGTGACTCCTCGAATTTGTAGTTTCTTTGAGAGTCCCAGTACGACTAGTTGCGGAAACACAATACTTTCGCTTCTGCTAATTGGCGATCCCAATTAGCTTAATTTATTTGCCAATTAATTAGCGATCGGCACACGTGCGTCTGCCCCCGATTTTTGCCGCCGCCGCCGCCCCTCGGGACCGCTCGTCGGGAATCCGTTCCCTTTTCAAGGCCGCGCAGTGGTCTCGGGTCATTTGGAGCCTCCGGCCTGTCCGTCCGTCCCTATTGATTTTGTTCGCTTGATTTTATTGCTTATGATAAGAAGGTAATATTTTCCGTTTTATGTTCCTCGTCGTCTTTAATCGAATTCTTCGCCCGGTATCCATCAAGCCGGCTATGTTTCAATACAGGGCTCGGAAAAATTGTAGAACAGAACGATTGGAGGGACGATGGAATTTGCGGCCGCGTTACGGTTCCACCCATTTTTTTTACCATGTGGGTGTGCGGTTTGTGGTTTTGGAACGGTATTGTCTCGATTGTTTGATCTCGTTATCGGCACGCTATCTGGAGTGAAGAAATTATATCGGAACCTTGGACCCGAGAAGGTTTTTCAGTTCCTTTTTTTAACAAAGCTAATCGATCAACATTTCCTCGTTTGATCCAGTCATTATCATCATTATTATTGTATTAAAAGTATAGAAAGATGGTCTTCCTGGTAAGAAAATGTTGCCAAGCTCAAAATAGCCGCGCCGAATAAACAAATGCCGTCGAAATATCGATACTTCCCCGGATTGAAGGCCGCCTCACACCCACCTCTGGGATGCACCCCACAGCACGTTCCATCGATCACGGCCAACTCCTTCAATTAGCACATTCGCGCCTCGGCTCATCAATAAATCGTCATCTCTGAACACTCCCGATCTAAAATTAAAGAAAGCCCCAACTTCCTGCTCCGTAAATACCGACCAACTTTCAGCTGAATTCGCGAGTTTCGGACGAACTCCGCGGTAACGACCGTCGTTTTCTCGGTAATTTAGCCGAGCGGAGCCCGACAGGTCTATTTTATTAATTAACTTGAAAAATGAGCGAACGAGGCGAGTTTCTAATCGAGCGTTGTTGTCCCTTTGCAGCTTTCATCGCCGGCTGCCGCCGCGCTTATCTCGGCCCGATTCGAGGTGCAGCCGCAAAAATGGAAAGAGGAAACTCGGAATTTTCAGGTTGCTTTTCTAGGTTGTTTTCTCTTATGGTAATGGACGGCGCGAAATCGGCGAGGGTCACTCAAGCTGCTGCGATCGGTCCTCTGCTATCCCTTCGGAAGGAACCGGGGCGTGTCCGTCGCGGTCGTTCTACCTGGATCCTGTGGTCGAAGAGAATTTCGTTTGTAGGGCGCAAAAGAAGTGGGTCTGGAACGCGAGCGGCCGTCAGCGTGCGTCGACCCCGGCGGACCATGGTGGAGTCTTCTGGGCGCCTGTCGTGTGGGTCGGCCGCTGGATTTACGATCGTGACCTCTCGGCGGACAAGGGCCCAGTTTTCCTCGGGTACGTGATGACGAAACGCAGCTACTTTCGATTCCGTGCTCACCTCGGCTCGACCAAGAAGGAGAGTGCGAGCTAATAAGTCTTGAATAAATAAATCGGCGGGGCTTCGTTAGAAATTTTAATGTTGGTTTAATATTAGATTATGTAAAGTGTCTGGAATGAATGGGGATCGGAGGGCATCGGGCTTTGTTTGCGTTCTGGAATTGAACGGGGGCCGTTAATTAGAATGTCAACTCATTAAAGTATTTGTCTAAATTGTTCGGAGAGAGTAAATTCGGGTTAAAAATGGAGAGCGGCGGAGCGTGGAGATTATGGGAGAGATTGCGCGGACAAAGAAAGAAACAATCGTATCTTTTTAAGGTCAATTTAAATTTTATGGGATGTACGGCGGGGATTTGCATGCGGGCGTGCGTGGGGGCGGAGGAGAGACTTTCGTGCCGTCTGACACTCCTGGCGTGCTGTCGAAGTTCTCGAGAGACCAACTTCCGAAAGTATGTTTCTGGATCTGTAGCTACGGCAGTTTGTTTTATATCAAGTGACACTATCTTCGCTCGTCTGTTCCAGTTTCTTCGATTCGAGTTTCCTTGCTTTTGGGTTCGCTCGAACTACTCGTTGCTACTGATAATAAAGATAATTTAGGACAACCAGTTTTCTTTCAAACAAAACTAGCGTCAGTGTGTGCCTTGATCCATCTAGAGGTCCTCAAATTGCGATTGCTGCCAGAATTTGAACAGATTTCTAGGGGTCCATGTTCTGGAATTGGCTACAACTCGATGATGTGGTATAGATGAGAAATTTAATCTCTCTGTAACATCGGCAACTGATTCGGTTACTCCTGAAGATCCTTATCATCCATCACTGGAGATTACATTCGGTGTTAGTAATGATAGGACAAAAAAACAGAAACATGGGGATCATATTTTGGAATTTAATTTTAAAAAAGCTAATTTAATTGATCTTTACACAGAACTAGCAGAACTTAATTTTGATTTTCTTAAGAATTTAAATAATATACATGATGCAGTTACTATGTTTTATGATGCCATACATCCAATTTTACGCAAATGTGTGCCTACAAAGAAAAAACCTGCCGGTAATTATCCAGTTTGGTATAATAGAAATATAATCAATCTGATCAAACAAAAATATAAATTTTGGCTGCAATTTAAGAAAACGAACTGTGTAATTGCTCATGAAAATTTCAAAGCACTGAGAAGGGACATAAAAAAATTTGTTAAAGATGCTTATTTGATATACATGCATAATGTCTCAGCTAATGTTAAAAACGATCCGAAAAGGTTTTGGGGATTCATCAAGGCCAAAAACAACATTTCATCTGTTCCTACTACGATGTCTTATAAAGAAAATGCTTTAAACAGCCCCCAGAACATTGTGGAAACCTTTGCAGATTTCTTTAAAACAGCTTTTAACATCTCTAATTCTGTTCAAAATTCTGATTACAATAGTTCAAATGATCCAAGTATCGACTACCTCAATATAGAGAACTTCGATGAAGAAATTGTATTCAAAGCTATGCGTAAATTGAAACCAACTATGACTGCAGGACCGGACTTAATACCATCATTCTTAGTGAAAGATTGTGCGACAATTTTGGCAAAACCGGTGACAATATTATTTAACATAATCTTGCGTACATCCACATTTCCTGATGTGTGGAAGCAGTCGAGGATTACTCCTATTTATAAAAATGGCGATAGATCTAATGTTACCAATTATCGACCCATAACAATAATTAACAATCTGGCAAAAGTTTTTGAACATGTCCTTCATATTTTAATCTATCCACACGTTTCGAATGTGATCACAGATAGTCAGCATGGTTTTGTGAAAGGTAGGTCTACGGTGACTAATTTGGTGCTGAAGACACAATATTTATCTGAGGTGTTAGACGAACAGGGTCAGGTGGACTGTATTTATACTGATTTTTCCAGGGCGTTTGACCGTATAGATCATCGCCTTATGTTGATTAAACTAAAATATTTTGGTTTCTCAGATCATTTGATAACTTTAATAAATTCTTACCTCTTGGGTAGAACTCAGTATGTCTTTTTGAATGGTTATCGGTCTAAATGGTATGAACAACTTTCAGGTGTGCCTCAAGGCTCGGTTCTTGGGCCTCTATTGTTTAATATGTTTATTAATGACATAACTTTACATTTAACAGCGAAATGCCTAATTTATGCTGATGATCTAAAAATTTTCCATCAAATTCGAAATTGGAGTGACTGCCTTAATCTTCAACGTAATCTGGATACATTAAGTAACTGGTCTGTAAATAATAATCTTCCACTAAACTATAGTAAGTGTTATGTCATGACTTATTCAAGAAAACAAAATACTATCGATTTTGATTATTCCATAGCTAGTAACGTTTTGGAAAGACTACACCATATAAAAGATTTAGGAGTTACATTTGACCTAAAGTTGAATTTCATACAGCATATTGAATGTATCGTTGCGTCGGCGTACAAATCTCTTGGCTTTATCATTCGCAACTCCAAAGGAATAGAGGTGATAGATTCGTTGAAGATGTTATATTTTAGTTTTGTTCGGTCTAGACTTGAATATGCATTTGTAGTTTGGAATCCTATTTATAATATTCATATCAACAGTGTAGAAAAAGTGCAGCGACGTTTTCTTAAATTTATTGCATTTTTGGAGGATGGTGTTTATCCTGTACAAGGTTTTCCAAATGATCTTTTGCTATTTAGATTTCAAATGCCAAGTCTGGTAAAAAGACGTAGCGTGGATAGTATCGTTCTTCTATCAAACATTATTAATAATGGCATTAATTGTCCTGCTCTCGTGTGCCAAATTTACTTACGTGTGCCTAGATCCAACTTAAGGAGTGGCAGAATTTTTGAACTCCCTCATTCTAGAACTAATATGTTAAAATCTTCGCCATTGTATCTGGCAATTTTGAACTATTTGAATGTAGAAGAAACTATTGACATATTTTGTTGCAAACCAGTTGATATTAAAAAAAATCTCCAAACTCTATCTTAATTATCTATTTAGTTCTTTCTATGTGTTTGGGGTTTCTTTGTTTGTTTTATTTATTTCATTAAATTTGTTTTCTTTTTGGTAGTTGTGGATCTCGGTAAATGGGTTACATACCTGTTGAGTTCCCGTATTTCAATAATAATAATAATAATAATAATAATAAATTTAGACCGGCTCTTGAAAGACTCGTATTTTTGAAGTGGCTTGAAAGAATCTCGGGGACGCCTCGTGTCTGGTTTTTGAAGTAGTTCGAAAGAATCTCAGGGACCTCTTGGGGTTTATTTTTGAAGTCATTTCGAAGAATCTCGAAGACTTCATCTATTTTGTTTTTGAAGTAATTGAAAGTATCTCAGGATATCTAAATACTACGGCCACCGATTCCAAATTTCCAGATGGTCGTACAATTATTCGATACATCTTTACCATGCGGTAGTGACCCCGCTTATGCTTTCATTTCCGACTTCTCCGCTAAAGAAACTGCCGTCAATAATTTTTTATGTAGTTTCTATACTTCCTATATAAAACGTAACCGCCTCCCCTTTCATAACCGCCCCCTCGATCACTTCCACTCGCCCTTCGCTCGCAAACAAGCGAATCTATCGCAATAAAGAGAAAATAAATTCCCGAATCCCGGCTAACATCCATGGCAACGAAACAATACGAACTTGAACGGAAATAATACCTCTGGAGGTATTTCGTCCATGCGAATCCATTGCACCCTCTAATAAGCCCCGGCATCTCTCCAGCCCCTTGCTAATTGCTCATCCCGACAAGGACTTTTCCATATCAACAAGTATCGACACAGCTCCGCGCATCCGTAAACAACAACATCCCTTTTCGTCATTCCGCTCCTCGGAAGATCCGACGTGCCGCTGTAAATGTGTCAACGCCAGAAGCACGAAGGTAAACAACACATAATTTAATGATCGGTCAAGGACTTGCATGCCTGCAACGTGTCATTATCTGCAGGGATCGATCGGCGGCGATTTTTGACGGCGGCGGCGACACTTGTGGAGCCTCTTGACCTCGCAACAAATCGCCGCGAAATGGTCCGGAGGGTGGGTTCTTTTCGGGTATCGATTGGTCGAGGATAAAACCACTTGACGTTGTGGGCCACCTGCTGTTTCGAACTTGCAACCCTGTTGTGACGTGAAAATGTGCTCGGGATTCATGCAAACATGTGGCGAACATGCTGGAGGGGGATGGCGACAGTTTGTTCGAAGGGGGCCGGATTGCACCCTTAAGAGGTATGAAATTCGTGTGACGATCCGCGTAGTTATAAAATTTCCAACAACTCTATCAATTCAGCTTGAACGGCTTCCCAGAACTCGTTTCCCAATCGCCCGGACTATCAATTTTGATAATTTTGTTTTAACACGAGTTCTAGGAATTGCCATTCTTCCTTCGAACAATTGTGACTTGTGGCAAAATCGGAATCCCTCTGCACCAATCCGGTGCGCAGTGCAGCAGTTCAAAGTTCTTGCAGAGTCAGCTGATACGTCTTGATAAAGAGTCATCGGCTTCATTCTTAATTTTCTTTGTCTGCCGACTATCACTATTTACTTAGACTGGTTTACAATCTGGTTTTCGAGGGAAATGTTTACAACCGCGCCGAGATAACGCCGAATCCCGCGTTATATAACTCATCGTCGACGAAGAGTACCTGACGGTTTCTGCACTTCGATAACTGCGAACCCGCGTTGCGCAAAACCGACGATAAAGCAGCCAAAATTGAACCATTTCAAAGTTCGAAGATTGCCTTTCGACGAGAACAAACACGCTGCCGCTGGATTATATAACACGTTTGACCCAAATAAATTATCTGAAAGCGCTGTTGATAAAAATATTACGCATATTGGCAGCGCTCGAATTCGAAAAGCCGACGGAATCTTTTGGGTTTGGTTTGTTTACCGCGGCCCTGCTGAATATTTCGGGAGCCAGAACCTCCCGAAATTGTCACGAGGAAGCACTGATAATAGCCGCTACCTGTTTTCTCTCTTTTGTTTGAAACCCGGATTTACCCCGTCGATTTCAATAATGATGAACCGTCGTGATCCAAACACTTATCTCTCATTAGTGATAATGGTGCATGCAAAGTACACTGTTAAAGTAGATGCACGATAACAACGGCGCTGTTGCTAGGTACCCAATTTTTTGCTCGTGTTTGTCCCGAAATTCGCCCTTATTTTCTTTGGTTTGATTCGATTTTGGTGGTCTAATTCCATTCGGCCGAGGAACGTTGAAAAATGACATTAAGCAGAGCGCCGCCGAAAATAGATCGTCCTCACGAGTTTTATTTCGAGGCGTATTCTGGCCATCATCAAAAACGCTTTCGACGGTGTAAACACGAAGATAAAAGGAATCAAATTAGTGGATTTGTGGGGAGGTGGGGGGTGCGCAATGACGTCAGGAGGCTAAGAGAGTATTACAAAAGAATTTGCAGATAATCGGGACCGGCTACAAACAGATAGCGTTATCTTCGGTTTTTAAAAACAAATTATTGTGAGAGAGCTTACGTAAGGTCGAAGTGCCCGAGTGCCAAGTTTGACTGAAGCTGCTGATTGATAATTGGCCTTAAGAACCTTTGTCCTCGGAGAATTCTGCTTCTTTTTGATTGTTTTGTATCAAAAATTGATAGCGTCGTACTGGCGAGGTATCAGTGTACAAAGTTCACAAGTTTAAAATATCATTTGGCAAAATGAGTAAAAATTACGCTACTACGATTAGTAATTTATTTATATTTCAAGTTGTGAAGTTAGTTGAGTTGGTTGTGATATCCAATTTGATAACTTGATAATATTTAGTGATATTGACAGATTCGAAAAACTGGCGGACCTTTATCGAGATCGTCTGTCTGTCTGTCTGTCTGTATGTATGTCTTATTTGTTCGTCCGCTCTAAATTTCTTATTTTTCGATTTCCCGATTCTTGGACTTTTCGTTTTTCAATTTTTAAATTTTTGGGTTTTCAGATTTGCGTTCTCTCAATTTTTCGATTCTTTCATTTTTAGATTTTTCATATTTTTAAATTTTTTATTTTTCGATTCTTCGTTTTTCCGTTTTTTATTTTTTTTAATTTCCCATTTCACGATTTCTGGAATTCATAATTTTTCAATTTTTGGCGTTTCTAAGTTTTCAATTAATCGAGTTTTCGATTTCTCGATATTTCAGCTTTAGAATTTTTCAATATTTCGATTCTTCAATTTTTTGATGTTTTGATTTCTCGTCATCTGGATTTTTAAATTTTTGGAATTTCTAAGTTTTCAATTTCTCGTTTTCGCAATTTTTCAATTTTTGGTGTTTCTAAATTTTCGATTTTTTGGGTTCTCTGTTTTTCAATTGTTCGGGCTTTTGTTTTGTCAATTTTTGGATTTTTTAAATTTTCGACTTTCACTTATTGATTTCTAGATTTTTCAGTCTTTCGTAGTTTCAGTTCTGGGATTTTTCAGTTTTCAGATTTTTCGTTTTTTATTTTTTTTTTTAATTTTCGATTTCCCGATTAATCGTGTTTTCGATTCTTTGATTCTTCGACTTTTCAATTTTTTGATGTTTTTACTTCCCGATTTTTCAATTTTTGGATTTTCTAAATTTTCGATTTCTCAATTTTTAAATTTTTGGGGTTTCTTAATTTTCGATTCTTGAATTTTTCGATTTTTCAATTTCAGGAGTTCCTCAATTTTCAATTTCTCAATTTTTCAGGTTTTTGTTTTTTCAATTTCTGGATTTTTTAAATTATCGACTATTTCACTTTTCGATTTTTCGATACATATTTCAATTTTTCGAAGTTTCAGTTTTGGGATTTTTCAATTTTTGGTGTTTTTAAATTTTTCGATATTTCCGGTGTGGAATTTTCAATATTTCGATTTTTTTTTGATGTTTTGATTTCTCGACTTGTAAATTTTTCAATTTTTGGAGTTTTTAAATTTTTAGTTTCCCGATTTCTCAAATTTTCCATGTTTCGATTTCTTGACTTGGCGATTTCCCGATTTTTCGTTTTTTCAATTCTTCAGTTTTTTAACTTCTCAGGTTTTCGTTTTCTCAATTGTTGGTTTTTAAAATTTTAATTTTTTCAAATTTGCGGTGTTTCCATTTCCCGATTTTTCAATTTTTGGATTTTTCAACTTTTACTCTCCGATTTTTCGATTTCTCAATTTTTCAAATTTTGATTTTTCAATTTTTCGAAGATTCAGTTTTGGGATTTTTCGCTTTCTGGATTCACGACTTTCCGTTTTTATTTTTTATTTAATTTTCCACTTCAGGATCTCTCGAATTCACAATTTTTCAATTTCTCGATTAATCGACTTTTTGATTTTTCGATCTTTTTATATTTCGATTTCTCGATGTTTCAATTCTTCAATTTTTCGATATTTCAGTTTTGAAATTTTTTGATGTTTTGATTTCCCGACTTCAAAAAATCGGGAACTACACTCCTAAGATACGACTGATTTTGGCAAATGACATACCTTCCAAGAAAAGAGAGGGTGGGTGGGCGGGGCTAGTACTTGTTAAGATAAGACAGATTTTGGCAAATATTATACTTTTTAAAAAAATGAGGGCGGGTGGGCGGGATAGTACTTGATACACTGATTTTGGGAAACGATATACTCTTTTAAAAAGTAAGTGAGTAGGTTGGTGGTAGCTTGTACTTGCAAGTACTACCCCGCCCACCCACCCGCTATTTTTCGAAAGGATATATCTTTTGCCGAAATCATTCTTATCTTAGCAAGTACTAGCCCCGCCCACCCGCCCTCTTTTATCTTGGAAGATATATCATTTGCCAAAATCAGTCTTATCTTAGAAAGTGCAGTACTTTACCAGTACTAAAAAACTAAAGGGAGGGTGGGCGGGGTTAGTACTTGTTAAGAAAAAAAATAAGTGGGTGGGTTGGCGGTAGCTTGTACATGCAAAATTTTCAATGTTTCGATTTTTGGAGTTTCTAAATTTTCAGTTTCTCAATTTCTCGAATTTTCCGTCTTTTTTTTTTGTTTTTTCAATTCTTCAGTTTTTTTCTCAAGTGTCAATTCAATTTTTTCAAATTTTTGGTGTTTGATTTCCCGATTTTTCAATTTTTGGATTTTTCAACTTTTAGACTTTTTAAAATTTTGGTTTTTCAATTTTTCGAATTTTAGAATTTTTGATTTTTCAATTTTTTGATGCTTTGATTTCCCAATCTCCGATTTTTTGAGTTTTCAATGTTTCGATCTTTTAATGGTTCAATTTCCTGGTTTTTAAATTTTTTGATGTTTCAGTTTATCAAATTTGGGCTAATTCGATTTGTCTATTTTTCAATTTTTCGACTTCTTGACTTTTCGATTTCTCGTTTTTTTATTTTTCAGTTCATCGATTATACGATTTTTTGATGTTTCTATTTCCCGATTTAAAATTTTTTTAATTGAATTTTTCAAATTTTCGATTTTTTCGTTTTTCAATTTTACAATATCTCGATTTTTCCGGCCACTGATTTTTACTTACAGAAATTAAAAAAAAAATCGAAACGAATTGTTATGATTTTTCCTTCGACCAATTTTTTGTCCTAAATCAAAAATTACATCACTAGTGAAGGATCAGTAATCAAAATTTAGAGCAAATTGGAAAATATCAAACAGGTGATTTTCTTAGAATATGATATTGATTTTTGCTTTCGTCAGCCTGTTGCTTGTACACACTACGAAAATAAAAATGTATTTTGTGCGGTGTTGTTTTTTATTAAAAATAAGTTTGCACCTGCCAGCTCGGTAATTTCACCCTCGCGTTGTTCGTCGCCCCTTCCACCGGCGTCCCTCCGCGTCGCGACGCCTCCGTCATCCGTTGTTTCGAGTCGGGCTCCGGAGGCTCCGGAGCCGGCGCGTGTTATTGGCATATGCATTTATTTGAGCGATGGAGGTCGGTCGGGCCGTAATCGAGGGTCCTGCGTAAGCACAAAAAGGCCTTGCACACATACAGGTGAGGCACGTGTTATGGCCTTAATAGCCCTCGCGGCAATTACGCAGCGCGAGTTCGTGTAAAGCTGCAAAGTCCGCACATTTAGGACTTGTCGGCACGCAACGCTTTATGCCATTACGGTCTTAATTCGGCCGCAGCGCTCCACATCAAACTATTAAACAATTAGGAAATTTACGCGGCCGTTGAGCCGGCCCTGATCGGGATTTAATGCGATTTGTTGTTGTTGTCGACGTTCGGGCTTAGTCAGCGCGTTTTTCTGGTCGGGGGTTTTCGCGAATAATTAGTGCGGAGTGGCACGCTTCGGTGGGCATGTGGGTTAGCAAAAAGTGGGCCCGAGGAAAGTAAGAACGAGCGAGAGTGGTTCGGTTCGGCGGCCTCGGTTCGGCCGGGACTTTAAACTACCGAACCGACCGCTTCGAAAAATCAAATTCGTCGACTTAGTTACCGTCGGAACCCAGCGACGACCTCACCCGAAGACTTCCCAACTCGATTACTTCCTCTAATGCAGTATCAGCAAGTTAAGCCATTGTTTCCGAATTAATTGTAAATTTGTGGCTTTCAACTAATAATTAAGGCCACCTGAAACTCGGAGTGCAGCCGCCGCCACGACCGCACTAAATCACATCCAAGACTTCGACTCCCGTCCTTAAATAAACAGGGCTTTTATTATGAATCATTACACACGCGAAATTAGCACAAAGACCGATTTTAAGACACGAGCTATTTTCGGAAAATCATGGTCAACGATTCAAAAAGTTAGCAGAACCACTTTCAACAATGAAAAACAAAAGCGCTCCGCATAACGTCTTCCTCACCAAGAATTTTCATCAGGTTTCGGCGTTATCTCACCCTTTCAGCAGGATCGTGCAGCAGGAAACGAGTTTTTTCGAGTTAATCGCCGGCCGCAATAGTTTGTGCTGTGCACTGATAAAATTATCGCGTTCTTGTCGCCCATATGACTTTTCAGCGACCAACAATGGCTTTGTTACGAAGGCGACGCGAGCGGTTTCGTCGCCCCTGCGCTTCCTGTTTTCCCAAGGAGAAACTGCAATTAATGCAACGCGGAAAAAATCGTCCATGTTTTTGAAAAATCCACCGAGTCAAGTGGAAATGTGTTTCGCCGCTTTTTCTCGATCCTGCTGCACTGCAGTCTCTTTTTCCTGCGACACCGCTTTCGAACGCTCCACATGACTCACTCCAGGCTTTGTTCCAGACAGTAGTAAAAGGGAAAAGTTCGGAAGAAAAAACTACATACACTTTATTGATCATCTGGTTTTATGTTGTTTTTATAGAATCGGGCGAGTGCCAACTTTTAATAACGCGAGTTCATGTTTGTGTTTCGAGATTGGCGCTGAAAAAGGCCAGATTTCGGACAATGCACAATACGCGAAAGGGGAATCAATTAATTCGTGGCAGGATTGCTCACAATGAGGGCTTTGTCTCGTTCAATGTTGCAGGAATCCGGCGAACAATAGACACGTCGGAATTCGGGGGGCAATAATATCGCCTGCTCCCTCAGGACCGATCTGTATACATACACAGATCGTCCGCGGACGCGGCGAAGCGACGAGGTCCCAGAGCTGCCCCTTGCAAAAATCGCGTCTGTTTTAAATTGTTTCCCGGTCTTTTATCAAATTAAGTCGAAAGCGCGCCGCCCCTCATCCGAGTTAATGCGCCTTTTGACGATTTAAAAGCAGAGTGTTTTCTCCTAATGCAACATTGATAACAATTCCATATCGCCGGACAAGGCTCAACTTCCCCTGCTGGTTGTTCTCCCCCTTTAAATTTACGATCGAATTTTGAATATATTATGAATCATGTGTCGACCCTTCGTCCGGAAAATCCCGAGAATTATTAAAGGAAATAAATTTCGACGCGCTCCGTAATTAGGCAAAAAATCGCAATTACCGTAAAAGGTGCAAAATGGAAACCGTTATTTTTTGCGGGGCTCATTTATATTCGCGGACTTTATTATTATTTACACATTTCTCGAATAATCATTAATTTGCAAAATAACTCCGCTCCGGAATAAATTTGCAGTTTCCTGCGTACACAAAACAACTTTCTCGGCTGTCTATTAATTATATTGCTGTTTTTGCCGTTGCTGTGTAATGGTGCGTGCAGACGGCGAATGCGATAAGTGTATAGTCGAAAGATTGAGAAAAACTACATCGTTGATTAAAAGTACGAAACATAACGGACCTAAATTTGATCCTTGGCGCACCCCGGAAGCCAGTAAAGACGAGGAGGAGTCGCTTTCGCACACATGTGTGCAAAAATTATGCAAACACGTCCCAAGGCTGTCCGTACATTAAGGAAAATAATGCGCAGACGGAGTTTCGGGCGATTGCAGGTAAAGGAGTCGCGATTGCGTAATTTGTCATCCCGGCCGGTCCTTCGCCGGTAATTCCGTTTCATTAATTTTAATATCGAAAAAACGACAGCTTGTTTACGCGAGCAGAATTGTAAAAAACAGTACGGCTGCCATGTTTACCTCATTGTTACTTAATGTTGGCGTTTTTCATTATGCTAATGGTACGACCGGAGTTATTAACGTTACAAGTGGTAAAAACAAAAGAAATTACTGATATGATAACGTACACCTACTTGCTATCCCGCGTGATAAACAAGTTGTTTGTTTTGAAAGTTTAAAAATTTGAAACCTTGGTCGACGTGACTAATTCAGCGTATAGGTTCTATTTTAATCGGCACTAATTGTTATCACAGTGTTGTTGTGCTGGTTTCGAAGTCGCCGGGTTTAATTAACGAAACGATTTTACGAGAGATGGGAGTGCGACAAGGGTGCGCTGGGGCTGCTGCTTTTCGCCGTATGCGATTATGATCGATTCGCGCTGCGGCGCCAGGATATAGGAAACGGAAAAATCGACTTGTGTATGCAGATTAAAGCCAATTAGCTGTGACAAGATAAATACCAATCGGCGCAAAAATGGCTCTATTGGAAAGATAAAATTCTCAAGATTATGAAGTGTCAGGATTTTTGAGATTAGACTTCAAGGTTTTCGGCGATTGTTTTTAGAAATGTTTTTGGGATACAGAAAATTTAAAATGCACGGGTTTACAAATGGTGTGGACAAATTCAAGGCAAAAGCCCGCAATCAAACTGACCCATATTGCATTTTTCGGTTGACAAAGTGGTCACGGTTACCCAAAACGGTTCCCCTTAGCGACTAGTCGCAATCAGGAAACACCGACCGACTCGTTTACCTCATTTTAAAAATAATTGTTGGAAATCCTCAGCAAAAAGTCGACCAGTGACACGACATTAATCACCAATGCAAATTGTAATTGTTCGCCACTTACAAAACAGCGTAACCATATTTTATTCATTCCAATTTTGCCTCGATCGTAAACAATTAAATATTTATTACCCGTGAAGAAATTATAAAATCTCGTAAACAAATTACCGTGAGGTGAACCTGTCGTTCTCTCCCCTTGAAAATAGTAAAAGTGATTTCTCAACACGTCGAAATTTCGTTCGACCGCACTGTCAACTAACTAAGACGGGAATGTTGGTGCCGCCCGTGACGTAACAGGACTTCAAAGTCGGACGCGATGTTGTGTTCGAAAGTATTCCAAATTCTCTAATTGGCCTGGTGTTAAATAATACCGAATTACTAAAATTCACGCATAATAAGTTCGATTTTGGAGTAAACACCGTAATAAACTAGCCACGTGTTGCTCGAGGGTGTAATGCAACAGCATAAATTATGTAAATTTAATATATCCACTAAGCTTGTTTTGCATACTGAACGCTGACATTATGAACTTATTTCATAATGTTAGATAAATGTAATAAATCGTATTTGTGTAGCGGTTTATCGCTTTTCCTTTTTTCTCTCCGGCCTGATTTTTCTCTTCTCTTCCAGACAAACAACCTCTTCGTGGATGCCTTTCTACAAAGCAACAGATTGGACCATGTGAGTCAGGTAATGGGGTATCACACCTCATATTTGGACCACTTTCTCAAGACTCAAAATTTCATACTACGAGGAGATGGACCACTTCCATTTCATTATAGGCATTACATCGCAATAATGGTGAGTTCTGTGACGTGTTTGTCGACGATAACGAGCTTCCGAATTGAAAACAAGCCATTATTCTCGTGGCGGAGCGGTTAGTTATCGGTTATCAGGAGTGAAGATGAGCATTGTTACTTTTTTACAAATAAATGGCCCTTATCAGTTGTTGGTTCATTTCAAATGGCACAACGGACGGCCCAACTGTTGTTTGGCGGGAGCGAGGACAGTCGTCGTTAAGAACGACCGAACCCTGCCAAAAAAAGTCCGGGAGATCTTATCGACAATTTCTAGTTGACACGGTTTTACTACATACATAGACGATTCAAATTTAAACGTACCGCCACAATTTTTCTCCGGTTCCTAGTGCCATCAATCACAATTCCTCACTACATCGCTTAAAAATAGAATCATTAATGTCAATATTTAATATTCCCCGCAGTTAACACTCGTACTAGCACATTCTTCGCCATCAACTGCTCCCATTACCGACCGCAAACACGCATAAAAAATAAAATTCCACGTCTAAATAAAAATGGGTACCCCCATATACCGCTATTTTCGGTGCGATGAACTATTTTCGTCCCCAAACTAGGATACCGATTGATTAATCATCCGGAATCCGTCCAAGGTTACTCTGTTTTCACGTTGCACCATATTTCGTCAGCGGATGTTTATTAATATCGTCCCGAGCAGTTCCTTCCTGAATTCTATTAATACGGCGACAATGCACGTAAAAACTCTGCAAGGGTCCGCGCCGGACCCGCTCTATTCCACGAATTCACCGACGATGTTGTGTTGTTGCAGGCCGCAGGACGACATCAGTGCGGCTACTTGATAAACCTGCAGAAGCAGGAGTTTCTGCTGCTAGGAGGCGAACACAGTTGGCTCAAAGGCCTTAGTTCTATACCACCAAAGTTAAAAAATCTTTACGATATCAATAAAATATTAGCCCATAGGCCCTGGCAGTTAAATACGTCTCATATTGAGGTGAGTGAGCGGTGACGAGACCGTGGACCGTCTTAACTCTCGTGTTGTTGCAGAAATTGACAAAGGGGAAAGATAGCTGGTCTTTGGCCGAAGTTATACACGCTATAGTCATATTGACTCATTTTCACTCGCTTTGTTCTTTTGTGTTCGCTTGTGGCGTCAATCAAGAGGTGGATCAAGCCGGCGGATACAAGTACTACATGCCCGGAGAGCCCATCCAGGCCCGGCCCAGCAATACGAATCAAACTAATCCCAAAGATATACCAACTGTCGATATAACCGAAGGTAAGTCGTAGTCTGGTGCTGGGATGACGATTCTTATCGCTGATTATCCGACCACAATGATCACAATTTCGCTGTCTCGTTCTCAGACTGGAAAAACTCTTCTCACGTTGGTCCGCCGTCGCCCACGGAACCCGAAGTAGGAATCAACACGATAATGCAGCGCATGAAGACGCTGTCCGAGCAAAACGAAGAGTGCACCCCCATAGAGCTGGCGAAGCGCTTCGAGAACATCGAAACGCAGTCGGCCGAACTGGGGCTGGTGGGCGGCGAGAGGCTGGAAACCCCCGCGGACATCAGCTGTTTCATCGAAGACGAGAAGTTCGGCTACCAGGATTTCGCCAAGAGGGAAGAACAAATGGACTTCCCCACGTTTAGGGTACAGGATTACTCGTGGAACGACCACGGGTATTCGCTGGTTAATAGGTAAGTCAGCAGCTACGAATTTCCGCGATAGTACAGGTACTCACAACCCCTGCTCAAAATTTATTTTGTGGATTTATCTCGGTCGAAAAACAGCCTTAACGAGCTGGCATTAGCACCGACGCCACTTGTGTCTCACCAAACCTGTTCTTGTTGTTCCAATTATGTTTTGGAAACGGTCTTCGGATGAGATTAATGACGTGGTGTTGTGAAATGACACCGGTGCGGCATGGGAAGAAATTTGCTGTGGAAAGTTTGGTTGGTCGATGTTCGGATGGTACTCGAAATCCCATGAAGGTTGCGTTAAAATTAGTAACAATAGGGTGCTTAATTGATAGTAGACGATAATAGTAATTGAACATGTTTATAACATTTCTTTTATCAGGTGGGTTTATCGAGATGATCAGATAAGGGGAAGACTAATTAGGACGTGGTGCTGTGTTGTAAACAAAACACCCTGTATATTTACGTCACTTTCTAATATTGACTATAAATCTGTCCTTGGCAACAAGTGCTAACAATTTGTTCTTGAGATATTTTGCTTTATTATGTTTAATAATTAAAAGATAAAAGGATCTGTTTTTTGTACTGAATAAAAAACTCATTAGATAATAATCTAATCGTCGTTTTTTTAATTTACACCAAAAACCACTTAAAAACACGAACTTGGAAAACAATTTTTGATGAGAGTGATCAAATTTTCGCTGAATCTAGTATTTCATAGTCATAGTTTCGAAAATTACTTGCTACTTGAAAAATATGCAGGCATTTGATTGTTTGTGTTCACTGCTAGAAAAAGAATTCTGTTGACTTCAGAACAAAACAAGTTTTACATAAATGTAATTATATTCTCATTTACAAGTACAGTAGTACAGTACCGCGGTTTGTTTGTAACGTTTGTTTTTCCATATTAATACGGAGTAATTAATTCAATCCAGTACAAGGAAAATGAGTAATAGTTGTTTTCTGAACAATACTTCCCGTATTAATAATAATAAGGTGGAACGCTAGACGGCAGACAAGTTTGAATTACAATTGACAATTCTTCCTAAAATCTACGTGAATCGGGATCAGTAAAATAGATAGTCAATTAAAAAAGTATAAAATATCGTGCGCCTTACACGCTTCGTCAGCTTGATTCGCGCCCGTATCACCCGTAAATTTAAAAAAAATCGTTCTTGCAGGTTATACAATGACGTCGGTAATCTCCTCGACGACAAATTCAAAACGGCACAAAACCTGACCTACTACACCATGGGGGGGCGTACCGACGTGGACACGTCGCGCTTCCGTCGGGCCATCTGGAACTACATCCAGTGTTTGCTGGGGATCCGCCACGACGACTACGACTACGGCGAGATCAACCACCTGCTGGAGCGGTCGTTGAAGACGTTCATCAAGAGCGCCTGCTGTTACCCCGAGCGCGTCACGAAGAAGGACTACGACCGGGTGCTGCGGGAGTTCAAGCACAGCGAGAAGGTGAGTGAAGAGAGGGTTTTCGGGGCGAGTCGATTTTGACGGTTTGGTTTTTGTTTTCTTCAGGTCCACGTGAATCTGATGGTGCTGGAGGCGAGGATGCAGGCGGAACTGCTCTACGCCCTGAGGACTGTGAATCGCTACATGACAAATTAGGCGAAGTGGGTTGGTTGGATTTGTACGTTTTGCACCGACGCAGAGATGACGGAAACTGTGGTTTTAAGTATAGTTTTATTGTTGTCTGTTTTATTGAAGATTCAAATGTGTTATTTATGTAATATTAAGAAATTGATTTCATGTGGTACTGTATTTATCATCATTTGAATATATTTAATGTGGTAGGTATATTATCAATCGAACAATGATTCAACTCGATAATATGTGTTGATATTTTTGTATTGACTTTTTTCTACTGATTTGCGTCGATCCGGAGTAGAAAAAAGTGTCGCGCACCATACATATTAAATATGTGACCACCTTTGTAAATAATTTGAATACTATATGATAACATTTATATTGTGTAAATATAAATTCTGAGTTATGGAAGTTATACATCACTGCTCTCTTAATTTTCTAATGCGTTTTTAACATCGTGGCTTCCGACCAGTGTATATATATATATTGTTTTCATTGTCCAATATTTTATAACGTAAGTATGGATCTGGTCAATTTTTTACGTTGCGGTACTATAAGGAGGCTTTTAATATTCTCAAATTTTTATAACGACTGACTGGATTATTTTGAACTGAGGTTTTCCGTTTTCGCTTTAGTATTTGAGTAACGTAGGCACTATGACGTAATTCGTTCCGACAATGATGGGGAAACCACTTTTCTTTACTTGTTTGTATCCCAAATTTCGCGTCTTGATCTCAGTATTAATTTATAATTTTGAATTGAATTCATATTTTAGTATATTTTCACTGCCATACGATAGTTGTTGTAACGGTAACAAACAAATTTCGCCAACCGTCGTCGATTTCTTCACTGAAATCAATTTCTGTTTGTTAGCTGCTTTCGAACCGAAAAAATTTTCAATCCGACTTGTGTTTTAATTTTTCGTTTCGTTTCGTTTCTAGGACTTGAACAAATTCATAAATTAGTATATTTAGAAATAATACGATGCTGTGATGTTACAATTTCTGTATTTATTTGAAACAATATCGCGTTTGATTTCGTCGCTTTGCGAATTGGCCTACTTTGTTTGTACGAATTGTTCGGTAGATGCGCAACGCGCTTGCGCACCTACCTCAACGCTTGCAAACTTCTGCAGTTTTTATACAAATTAAGTTTCAAATTATATTATTATATACCTACGAAAAAGGTGAATTGACGCAGAAGTACAAATATATTATGATTGGAAGAGTGTAAAATATGGATTTCATAACGTCATTACATACAGTGAGAAATATTTTTGCACTTGGACTCGTCTAGGCGGGGAAACACAAAATTCAGTCGAAACAACCCTAAATGCCTGTTATGAAATCCTCGTTATGTCACAGTTACGTTGTTGTGGGGTATTCTCCAATTTGTGATATTTATCTTAATGTGATTACTGTGTAATAGATTTTAGATTGTTTCAATTGAATACCTTCGATAAGTTTTGTTGATGTTTAACCATAGACCTTTAGTGAGATGTTTTAATTTAATTAATCCACTTTCAAATAAAGTAGTTTCATGCTACAGGCGGCACTTGCTTATCCCCCCCCCCCTCCATCCCACTCTTTCTTCACGTACGGGGGCTCGAATCCAAACACCCACAAATAAAATGCAAATGTATTTTCGGAATAAAAGAAAAAGTATATAAAATTGTAAATGAAAATACAGCAACATAATAAATATCGACAGTCTTTTTTACGGTTGAGATTGATGCTTCTACCTATGTTTTTTGGCGTGAGACATCATCGTGGATCTGGATACAAAAGTTTTTCCGCAACTCTCGCAAGCGTATGGCCGTTCGCCGGTGTGGAGACGTTTGTGTATTGCCATGGGCGTGAATTGGGTGAACGTTTGCCCGCAGAGGTCGCAGCTGTAGGGTCTTTCTCCAGTGTGCGACCTCCTGTGACACCGCAAGGCGTCTCTTCTAGCGAAAGCTTTGCCGCACATCTCGCAAACGTACGATTTTTCACCCGTGTGCATCGTGGTGTGGATTCTTAAATCTACTTTGGTGAGGAAGCCTTTCCCGCACACCTGTACACGATCAAAATGAGGCACAATCTATGCGAAAAACATCGCTTACCTCACAAATGAAGGGTTTTTCGCCGGTGTGGATTCGCAAGTGGGTTTGAAGGTAGCTTTTAGAGACGAACATTTTGTTGCAAACTTTACAAGAATACTTCCGGTTGTCGAGACCCGTGTGGACTTTCTGATGTGCTTTGCATAAGCCTGAAATTGAACGTGAGGTGAAATGAGCGTGTTGATAACGTTAAGGTTACCTTTAGTGATGAAGCCGCGTCCGCAAATCTCGCAAGTGTACGGTTTTACCCCTAAGTGTCTATTAGTGTGGTCTAGAAGCGACTGCTTTGTTTTAAAATTACGCCCGCACGTCAAACACGGGTACGGTTTTTCGTCCGAGTGGACCCTCTGGTGCACCATCAAGTAGCTCTTACATTGAAAACCTTTCCCACAAATGGGACACGCGTAGTCGTATTTACCTACAAAAAAATATAATTATAGAGCGGTCAGGCTGATAAACTTGACATAATCTACCAGTGTGTTTCGCCGCATGCTGCGCCAACCCGATCTTCGACCGAAACTCCTTCTCGCAATTATTACACTTGTACGGCTTCTCCCCAGTGTGCTTCCTCATGTGTTCATTCAACTTATAATTCGTTTTGTACACTTTCCCGCACTCCTTGCACACTTTCGGCGACCAGATTTTCTTCTTACTCGTGCTTTTCTCGGTCTCCGCCGGCGCCACACTCTCTTCGTTTTCCTCCTCTTCAGTCTGTTCGTGCTCTTCCGCGAAATCCCCGCCGCTATCGTCGCTGTTGCTCTCCCCGTTCTCGTTTTTACTCTTTATGGGCAACGTAGCCCGCTTCAGTCTCGTCTTAATCGGCTTCACTTCCTCTGTACTCCCGTGAGCCTCCTTCCTATGGACGTTCAACACCTCGTCGTTCGGAAACACGGCAAAACAAACCTCGCATTTGTGGAATCTCGGTTCGTAGCGCACCTCAAAGTTCCCCTCTTCTTTGTAGAGGTCACCGCACACGTTGTTCTCCGTGACGTAAGTGTGCGTGTTGGAGTCGACGCGACTCAGCTGCTCATCAATTAAAAGCGAATTGTTGCTATTGCTGTCTTCGAGCTTCGGAGATTCGAGTTTAATCATGTCGCTGATGTGACCGTTGACGATGCGGGTGGATCTGTGGTGGTACTCTTTCTCGTCGTGAAGGTGGTAGCTGTTGTTGTGCTGAATACTTTCATCCATCTAAAATAAAATAGATATGCAACCAAATATACACGAAATTTCTTTACCTTTGAGTGCACCACAGATCCGTCCAACCCCCCCGCCATCGCGATCTCGTCCACCGCGTTCTCGTCCCCCATGTTCACGTGCAGCTCGTGCTGCAGCCGGAACTGCTCGCTCAGCAGCTGCTGGTGCGGAATTAAATCCAAATTATCGCTGCCAAACCTCGCGCTCTCACTCTCCACCAGGATGGCGTCCTGCGCTGGCAGGCTGTGATTCGAGATCTCCTGGTTCAACTCGTGGTGGTTCAGATCGATGTTGTCCAGCGCGTGCCCGTTCATGTCCACGCTCTGGTGCGTTAAGATGATTTCGTGCCCGACGATGAGCTGCTCGCGCGGCCCCAGCTGCCCCAGGTCGATCTCGTCCACGCCCATGCCGTGATTGACCAGCAGCTGCTGGTTCTGCGCCATCATGAGGTCGTGGTCCATCGCCACCACGTCCATTTGTTGCTTTCCTGTGTTCATGTCCTTGAGCAAGTCGAGCAGGATCTTCTCCGTGAGGATGCTCTTCTCGCGGAACTCCGACAGCAGGTTGAGCTTGTAGAGGCAGCTCTCGCAGACCATCTTCGGGAGGTCGTCGCTTTCGTGCACCTAAGGGTGAAGAGGTGGTGAGAGCGTCATAACCTCACTTTCGGTTACCTGGATGGAGAGGCAGGACTCGATTTTTTTGCGCAGCTGGCCGATGATGCCGTCGTTCTGGAAGATGTGGACGGCGAGGATCATGGTGGTGGTGGCGGCGCACAGTCTGCACAAGTCGCTGTATCGGGAAGGGTCGATTGCGGCCATTTTTGTGTATTAGCGATCTAGAGAAATTAGAAGAGGTGTTTTGGGGGCGGGGGCTACATGACGGGGACGGCGGCGGCCGGGAGCGAAGAAGGGGGCTTTGCGGGGGGCGCTGATGACGGTGAGGGCGAAAAGGGGCTCAAAGCGACGCGTAAGAATTAAAATCGGAAAACAACATTTGCTGAAAAGTCTTTACCATGGAGAACTGTCAAAACGTGGGGGATTGTGGGTACAGTCATGGTGCGCATGGGTGCAGCAAGAGCGGCAAAATGTTTAGTTTAATTTTGGTTTTCTTAGACAGGGAAGGATTAAAATAAGAAATCTCGGAATTGTGTTGTGTTAACTTTTTACAAAAAGTGACACAGTTACAAAAAAATGGTGGATTTTTTTAACTATGAGGTTGGGGACAGTGTTTCAAAGCCAATTCTTAGTGATTTTTATGTCAATTTGTTCTTGTTAAAATCTAAAGTCAAAATAGTCGAATGTGTTCGAAATGGTTATCTAAAGCACTTTGGAGTTAAATTTTAGCCAATTTAAGCTTCGATGTGAGTATTCATTGTTGTTAGTTTCTAGTTGACATGAATAAGTAGTCGAAATATTTTACTGTTAATGTGAAATTACTTGCAACTTGCAACACGGTTATTAAGGGCCGAATTCTGTAAAGTATAAAGGCACTTTAGTAAAAGGATTGTCCTTTACATAAAGATATTCCTATTCTCTAAAACGTAAAGGAGCCTTCTAGATCCGTTGCATAAAGGTGAAGTCCTTTATCGTTTCCTTTGTGCAACGGATGGTCCTAAGTTTCACTTTATACAAATTATTTGTCAGTGTCATTAGTTAATGGTGACGATTTCTAATAAATAAAAGAGAAAAAATGGAGAATTTGAGATTATTTATCGCAGAGGAATTACGAAGAAGGTAAGTTACACTACTTACAATATAAATATGCGTTAGTACCACTTCTGGAATGCATTCCATTGTTTACAAGATTCAAATTATATACATATATATGTATATATATTGTTTCAGAAGACGGTTTCGTGTATTAAGAAGAAATTTGAGAGATACAAGTAATCCATTTGAACTTCCGGAAAACAGTTTTAAGAAAATGTTCCGACTTACCAATGAATCTGCTTTTGAAATATTTACACAATTACAACCACGGTTAGAAATAAACAGAGGAAGAGCGACGAGAATACCCAGTGTCATAAAATTTATCGTTACTTTACATTTTCTAGCACAAGGTAGTTACCAAAACTCTATTGGGCAAGACTATCGCAGCCCAATGTCTCAGTCATCTGTTAGCAGAAGCATCCATGTAGTCATTGATATAATCATAGATCAATTTCATCACATAATCAAATTTCCACGCACAGTGGAAGAAATCACAGTGACAAAAAATAGATTCTTCCAACGTTTTCAACTTCCAGGAGTTGTGGGCTGCATTGACTGCACTCACGTGCCAATTAGTGGAGAAGCTTTGGTTTTAGGGAACATTGATGTGCCAAGATTAGTGTTTATGAACAGAAAAGGCTATTTTAGTTTGAACTGCCAGATAATATGCGATTCAAATTTAAGGATTCTGCATATGGGTGCTCGTTTTCCCGGAAGTGTGCATGATGCAGCTATTTGGCAGCTGAGTGATATTCAGGTTTATTTGAGAAGACGTTTCTTTAATAACAATGATGAGACAACCTGGCTATTGGGGGATTCTGCATATCCGTTAACACCTTATCTACTGACACCAATTAATGGGGCAGATCCAAATACTCCAGAAGGACGATATACTTATGCTCATCGTTTAGCTAGAAATAGCATAGAACGATGCATTGGAGTTCTTAAAACGGCATGGAGATGTTTACATAAGGACAGAGTTTTAAAATACCATCCACTATTTGTAGCAAAAATTTTTTACACGTGTGGTATACTCCATAATATCATGAGAATGAGAAATATTGAAATAGAAATCGATTATGATATGCACAACGAACTTGAAGTAGAAGATTTTAATGACGCTGATTTCAATGTTCAATTATTGCACCTAGGACGACAAAGAAGAAACAATGTTATTCAAAATAATTTTTTGTAATAACAATTTTTAATTTAACACAAAATTAACTCTCAACTTATTAACAAGAATTACAAAATAAACTGTAACAAAACCTAGATATATCTTGGTCCTTATTGCACATTATCCTCAGTCTCCTCAATATTAATTTGTGGATATTTTAATTTCAACTTAAAAGTTTCTAATTCGACTAATTTACTTAAATTCGTATTTATTTGTCTCAAAACCACCAATTTTTCTTTTTCGACTTCATTTTGAGACGTGTTCATTGTAAGGTTTTTAAGAGCACTGTTGAATGTATTATAACATTTTTTCTTTCGTATATTTTGGATTGCATCTGAACTATTGGACGGAGCCTCTATTGCCTCTGAAATCACAGGAATTGCGTTTGAACTGCGTGGTCCACTGCCTGCTGGCTTTGAAATCACAGAAATTGCGGTTGAACTACATGATGCTGTGTTTGTTGCTTTTGAAATCACAGGTTCCTCTGCAATATTTTTATAAATAATTTAAAAAATATAGATAGACTGACAGATTACCTTCCAACCCCAATTCAGGAATATCCAGGCCATTCACCACAATATTCCCAGTTGCATTTAATAATCGTATTTCCAATTTTGTAAGTGGAGCTTCAGGTTCACCGTCGTTACCAGTTTCTTTTTGGCTAGCTTTGATTGCTCGAGCTTTTGCTCTGACACTGGTTTTCCAGTTGCTAAAAGTCTGCAATATATTACGTTTTCACTTATTACTTTTATATTGCATTACAAATAATCAACTTGCCTTTTTCCACTCTTTGTAATTTTTTTTAGGCCCCCCACTGCTGTTTAACAGTTCTGTTAAATTTTGCCATACACTTTTAATATAGTCAGTGTCTTCCCCTGGGTGGAAGGCATTTTCCCGGAAGTTAATGTTATTTTCAAGTTTTTCAATATAGAGTGAAAACTGTTCAGCTGTGGTTTTTGGAGATCTTTTTCGTTTTTTATTTTCCATGCCTTGTTTTATGCAATTACAACATAGTGATTGGTTGGGAACTTATTATGCTGATATAAACAGTTCTTATACGTACCTCCAAACTCCACAACACGATTACAATTTCAATTTTTAATTACAACAAGACGTGTACAAAACCAATGTGACGGGCGATAAATTACTTATTTTTGGAGATGCCAATATCAGTCAGAACAATCGTCATGTGAATCTTGGATTTTAAAACAATTTTGAGGTTCTAGGTATTCCCGTTTGGAATTAATTTGAAATAGCCTCTAGTGTCTTTTCTTATAATAATCTAATTAAATTTATTATGGGATACGTCATTTGCTAAATCAGTCTTATCCTAGCAGGTACTAACCCCGCCCACCCACCCTCTCTTTTCTTAGAAAGTAGGTAATTTGCCAAAATCATTGTTATCTTGGCACGTACTAGCACGTACTCTCTAATAAAATAAGAGGCGAATGGGTATTGTAAGATAAGATTGATTTCGCCCACTAATAAGTATTATTAATTTGGTATTATCCGAAATCTTCATATAAAAGTTAATTAAGCCTAATTTGATGGAAACACAAATACTTGTAGGACATCCCAAATAGTAGTAAGTAATAAATAACTATGCAAAAACAACTCCTTTGGAGGGGTATTCACTTATAAACGACCAAAAGATCCATTAAAGGCGAGGGTCCCCATAACCAGTTGCCAGGTCAGTGTGTGTTTTTGTTGTTACACAAGAGGTAAGTGTTGGTACCTCCAAAAATGTGTATGATTTTACAAAGGGTTTATTTTTTTTAATTTTTGGTAATATTTTTAAAGTTCAGTTTAATTTTGATGATAAATCGCAAGCGTTCGTTTTTCAAAGCATATACTATCGTAAAACATCAGTTCGTCCTTTACATAAAGTTTCTCCTTAAGGGATGCAATAGAGAATGAGATATTAAAGGATTCACTTTCACATTTCCTTTACGGTTACGGAAAAGCCTTTAACGAACGGATCCTTTATTAAAAGGTTAAGATACAGAATTCGGCCCTTAATATGATAAATGTACTTTTTCATTAGGGACCTTTGCATATACGAAACTGGTTGCCAACTAAATTACTAGATTTACATGGCCTACCTCTGTCTAGAAAATCTCGCAAATATTTATATGTACTAACATAACCTCAAAATTTTGTGTAAAATGGTGGAGGCGCCAGGATAAAAATTAAAATCTCTTCAATATTTTCTTATCTATTTAGAAACATTTTTTCCAGTCAAATAAAACACAACACAACGTTGGAGAACATTTATTCATGCATTTACAAGAATACGCACATTTCAAACGGCGGTTGCTAGGCAACCCCAACAATCAACAATCACAACAAACATTTACCTTCACCTTCATTTATCGACGTATTCCACTCTTTTTAACTTAAACTAATAATCCAATCAATAACTAAAACAAGGCAGTCCTGAAACCCCCAATTACACTTAGTCCCGAAGAATAAATAACGACACAGCAAAAAAATGACAGCGGTAGAGTCGCCCGATTTCATCAACATAGACAACACGTCAGCGTCTTCTCTCACTGAAGATCTTCTAATAAGCAAGAGTGTTAGAATAGCAGACATGGCCAGATTATCAACACCTAAACCTGTAATGTACTTGGGATCGACAACAGAGGTATGTAGATTTTTTGAAAATTACAAAATTTTGACAGAAAAAGTCGTAGTTCCAAAGACAGGGAAGCGCGGTCCCTAAGACCCCCTTCAAACCTGGAACTGGGTACAGGTCGGGAACGGGCTTCAAACCCACGACGAATTTCAAACCAGGAACGAGCTACAAACCCGGGACGGGGTTTAGACCAGGAACTGCGACTGATGTGGTTAACAGACCCATGACGGCAGTACGGGGGGCTGGATATACGTCTCACGGGAAACCCTTTGATCCTTTGAACCAAGCGGCTTCAGCCCCCACACCCCCACTGGAGTTACAAAAGGATGACTCGTATTTTTTTTACGTGTAATTAATTAAAAACTAAAGTGTGATTTTTAGACCTGAGCAGAAAATACGTCAGCAGAAGGCAAAAATCATGCAACTGGTGGAAGAAGCATGCATTGCTGAGTGTGAAGGCGACTTTAGAAAAGCTCTAGCTAAAGCTAAAGAGGGCTCCAACAAAGAGAGAATTTTAATAAAAATGCAAGAACAGAGCGACTTGGGGGACCTTCACGACATAGATTTAACTTTTGTGGTTTTATTCACCCTCGGTAACCAATACGCCGCAAATGAACTCTACACAGAAGCCCTCAGTACCTACCAAATGATCATCAAAAACCGCATGTTTTCGAACGCCCATCGCCTGAAAATCAACATGGGCAACATTTATTTTAAGCAAGGCCAGTACCAAATGGCGGTCAAGATGTACCGAATGGCTTTGGATCAAGTTTCTTCAAGCCAAAAAAATTTACGGTAGGTACGACTTGAGAACGCACTACCAAAAATTACAGTTTCGATTATAGGATCAAAATCATGCACAATATCGCGATGGTTTTCATCAAAATGGGTCAATGGGAGGAGGCTATTTCGAGTTTGGAGTACATCATGAGCGAGCAGGCTTGTCACAGAGCCGGCTTGCACTTGATCATCTGTTGTCGGGCGCTAGAAGATAGAGATAGAATGAAAACGGCGTTCTCTATGTTGTTGAACGTTCCGCTAGACGTAGAAGACGAAGAAAAGTACAACCTCGAGCAGGATAATCCAGAGGATATTCTGATCGCGATGGCAATCCAAAACGACGACTTACACAAATACGAAACGAAATTATGCAAAGATGCCGAGTACTGTATTTTGACGGCGGCGAAATTAATTGCTCCTTTGATTGAAAACAGCTTTAGTATGGGTGAGGTCGAAAGTACCACTCTATTTCAAGTGTTTTTTATTTTTTTCGTAGGTTATGACTGGTGCGTGGCTTCGATTAAAAATTCGGAATATGCACGACTTGCGTCCGATTTGGAGATTAATAAAGCTGTTATGTTCTTGAAGCAAAATCAGCTTAGTGAAGCCATTGATACTTTGAAAGCTTTCGAGAAGGATTCAGTGATTGCCATCAACGCAGCTGTGAATTTGAGCTTCATTTACTACTTGGTGGGCTAGTTTCATGTATTGGATTCCTTCTAATCGTTTTTTTTTAAGCAAGGAGACATTGACAACGCGATTAAGTATGCTCAAGTTGTAGAAACCAGCGCCACTAAAAGCGCAGACGGCTACGTAAATTTAGGAGCTTGCTTGATGGCCAAAGCTCAACCAGAAGAAGCCATAAGCTGCTTCAAAAATGCCTTAGAGTTGGACCCAACACACTTTGAAGCTATTTACGATCTTGGTAAACATGGAATGCAGTCCAATATATTCCGCTAAAAGTACGATTTAGGGTTGGTACTCAAGCGTCAATGCCACTATATTGAAGCCCTCCAGTGTTTCCAGCGCTTCTCCGGGTCTTTAGCCCTTCTCCCGACCGTCGTCTACCAAGTATCCAACCTCCTCGAACTCAAAGGGGACAGCGAAGCCGCCGCCGACATGTACCAGCAACTCCTGGGTCTGGTGCCCACCGACTCCGGTGCTTTGCAAAAGATGGGCGAGTTGTACGACCACGATGGCGACAAGCAACAAGCCCATCACTATCACATCGAGGTAGGTGGCGTCTGGGTCGTACTCCGATTTTAACAACGGCTTGCAGTCTTTCCGGTACTACCCTGCCAATCTCTCCGTCATCAACTGGTTAGGGTCGTACTACATCGAAATGCAAGTCGTCGAAAAGGCGCTCGTGTATTTCGAAAAGGCGGCTTTGATGCAACCCAACGAACCCAAATGGAACATGATGGTCGCTGGGTGCCACCGAAGAAGCGGCAACATGCACAGAGCTTTGACGCTGTATCAAGATATACACAAGCAATTTCCGGAAAACGTGGAGTGTTTGAGGTTTTTGGTTCGGTTGTGTAACGACATGGGGATGAGGGAGGCACAGGATTATATTCTGGAGTTGAAGAAGTTGGAGAAGGCGAAGGAGGTGCGGGAGAGGGTGAACAGTAGCAGACCTAGTAAGTACTACAGCCAGGGTTGGGCACTATTTGAACTACTTGTAATTGAAATACAGTGTTTGAAATACAATTGTATTTTGTAATTTGTATTTCAAATACATGACACAAATGTATTTTGTATTTCAAGTACATTTTAACTTGTATTTTCAAATACATTTTATCAAACTACAGCTCATTACAACAGTTTTGCGATCGTGTTAATTCGTGTATGTTCGTGTACTTCGAGAAGTAACACGATATTCTATGGTTGTAACAGAGAACATAGAGAAGCGCCATAGTTTAAATTAAATGACGGTTGAGGCACAGTAGAGTTGAGGACTTCGCAATTTATGTTGGCAGCAGTGTTTGGTTCTAACTAGGAATAAAATTAACTAGAAGAAATGTCACAATATTTTTAACGACGCGTTTTACTTTCGACCACGGTTGTAGAATAGATAGGTTGATACACTAGCATACATTTGCATATCCCTGGTCAGCGACGCCAATTGCCGATCGCGTCGCCTGGTTTTTGACGTTTTAGGGACACAGAACTCTATAGGCATCTGTCTATAACACAGACCATTAAACAAATAGGAAGACAGTTCATTGCCATTTAATCGTATAGTCTAGGAAGCGACACTAGCGCTGCGCGAGCGGCTGGAGCAAACACTCATTCGCTTATACTCGTGTAAATTTCGTAATAGATCGTGTTTACTGTCAACAAATATCTCCTTTAACGTCATTCAAATTCAAACGCCAAATTATAATTTTTTCAAAAGGTTTTCAGTAGTAAGTTTGGTGGCTATTATATCTGTTATTTTTAAGTCATATTAATATAGTTTTACTTGCTTCAGATACAACGGAAATGAAAATTATTAATAAATATCGATGCAAAGTTCCAAATTGTCCGTCAGTATACGCAACAGGAATCAACAAGAACAAAAATAAACATTTTTTTATTTTTCCTAAATCTCCAGTTCAAAAACAAAAGTGGATAGATACCATTAATGCCTCCTGCACAGAAAAAATTGTTGTTAATTGTAAAAAAGCTTACATTTGTGAAGATCATTTCAGTAAAAATTACTTTACGAGCACCGCACAAACGAACCTTCATAAATACGCAATTCCCACTATTTTTAAGGACAGTAGTCAAGCTGTGATTAATACTAATGGTGATGGGTATTCCAGTAAAAGTGAACAAAAAAATTATAAAATTTTTATTTTTTTAGTCGGAACTATTCCGGAATCTGAGTATGATGGTAGCGTAAATTCACAAAGACGCAAACGCCATTGTGATACTCTCACGACAATATCACATACTCCTAAAAAAAGAAAATATTCACCCAGTGTTTTGAAAAAGGTAGGATGCAAAAGAGTGGACGACTTAACTCCTAGAGAGCAAACTTTGTTTAGAATAACAAAACTCCAGAAACAGGCAATAAACAGATTAAATTTAAAATTATGTAAATCAAAAAAAAACTTGGATCTTCTAAAACGTGCTCCCCAAAATCATCTAATTAACATTTTACAAGAAAATTGCAATTCTATAAGTGCAAGCTTCATAAAATCCCAATTTGATAACATGAAAAAAAAAAATTCCTAGATGGTCAACTGAAAATAAAATATTTGCCTTGGCTATGTACAAAAGAGGTCCAAAATGTTATCGCTTTTTAAAACATTTTTTCAGACTTCCGTCAAAAACAACTTTGTACAAATTTTTGAAAAATATACCTTTTGAATGTGGCGTGAATGACGAACTATTTGATAAGTTAAAAATGAGAATTGAGAAACTGAGACCAAGAGATCGATTACGCAAGCTTATGTTTGATGAAGTGTCTTTATCTACAAATTTAACCTATTCGAGATCTACTGACAAAATTATTGGTTTTGAGGATTTGGGATCTTTAGGACGAAATAAAAATTATGCTAACCATGCGTTAGTATTTATGATACAAGGTATTAGTTCGGAATGGAAACAACCAATAGCGTACTATTTTGTTAAGGACTCTATTAAAAGTATAAAATTAAAACTAATAATTAAAGAAATTATTAGCAAACTTAATATGGCCGGCGCAAAAGTCATATGCACCGTTTGTGATCAGGCCAGTTCGAATGTAAAGGCTCTACGTTTGTTAAAAGAAGAATCAAATGTAGAGTATAAGGAACCATACTTTAAGGTAAATTCAAAAAAAATTGTATGTTTATATGATAGTCCCCATTTATTGAAATCATTAAGAAATGCTTTCCTTAAATATACGATTTATTATGATGAAACCAAGAAAGCTAAATTTATGTATTTGAGACAAGCTTATCAATTTGATAGTACTCGAAGATTTCAAACTTTGCATAAAATCCGAGAACCCTTTCTTTACGTGAACAGATATGGATTATTAAAGATGAAAGTGTCAATTGCAGCAAAAACACTTAGTGCCAGTATGGCAGCTGCACTTGAAACTCTAATAGATTCAAAAGAAAATATTCCTCCAGAAGCAATCGAAACGGCTTTCTTTGTAAAAGACGCAAATGATTTATTCGACAGTTTCAACTCCACTGGTATTAATATGCGTAACAACCACTGCAATCCAAAGTTAAGATGTGCTTTAACAAAGAAATCTGGTCATTTTGATTTTTGGAATAAAATGGAAAAAAAAATCGAAAGTTGGAAATTTTATGACGAAGTACGTGGTCAATTCAAAACAACTATGCCCTTTAAAGAAGGTTGGTTAAATAACATTCGTGGAATTAGACTTCTTTGGCAGATGTGTGAAAAAAATGAATTCAAATTTTTGCGAACAAGAATGTTGAATCAGGATCCTCTAGAAAATTTATTTTCAGTGATACGACAATACGGTTCAGGAAATAGTAATCCATCGTGTTTTCAATTTATATCGGCGTTAAAAACAACTATTTTGAATAATTTGATAGCATATCAAGCATATGGTAAGAATTGTGAAGAAGATGTAGGAAAACTTCTCGATAATCTTAGAATATTTTTATCCTCGTCATCAAAACCAACAAATTTTCAGTTTACAGAAAATATCAATGAGTTGGTAAATTTAGAAAATTCTAGCTCAACTAATAGAGCTGCATTTAAAGATTTATATGATCTTCAGGCTATTACATATGTTTGTGGCTTTTTAATAAAAAAATTAAAAGCTATCACATGTAAAGACTGTAAAAATTGTATAATTGCACAAAAAACCGAAGAACATCATATTTTCACTATTTACAAAGAACAGGATCAAAAATTAAGGTTGAAATATGCTACAAAAGAATTTGTAACATGCTTAGCTGAGATTTACGATACCATAGTCTTCTTTTTAGATAATTTTGGAGAAGTTCCAAATATTGCAAGAAATTTAAAAGAACATATAACAGCAACAATTAACTTTACTTGGATTAACTGTGACATTCATATTGCTGATTTAAGAACGGAAATTATTAATTTGGCAGTGCGTCTAATAATAAATAAAAAATTGACCAATCTGCAAAAACAATTTGAAGTACATAATCGTAGAAGAATTAATAATTCAAATAGGTTTTAAAATTAACACCTACCCGTAGTTTCAAGAGTTTTTTTTAAGCAGTTTGTAATTAAATTATTTTTTTTAGGTATTTCGAAATGAAATTGTTTTTCTTTGAGAGTTGTTTTGTAATTTTGTCATTGTTATCAAATATATGTTTTTCATTACTGAATTTAGTTTCATTTTTATAGAATTAAAATTGTAATTAAAAATAAAATTACTACTATAGTAATTATAATCTAGTAATCAGTGGATTTAATTCATGCAGGAGCTCGAGCAGCGCTGTAATCGCCACATTAAATCGTAGTGGTTTTTGAACGTCTTTCTATTTGCTTAATGGTCTGTGGTCTATAACCGATGTAATTAATAAAAGAAATCGTACTTATCGACTCCGATCAAATGTCATTTACAAATTTTGTATTGTTCATAAAGCAATGTAAACGAAAATCCCCAAAATAACTAGAATGATTTCCGCTCGACAAGGTAGAGGCGCTAGCTGTATGTGTCCTTTCCATGGATATAGGGATCGAAAAGAAGCGTCGCCATCCCAAACCATTAGTGTACAAACCTATCTACTATCTATTCTACAACCGTGCTTTCGACAAATCGACATTAGATGGACATGGAATATAACATACAGGGCCAGCTTATAAAGATAGTGAAAGAATTCTGACAGTTAACTTTAAAATTTTTAGGAACGAGCTTCTATCAAAATTTTATTTTTGCCACTGTCCTGAACATATTTTGTATTTTTAAAAGTATTTGAAATACTATTTTGTATTTTGTATTTCAACTACAAGACATAAATGTATTTTGTAATTTGTATTTCAAATACATTAAATTGAAGTATTTTGTATTTTGTACTTCAGTTACAGTGGAAAGTGTATTTTGCCAACCCTGACTACAGCTGCGTCTAAAAACTTTATTATGAGAGAGTACCAAGTGACATTATTCTTGTTAAATGTTTTTTATTAAACGTATTTAGTAATGATCCCTGCAGGTTCCCGCAGAAGCAATAGTGGCTTGTCTTCAAGAGCAGGTTCTGGGTTCAGTCCGGTTCCCGAACATGGACCCCTCAGGAGTCCGTTAAATTCCGGCAGCAACCGCAATTTGAGAACTTCTAGGTTGATTAACGCACACAACAGTGCTGGTAGTACCGATTCCGGCTTCGGACAACCCACGATCGGTACTTTGGTAAATTTTCACCAACACTTGTTACGGTGTTTTTTTGTAGACGCCAGTTACTCGGATCCTTTAGGTCCACAACCGATACGACCTCGTACTGGAGCAGGGAAACCTCTGGATTTCGACGACTTCGGAAACGACGAATTGGGAGACGATTTATTACCAGAGTAGTCACTGTTAGTAGTTTTTAATTGTTGTCCACGAAAATAAAGCACCCTGATTGAGCTGTGTATTTTTATGACATCACCCGATTCGTTCAAGGGTCGCAACAAAGGTAAATAAGACACCGATTTTTTAAATATTTGTTTTTTAGAAAATTCATAGAATATGTAAAGAAGTATTTAGTCTATTTATAAAAATAATTGTTCACTTCAGACATAGAACGTAAAGCTAAACATCGTGTTCTCTTTTCTAGAAAAACAACAACTTGATGACAGGAGAGGACAGATTGTAAGTAAAATGAATTGCACGGGTCGCTTCAACACGATAAGGCTGTTTCTTTAGAAAAAAGACCAAATAAAATATAGAGGCGATATATAATATGTAGGTCGGATAAAACAAGCTCTTTGCGCTTAAAATAACAACAACATAGCAACAATTAAACATTGAAAAAATGGCAAAAGTTGTGCGAAGACTAAATTGTAGCCGAAAATACTAAATTCGTCCAACTTATTTTGGTAAGTCTTTGATATTGATTTTAGAGTATAGAGATTAACTATAACATTAACTCTCGTTAACAATTTACAAAAACCTTAACAATTGTTCTAGACCAATCACAGTTAAATAAAGACTTGAAGTGTACTGTTCGCGTATTTACATAGATATTTAGGGCAAATAAAGTCACTATTGCAACGTTCTCTTCAAATACTGCACTCGATAAACAAATTTTGCGTAATCAGTCATTAATTTAATAAAACGTACGTACGACGACTATTCGGTGTACCTCCCAAGTACCATCGCGCTAAGTAGTGGTCCGACTTCTTTGGGGTCTTGTAAAACTTCTAACAACATTTTTTCGACGTTCCTCGAGATGGCTACCTTCTGATGGTCTTTCAAAGGATACTCTAACGTGCTCGGTCCACCCTGTCAACACGCACAATTTATCCAAACGCAAATTTATTTGATTAAAACGCACCTTATACCAAAAATTCACGGTCGTTGTTGGACCGCCACGCATTAACGACTCGATGTGGTGCCACCAGTAAATGGGTATGTATAGGACGTCCCCGGGACCCACTATGGCCTCGCAACCTTTGGCGTCTTTGAATTTCGGGAACTTGGCGTTATCCGGATGCTCGAAGTCCACCTGAAGACGAACTTTACACATTTGAAAATCGGGGGGGTCGTGCCGTTACCATGCTCTGTCTGTCGTGGGGGTGGTGCACCGGATAAGGGTAAAGACATTCAAATTGACTCGGTGGGAACAAAATGCACCGTTTGTAACCCTGGACTTGCGCGAAAAAATTTTCTTGTTCGTCGTAATGACAAGGGGTTTGATTCCCTTCCATCGCGATGAACAACAAGTTGGATGTTAGTGGTCCCCAGTTGTGTTTGGCTTGCTTGCCGTTGACGTAGTCCCAGTCGAACTTGACGAAGTCTTCGACTATGTTGTTGCCCACCGACGTGGTTAGGGATTGTTGTAAATAAATCCTAGAAGGTGGAGCGTCAACACAATAAAATGATAAACAACGATAAAACGATATTTTACCTTCACGTAAAAATCACAATATTGTTGATAAGAGATTTTTTTGCGCAGTTAAATATAATAAACACTCCAAGTAAGTGTTCGTTGTATGCTTATCAGTACAAATATTTACCTATCGTCCCCTTTCTTCCACTCCTTCACCCTCTTCATAAAGTCTTCAATTCTCATCTCCACTTTCTTCGTCGGTGGCGTAAACTCCACCCCTTTGGTATTGTTCGTCTTATCGTAAATCTTCTTATCATCGTAATACTTAAACTGGTGGTTTTTGGACACGAAGCACGTATGTCCCGTCTGCCCCAGGTTCTTCTCCAAATACTCCAACGTCCACCTCTGCAGCGCCGGCTTGATGATGTTGGACTCGATGATGACCACCGGCTTCTATAACCCGACTTTCGCTCAAAAGTGCCCCACACCGATTTCGAGGTTATGTTTTCCTAACCTCAAACCACCCTCCCGTACTTACGTTCGCCCTGATGTACTCGTCGATTTTGGGGTCCTTGTAGTGGAGTCTCGGGATTTCGTCGAAGGTTAGGTCGTACTTCCTCAGCTGGCTCGCGTCCCACGGTTTTTTGTTGCCTTCTCCATCCATTTTTCGAAGGTGTCGGCAAGGAGCATAAAGCGACGGGCTCACTACTGATAAGGAACGAGGGGCTCGGCTAGGTATAGGGTTTTCCGACTGATAAGCATCTACTTATCGCGAAAAAAACAAGTTACGAAAAAATTAAAATTAAACACATTCACGAATTCGCACATTCCCCCCTCCACATTGCGCGCGAGCGCGACGTCACGTAGGCATCTACGGGGTGTTTTTTCGGGGATTGGAACGAGGGGCTGCCGGAGGGGCGGGAAATACGAACGGGTTTTATTGGACCATTTTAGATTAAAAATTTCAAATTAAATTAGTAATAGTTGGGAACGGCGCCGTTGGTAGGGTCTAGGGGACCGGGCCCTGCAATATTAGGCCACTTTTGAAGTTTGAGCCCTCAAAAAAGTTTGGTTATGACGTTTTAATAATAATCATGAGGGGATGCTGTTTTTGGATTTATAGTGACTTTTTGTCGGTTGGTACTGGCGAGAGTGACATTTATGTCAAAAAATGGCCTTGTCAGTTACCCATTCAGGTTTTCAAAAAAAAGAACAGCTAATTCAGTTTCCCTGCGCTATCAAGAGGTTTTTTGGTACGTTACATTAATTTATTAGACTGGTTTAGAATTATTCACTGTCGCCAACTTAAAGATCACGTCCTGGCATTAGTTGATCCATCACCATCGTTCAAAATTTCAACAAAAACGTTTTTTTTTTTTTGCAACAATATATTTTCTAATACAACTTATTTCCGTTACAGGCAATCAACAATACTCAGGTGTATATCACAAACCATTTTGAACTGTATAAAAATCTACATTCGTTTAACCAATTCATGGATTTTCGTTGCTCTCAAACTTAGCACTCTGTTCAATTCCGTGCCGCACCTTCACGTGCTTCTTCAAATACGGCTTCTGCTTGGTTTTAAACGAACACAGGTCACACCCAAACCACTCGATCTCCTCTTCATCCATGTGACGCGCAACCACGTGACTCTTCAAACTGCCCTTTTGCTTGCACCTGTAAGGGCACTCCTTGCACTGGTACCAGTCTATGTCCTTCTCGTCTAGATGCCGAGCTATGACGTGGTCTTTCAAAGTCTCCTTCCTGGTGGCTTTGTACGAGCACTGCTTGCACTCGTACGACTTGATCCTCTTCAGGTGGTGCACATTTCGATGCCGCCTCAAATTGGAGCGGTCCTTGTTCTTGTACGGGCACTGTTCGCACTCGAACCACTTTATGTCCTGTTCGTTTACGTGATGGGTCCGGGTGTGGTTTTTCAGGTTGTGGATCAGTTTAGCTTTGTATGGACACTGTTGACACTCGTACCAAATCACGTCCTGAGCAGTCGAGTGGTGCGCTATGGAGTGTTTTTTTAAAATGTAGCGGTACTTGGCTTTGTATGGGCAGTGTTTGCACTCGAACCATTTGATGTTTTGCCCGTTGGAATGGTGCATGGTTATGTGGGTTTTGAGGTTGTAGGGTTTCTTGGCTTTGTAGGGGCACTGCTTGCACTCGTACCACGTGATTTGTTGATCGTCCAAGTGGCGCGAGTTTACGTGTTCGAGGAGAGTTCCGCGGCGTTTAGCTCTGTATGGACACTTGTCACAGTTGAACCACTTGATGTTGTGGTGACCCATGTGTTTGGAGTAGATGTGTTCTTTTAAGCTGTGTTTGTATTTTGATTTGAAGTCGCAGTGGTAACATTTGTACCATCTGGTGTCTTGAGTGGTACGCTTTTGGGGGTTTTTGTTGTCGGAACAGTTTACACTATGTTGCAACCATTTGAGTGTGCAATGGGTTCGAAAGCAGCACTTGTCACAAATGTAGTTCTTAATTGCGAATTTTTCGTTTTCTATGTTGGGGTCACTATGTGTTTTGAGGTGTTTTTTTACAAGGATTGTGAAGTTGGTTTCGAAATTGCAATTTTTGCAATGGTAAGTTTCTAGTTTGATGGTTTCACAATTGAAGAATTGTGGCGACGTGTAGAAGCGTCTGATGTGGTTTTCCATTGAGGGAATTGAGATTTTAAGATTACAGGGACTGATTTAACCTCAAAGTTCGCCAAGTTTTGCTGTAATTACGTTGTTATTTATCGTAAAAAAATGATTGTCTTTACCTTTAGCGCACAATTATTTGACTGTGGTTTATAATAAAGCAACTGAGCACCAAAATAACAAAATTATGTAAACAAATCCAGTGGTTGCGACAAGGTTCTAGAATTAGAGGTTGTCTGGATTAATCAGGACGTTTCGATTTTCCAGTTTTTTTACTTTGATTTTTCGAATTTCCGATTTTTGGATTTTTTTGATTTTCCGTTTTGCAATTTTTCGATTTCAATTTGTCGGAGAATACTATAGTGGGCTCGATGAGTAAAAATGCAATAAAGTGTATTATTGGTTGCATAACTATAATCAATTCATGTTGGCGACACTGCCACATTCTCTATTCGGTTTGACAGTTACCCTATCCTTATCTACACTCCTCCTACTTTCGTACTACCAACCCAACAAGAAAAAATACAACAAACCTCGAAATGTCAAACCATCCCTAACCCATTTTTGCGTTTGTTTACAAAAACACTCACATCTCCACCGAAAGAGCTCCAGAAACCCGCAAAAATGTCAGCCGCGATGCTAACCGCCGACTGGTTCCTCCTGGGCCGCGACCTCTACTTCAGGTTCGAGGTTATGTGTACCTTCCCCTTGTAACCCAATTTTTTCAGAAAATTCGAAATCTACACAATGGGCTGGCACCAGGACATCAATCTAGAGAACTTCATTGCCACGTCGGCCCCCTACGGGGGACCCATCGCAATCAGACGCGACGAGCAAAAATTCATCAAAGTGCAGGGGTCAGGGCAGCCCATAATTTCGATTTTTTCGGGCTCCGGCAAGCAGATTACGTCGTTCAAGGTTGGGGTTTTGTCATTTTTTCAACGTGACTTTGGTTGTTTTGTAGTGGACGAGGAGACCCATTGTTTGCATGGGGTGGTCGAACGACGAGAAGTTGATTTTTATTCAAGAGGACGGGTGGGTGGTTTTGCATGATATGTTCGGGCAGTATTTGCACACGTTCGAGATTAGTAAGAAGATTCAGGATGCCAAGATTATTGATGCTAGGATTTTCACGAATCCGCATAATCAAACAGGGGTGGCTGTGATGACGTCCAATTTTAAGATTTTTTTGATTAAAAATCTGCAGGATCCAAAGACGAGGCAGCTGTCGGAGCTAATAAGTGAGTTTATAGTGGTTGGAAAAAAAATTAGATTGATAGTGTTTCCGTTTAGAGTCTAGTTTACACCCGACCAGTTGGGTGGTGATTTCAGAGGATAACAACACAGAGGTATTAATAGCTAGGGAAAAGGAGTTGTTTCGGTTGAAACAAGACGAGCACCACACCAGCATCATGGTAACTATTTATTACCAACCTGAAAAACCATAATATTGAAACTAATTTCAGTTAGAACCGGACATAAGCAACAACTATTCGTCGATTTTAGAAATGGCGGTGTCTTTCAATGCCCGACACGTTGCCCTTTTCACCGACTCGGGCTATTTATGGTTGGGGTCTTCCAATTTACGCACCAAGTACTGCGAAACTGATACCAACATAATCCACAAACCAAAGCAATTGGTCTGGTACGTCATTAAATGACAGATGGTCAGTATGACCAACCAACTAAAAACAATTTTAGGTGCGGGAACGAATCCGTCGTCGCCTACTGGGAAAGAGACAACACACTTTTTATAGTCGGCAAGCATGGCCAAAAAATGATGTACACTTACGACAGTTCGGTGTACCTAACTGCGGAAATAGACGGCATTCGAATTTTGTCAAATACCCAACATGAATTGTTACAAAAAGTCCCAGATGTGGTGCAGAAAATATTCAGAATTAATAGTACAGATCCGGGAAGTTTTCTCCTAGAAGCGTCTAAACATTACCAGGTGAGTTCGTTATTCTTTTACTACCAACGTTGGTACGAAAAATCCCCTAATTGCAGAAACGGAGTCACCGCGCCAACGAGTACATCTGTCTTGTCAAACAAGATCTTAAGAAAGCCGTGGAACAGTGTATTGATGCCGTGGGGTATGAATTTGACACTGAAGTACAGAAAATGTTAATAAGGGTGAGTTTTATTACAATAGAGAGGAGTTACTCGACTTATAAAACACATTTCAGGCGGCGCAGTTCGGCAAATGTTTCATCGCCGACATGGATTCCACAAAGTACGTCAACATGATCCGCCTCCTGAGAGTCCTCAACGCCGTTCGTGACCCCAAAATCGGAATTCCTCTCACTTTCACACAGTACTCTTTCAAACGCAAAAGTTGGTAGCACTGTTTGACTTTTCGTTTCAGGTTGCAAAACCTCACACAAAAAACCCTCCTAGACCGTCTCATCACCCGAAAAGAGTACTATTTGGCTCTCCATATCGCCAAGTATCTTCAAATGCCGGAAGAAGAAGGCAGTAGTCACATTCTGGTCCACTGGGCGAAGTACAAGGTCAGTCAAGCGCACCTGGAGGAGGAAACCGTCGCTCGTGTAATCGCTGAAAAGCTCGGCTACACTCCGGGAATTTCGTACAGCGAGATTGCCAGCACTGCTTCACAGTGCGGTCGCAAGAAACTAGCCATAAAGTTACTAGATTACGAGTCGAAGGCGAGCGAACAAGTCAAGTTGTTGCTGGAGTTGACCGAAAACACCCCGGCGCTGAGTAAAGCGATCGAGAGCGGAGACACCGATCTAGTATACATGGTGATTTTAAAACTGCGCGAGAAGATGGCGTTGGGAGATTTTAAAATGACAATTAGGGCCTTTCCGGTTGCGCAGTCGCTTTACATTAAGTATTGTAAGGAGCACAACACTCAAGCCTTGAACGAGATTTACATCCAAGAGGACGACTTTAGTGCGCAGGCGCAGACTTTCATCATGGAGAGCTTAGACGAGAAGGTGAGTTGGGGATTTTGGTAACGTTGCTTGATAATGGTTTTGTAGAAGGCGCACATGAGGGACTCGTTGCTAACTTCGGCAGCTGAAGCGTACAGAAAAGGGCGGAAAGATATGCATGCGTCCATGTGTGATGAGTACTTGAAGTTGCTGAGGTACCAGAGGTCGCTCGACGAGAAACTCGGCCAACCGAAATACGTGGGGAAGTCGGTACATGAAACTTGTTTGTTACTGCTGAAGAGCAACGACGTGAAGTCGGCCGAGAAGTTTCGGAATGAGTATAAGATTCCGGATAAGAGGTACTGGTGGTTGAGGATACAGAGTCTGGCGCATTTGGAGGATTGGGGGGAGTTGGAGAAGTTCTCCAAGGGGAAGAAGTCGCCGATCGGGTACGCCCCCTTCGTTGACATTTGCTTGGAGAAGAATAACAAACAGGAGGCTTTGAAATATCTGCCGAAAGTCAGCGAGGATCTCAAGGTCAAATATTATATTAAAGCGGAGTAAGTGTGACGTTTCATAATTCCTAGAGCGTGAAAAAATAAGTCTCCCGTTTTATTTGTAGGTGCTTGGAGGACGCTGCGAAGATAGCGTTCGAACAAAAGGACATCCAAAGCCTACTGTACGTACAGAGCAAGTGTCCATCGCAGTCCAGCTTATCCGAAAAAGTGAATTCATTCATCACGCAATTAGATAATAGAAAATAACGTGTTTATCTACGCTTATCAATAGAACATGTATACATACGCAGTTTTTTCTTCAACCCACGTAAAAGTGGGCGGAGTTAACCTAACACATCTCAACAAAACACTTATTCGTGATTAGATAAATATCACCCTCTTGAACCCGCTTTTTATCGTAGCAATCCACAGAAGCATGGCAGGTGAGTGTCTTTTGTTCCGTGAAAGTAAGCTAGTTTTGCTTTTTGTAGAAAGACGTGCTTTTAAACCCGTTGACAAATCAACAAACGGTCACGTGTCCGAACATGTCCGCCTAACTCACCCCTACCGGGTCCGCCCATACCCCCTCTCCCTTCCGCCGGAATCCTCCCCCCACGTCCCTTTCCGCCCCATCCACCCCTCGAACAACGACGTCAAAAAAAGTAAGTATTGTAAAGAGCACAACCTCGAAATCAAATCCACAATCTCAAAATAAATACCATAGTAAACACCCACTTCAGATTTACAACTGTTTATTTTTTATTGATAATTTCGTTATTTTGAAGATAATGTGTAATTGAGCCGTCTTACTTCCAGCCTACTACTGGGTGGACACCTTCGCCTACGGCGGCGTGCCGTCCACGGCCCTGAGCGGCGGCGAGGACATCGACGGCCACCAGATCTACGTGGGTCGGGCCTTCTTCAAGAACGACTGGATCCCGGCCAAGGTCATCCCGGGCCGCAACGTCGCCTACGTCGCCTACGCGGGGAAGGAGCACCACGTCGACCGCTTCCAGGTGTTGTGCGAGCAGCGCTTCGACTGGGTGACGGCGAGCGAGGGCCGGATTCCGGAGGGGGCGGTGGAAGGCGGGCGCACGTGCGACGGAGAGGCGTTGTACATCGGCAGGGTGCAGCACGAGGGCTCGCACACCCTGGGGAAGGTACGGTCGTCGGATGGAAAAGCGGTGGTTGAAGAGTTTGTTTTAGGTGCATCCGAGCTACAAGTGCTGCTTTATTCCGTTCGATGGGAAGGAGCTGAGTTTTTCGGAGTACGAGGTGCTGATTTTGAGGCCGTAGGGCGAGGAGGAACTGGAAGTGAGGGGGAGGGGGTGGTTGTCTCGTAATATGTTTGTAATATTTTAAATCGAGCAGGTGTAACTTTTTAAATAAAGAATAATGGATTAGTAATAATAATGTCTAGTTATTTCAAATGAGGAGATATTTAGGGAAAAATTATGCAACACAACATACGTAAAATAAAGATTAATACCTTGGTGCTCATATTTAGTTTTTCCAAAAAATTTTATTATTTGATGATTTTCGTGCAACACTAATTAATCAACCTTTAACGACACACTTTTTTGATGTAAAGTTTAAAAAAATCTTGAAGTCGTGGGCATTCGTCTTTTGGGTTGCGTGATTTTTTTCATTTCTTCACTAAAACGCAGTTTATAATAAATACCAAAACCAGCGAATTTCGATATTCGACTTCGGACCAGGATCACATATCGTCGAGGAGGTGGCGAAAGCTAGAAACGGCGCCTGATGTTCGAACACAGACCATTAAACAAACAGGAAGACAGTTCATTGCCATTTAATCGTATAGTCTAGGAAGCGACACTAGCGCTGCGCGAGCGGCTGGAGCAAACACTCATTCGCTTATACTCGTGTAAATTTCGTAATAGATCGTGTTTACTGTCAACAAATATCTCCTTTAACGTCATTCAAATTCAAACGCCAAATTATAATTTTTTCAAAAGGTTTTCAGTAGTAAGTTTGGTGGCTATTATATCTGCTATTTTTAAGTCATATTAATATAGTTTTACTTGCTTCAGATACAACGGAAATGAAAATTATTAATAAATATCGATGCAAAGTTCCAAATTGTCCGTCAGTATACGCAACAGGAATCAACAAGAACAAGAATAAACATTTTTTTATTTTTCCTAAATCTCCAGTTCAAAAACAAAAGTGGATAGATACCATTAATGCCTCCTGCACAGAAAAAATTGTTGTTAATTGTAAAAAAGCTTACATTTGTGAAGATCATTTCAGTAAAAATTACTTTACGAGCACCGCACAAACGAACCTTCATAAATACGCAATTCCCACTATTTTCAAGGGCAGTAGTCAAGCTGTGATTAATACTAATGGTGATGGGTATTCCAGTAAAAGTGAACAAAAAAATTATAAATTTTTTATTTTTTTAGTCGGAACTATTCCGGAATCTGAGTATGATGGTAGCGTAAATTCACAAAGACGCAAACGCCATTGTGATACTCTCACGACAATATCACATACTCCGAAAAAAAGAAAATATTCACCCAGTGTTTTGAAAAAGGTAGGATGCAAAAGAGTGGACGACTTAACTCCTAGAGAGCAAACTTTATTTAGAATAACAAAACGCCAGAAACAGGCAATAAACAGATTAAATTTAAAATTATGTAAATCAAAAAAAAACTTGGATCTTCTAAAACGTGCTCCCCAAAATCATCTAATTAACATTTTACAAGAAAATTGCAATTCTGTAAGTGCAAGCTTCATAAAATCCCAATTTGATAATGTTGCAATATGTCAGAATTAGATACGCTCTGGCCCAGTACCGGTGCGACACTTGTCTGGTTGAAAGTCTGGACCCTTTTGTCTTTGTCGGCGTTTCACGGCAAATCGACGTCCAGATGTCGAGACCTTTTTTACTAAGTTAGTTTTCACATATTGTACATATCTAAGTCAGTTAATAAATACCTTCGCTAGTGTTAACATCGTTGGCCTTTTATTTTTCGCACTTTAAATACGCACACAAATTAACAGATAACATGAAAAAAAAAATTCCTAGATGGTCAACTGAAAATAAAATACTTGCCTTGGCTATGTACAAAAGAGGTCCAAAATGTTATCGCTTTTTAAAACATTTTTTCAGACTTCCGTCAAAAACAACTTTGTACAAATTTTTGAAAAATATACCTTTTGAATGTGGCGTGAATGACGAACTATTTGATAAGTTAAAAATGAGAATTGAGAAACTGAAACCAAGAGATCGATTATGCAAGCTTATGTTTGATGAAGTGTCTTTATTCGAGATCTACTGACAAAATTATTGGTTTTGAGGATTTGGGATCTTTAGGACGAAATAAAAATTATGCTAACCATGCGTTAGTATTTATGATACAAGGTATTAGTTCCGGATGGAAACAACCAATAGCGTACTATTTTGTTAAGGACTCTATTAAAAGTATAAAATTAAAACTAATAATTAAAGAAATTATTAGCAAACTTAATATGGCCGGCGCAAAAGTCATATGCACCGTTTGTGATCAGGCCAGTTCGAATGTAAAGGCTCTACGTTTGTTAAAACAAGAATCAAATGTAGAGTATAAGGAACCATACTTTAAGGTAAATTCAAAAAAAATTGTATGTTTATATGATAGTCCTCATTTATTGAAATCATTAAGAAATGCTCTCCTTAAATATACGATTTATTATGATGAAACCAAGAAAGCTAAATTTATGTATTTGAGACAAGCTTATCAATTTGATAGTACTCGAAGATTTCAAACTTTGCATAAAATCCGAGAACCCTTTCTTTACGTGAACAGATATAGATTATTAAAGATGAAAGTGTCAATTGCAGCAAAAACACTTAGTGCCAGTATGGCAGCTGCACTTGAAACTCTAATAGATTCAAAAGAAAATATTCCTTCAGAAGCAATCGAAACGGCTTTCTTTGTAAAAGACGTAAATGATTTATTCGACAGTTTCAACTCCACTAGTATTAATATGCGTAACAACCACTGCAATCCAAAGCTAAGATGTGCTTTAACAAAGAAATCTGGTCATTTTGATTTTTGGAATAAAATGGAAAAAAAAATCGAAAGTTGGAAATTTTATGACGAAGTACGTGGTCAATTCAAAACAACTATGCCCTTTAAAGAAGGTTGGTTAAATAACATTCGTGGAATTAGACTTCTTTGGCAGATGTGTGAAAAAAATGAATTCAAATTTTTGCGAACAAGAATGTTGAATCAGGATCCTCTAGAAAATTTATTTTCAATGATACGACAATACGGTTCAGGAAATAGTAATCCATCGTGTTTTCAATTTATATCGGCGTTAAAAACAAGTATTTTGAATAATTTGATAGCATATCAAGCATATGGTAAGAATTGTGAAGAAGATGTAGGAAAACTTCTCGATAATCTTAGAATATTTTTATCCTCGTCATCAAAACCAACAAATTTTCAGTTTACAGAAAATATCAATGAGTTGGTAAATTTAGAAAATTCTAGCTCAACTAATAGAGCTGCATTTAAAGATTTATATGATCTTCAGGCTATTACATATGTTTGTGGCTTTTTAATAAAAACATTAAAAGCTATCACATGTAAAGACTGTAAAAATTGTATAATTGCACAAAAAACCGAAGAACATCATATTTTCACTCTTTACAAAGAACAGGATCAAAAATTAAGGTTGAAATATGCTACAAAAGAATTTGTAACATGCTTAGCTGAGATTTACGATACCATAGTCTTCTTTTTAGATAATTTTGGAGAAGTTCCAAATATTGCAAGAAATTTAAAAGAACATATAACAGCAACAATTAACTTTACTTGGATTAACTGTGACATTCATATTGCTGATTTAAGAACGGAAATTATTAATTTGGCAGTGCGTCTAATAATAAATAAAAAATTGACCAATCTGCAAAAACAATTTGAAGTACATAATCGTAGAAGAATTAATAATTCAAATAGGTTTTAAAATTAACACCTACCCGTAGTTTCAAGAGTTTTTTTTAAGCAGTTTGTAATTAAATTATTTTTTTTAGGTATTTCGAAATGAAATGGACCTTTACAGCGAATTTTTTTTTAATTATTTTTAAAAAGTACAACAATAAATAACTCTACTGTCATAATTAATTTTTATAATTTTCAATTGGGTGCCATAAAAAAAATAATGAAATATTGATAATTTTAAACTTTCCGCCTACATGACGTCAGCAGCCCAAAACTCGCCTGCCACGTGATAAATCGTGGATCGTCGTTACTTTCCGCCATTTTTTTGCAACATTTTTTGTAACCTGGAAGTTTAGGTAATCTCATCTACCAATATGGTTATATATCGTATAGTACTTACGACATTGTGTAATAATAAAGTAAATGAAGACTGATGTGATTACACCACTCAAACATGATAAAAAAAAGTGAGGTTATGGGTGTTTTTAAAAAGTCGCCTAGAGGCCGACAACACGTTTTACACGAATATTTTCAGGTGATTACGGAAAAAGTGGGTGTGGTTCGTAGCCAATGAGAAAGGGAAGGTCCGTGACGTCAGCATTAAAATTGTATTCGAATTTTTATGGTTTGTTTTAATGATTACGGAAAAACAGAGAGGTTTTACCTAATAATTGAACTTTGTAATAACACATTTTATTGTTAAAAAGTGATAAAACTTATTTAAACAGTAATTCTGAATGTACTGTAAAGGTCCATTGTTTTTCTTTGAGAGTTGTTTTGTAATTTTGTCATTGTTATCAAATATATGTTTTTCATTACTGAATTTAGTTTCATTTTTATAGAATTAAAATTGTAATTAAAAATAAAATTACTACTATAGTAATTATAATCTAGTAATCAGTGGATTTAATTCATGCAGGAGCTCGAGCAGCGCTGTAATCGCCACATTAAATCGTAGTGGTTTTTGAACGTCTTTCTATTTGCTTAATGGTCTGTGGTCTGATTGTTCGAATGACATTTGAGGTATTACAGGTTTCTATACCAAACGTCAAATCAGGAGTAACTATCAGCAGTTTCGAGACCTCCTCGAAATTTATTCACAGGAGAACGAAAAATTCAAATTTTAGGCCTCGTTAGTTTTGATTGTACTTTCATTAAAAATTCATTTGTTGCATAGACATTTGGACCGATTTCTACCAAGAAAAAGGAAAATGTTTCTATCGAGAGGTAAGGGCAGTGAAAGAAAGAAAGCACCACAAGATTTTTTTTTAATTTTTAATTAATCATGTATGCATAATACATATTAACAGTTTGGTTCGAAAATAACAACAGTCTTAAAAATAAATTTCGTATACTTATTACATATCTGTGTTCGTACAATCGGAGATGCATTTATCTCAAAAACTAACATTTTTTTCATATTCTTTCGCTCCAGTGGCGTAAACAACACCCCTGCAAGGGCGTAAATTTCAAGAGGATGCAAAAACTATGTACCAAACATTTATTTAGGTAACCTATACAGTCCATTTGAATAAATCAATTGGTGCTCCCGCACCTTTCTGTCTAAAAACACTTTCAATTCTTGTATATTACACTCGATGGTGGGGCCTTGGAAGGCAAACATCTTCAACATCTGGTGGATCCTCTCCAATGGAAGCGTGTCCAAGTTCATCAGCATGCCCAAGATATATGACCAGAAGGTCTGTAAAAAAATAATCAACTCCAGTAACAAAAAAATATTTCTGTTTGGTACCTGGAGCTCTTCTTCTCGTTGGTCTTGCGCACTGGCCATAGCAGACTCTGACTCATAATCCTCCACCACTATATCATCTTGTAAATTATTTTCTTTATTTTCTTGTTCTTCTTGCAAGTGAAACACATCCGGTTCTCGCTCAGTTATGACTCCGTGTGACTGCCAGAAGCTCAACTTCCGTCTTAAGATGGTTGATGGCACATGCATTACTTTACTTAAAGCATCCAAAGACCACGACTCTAAATCGAACAATTTAAATAATTATTTTTCGATTTCCGTCGTCAATTGACTTACTGTGGTCTTGAAAATGCATCAAAATCGTCGCATGCACCGGCGACACCGACAAACTCAAACTCCTATCCGCCAACTCGATCTCCAGGTCGACGATCCCCAAATGCGTCTTCCAGCACAGCGTCCGACTCCCTTTCAGAGTCTCAAACGCGCTCGTGTACTTCTCCATCTGTTTCGCTAGCCTCTTGTGCAACTCCAGCTTCTCGTCCTTGAACGGGGGCCAAAACTGGGCTGACACGATCATCGCCGACATCGGAATGTCGTCCTCTGAGTAGTTCAAGTCTTGCTTGATGTGCTGGTTGATCCGTTTGGAGTCCGCGATGTCCTTCAACATCACCTCGCAGTAGTGCAACTGAGAGTCGCCGAACCTCAGCTTCAATAGCTCCAGGTAGCGGATCTCCTTCTCGGTGTCGCAGGAGTACTGCGAGAGGAGCCGGTCGGCCAGGAGCGTGCGATACTCGTTGACGAAGAGCTCCTTGCTCCCGTAGACGTTGACAAGCATGGAGATGATGTCAGAGGTGCGAGGGAGACCTGAAGTTTTGCCTGGAACGACGAGAGTGAGAGGGGGATTGTGGAAGGTAGGGTGAGTTACTTGTGACGCCGTCCACGGGGTCCGGGGTCCAGGTCTCCCAGTCCTCGACGCCGTCGTCCACTGGGGTGTTCTCGTCGACTTGGACGGCTTCGCCACGGACGAGCTCCTCGGCGAGGTCGTTGGGGCCCTCCTCCGTCAAGCTACTCACGACGCACCTATTCAACAATACAATAATTATAAACTAATTAATTAATTACGATTAGTGACCTGATGGTGTCTTCCCGACTTCTCAAGTACCGATGAATGGGTTGCGTGATGGTTTCTAAAAGCAAACCACAGGGGTCTAGGATCCGTAAGGACCGGATTGTGGCAACATAAGCTGTTAAAACGTCTGAAGTACTGACACCTGGATGTAACAATCTCGTCTCCATCGCCTTCTGCAACGTCTTAGTCAAATGTGGCTTTAAGTCAGTTTTGGGTAGACACAACCTGAGATCCTCTAGAGCAGGAAGAGAGTCTGGATACTCTAGAAACCAAAAAATCAAACATTGTTGTCATATTAAAACCACAAAAGTACCAATTATGATATTAAATAGTTGATCTATCCTGATCTTTGTGTATGCGTTGTACAAATAACTGATGAGTTTCTGATCAAATTCATTTATAAAACGCTCAGATCTGTTGGCGCAGTCATAATAATAAATTTTCTTCAGCCAGGAAATGATCACCGATTGTAGCCACTACAATAAAGATTTTAATACCAAACCTATTGGTCTTTTTTTGTCAAACCTTTTCCAGACTCTCTAAATGTGACGTGTCGAAACTATCCTTACATATTTTCTGTATGTGGGCCTGTATATAATTATAAATCAAGTCAGTCAGTGACTGCCCCACTAGTGGCTCCAACAATGCCATTTTTCCCAACTTCCTGCAAGACATGCTAAAAACCCAACCAACAAACCCAAATCCTTACTTATTTGTCTCCTGGAACATCTCCACACACTGACACACATACTGCTCCTGCAAACACCCGCAGCACTGCTCATTCCCGTAACTCTCCTCCTCGCAGTCCTGCCTTTTCAGCGCCTTTTCATAAAAACTCAAAATCAGCCACTGTTGATCGACCGGCAGCTGCGACAGCAACACCGCTTTCACTATCAACTTCAAGGCTTCGTGCAAACACGCGTGGTTGTACACGGGCTTGGCCACATTGCTCGCCTCTCTTAACACAATCAGTTTGTTCATAATCAAGTCGAGCTTCATGTAGTTGTAATAGAGAAACTTCACGGCGTCGTGGAACTCCCGAAAGGTCGCCGAATCGTGGTCGGTTTTCTTAAAGTGTGACCAGAACTGAGGGACGATGTCTTTCCGCAAACGCTCCTCCATCCGAGTTATTACCAAATCCTGGATTTGTTCCGCCAGGTTTAGGAGTTTGATGGTGTTAACGGCTTCAAAGGGAACAGTCTCGAAGTCGCTTTCGGGCAGCGATGGGGGGCTCTGCAGAATGGGAAAGGCTTGTGTAATGGTGGCCCAAGCGGCTTTGTAGTCGAAAGAGGGGTTGTTCATTGTTTTGTTTTGAATCGGTTGCGGCAAAATTTGGTTAAATTGTTAGGTTATGTTATGATTTGGGGATTTGTGTCGCGTCTAGTGTCACCAACCTTGGGTAAGAAAAACATTTTTATAAAACTGTAAATATTAGAAAACTAAAACGACTGCACAGTGCTTTTTGAAGAATTCAAGGTAAATAACTAATCCTTAAAATTGTTGTATTATTGCATTGAATACCCAATTATTGTACAAAATCAATAATTATTATATAGTTGGCAATGCTGGTCACATGTCACGTGTCGCTCGTTGCGCTTTTCTATTCGTCAATTTTGCAGTCTTGTTGATAACCTCACATTTTCACGTTTTTCAAGTTTGTTGTTTTGAATTTCGTCATTTCGTGATGTACTCTCCAGAGAGACGGTTTTACTACGAAACTAGAGATTTGGACGTTTATGAGCATCTTCAACACAAAAGGATGTACGAAAAGTTGGAGAACGAGCGAGAACAGGCCCTCGAGGCAGGAACTTGGAAGTGTGGCCAGAGTTACGCCGTTCCCGTGGCTTCACCCAAAAAGAAGAAAAAGAAGAAGTTCAATGGTGAACGTGCAATGGATGAAGAATGGTCTTCGTTGAGTTCTACACCGGAAAAACTCAAAAAGAAGCATAGATTAGACAGCCAGGGACACAACGAGGAACAATCTGAAGAGAATTCACAAAAAAGGAAACGTAAAAAGCACAAAAAAAGTGACTCTGAAAGTGTGGACACTTCCACAGATGGAGGTAGTTTTGATATCGAAGTATCAACGAAGCACAAAAAGAAGAAAGATGGGGAACTACAAAAAAGGGGAAATGGTGAAATTGAAGTTAAAGAAAAGCACAATAATTCAGAAAAACTAAATGGAAGGGAAGTAAATCATTCATTTTCTTCATCTGATAGTCAACCTGGTGAAAATAACACACAGCCAGAAGAGAATAGAAGAAAGAAAAAACACAAAAAAAGAAAACGTGAAAATGAAATAGATTCTTCCGAACTTGAGAAAACTCCGGTAGATGCACCTAAAAAGAAGAAAAAGAAGAAACATCTTCAAGAACATGAACAACAAGGAAATGAAACTGTTACCCCAGACAAAAATAAAACAACAAATGGAGACGATAGTGACGTTAAAGAAGAATTAATGTCGTCTGGTTCGGTCAAAAAGTCAAAAAAAGAGTCAAAAATAACCACCCAATTAACCGCAATCAAAGAATTGTTTCCCATCGATGATGAAGTAAAGAGTGAAAACACAAAAGACTCTAAAGAAGAAGAAAATTTGCATTCGGTTGTTGATTTAGGTGTAGACGTTATCAAAGAATTTGAAAAACCCTTCACAGATGATGACACGTCCCAGGAATTGGCAAAATCGCCACTCTTTGAAAAACCGAAAAAACAAGAAAAAAATAAAAAACGGGGTGCTGTGATTGTTAAAGCTGAAAAATCGCCACCGGAGCGGGGTTTAAAAATTAAGAAACTTTTTTCTGTCTCTAAGTGCGATGACGACGAGGTGTTAAAAGATAAGGATTTGTCGTCGGAAATCAAAAAAATTAAAGAGGAAAAGCGATTAAGCTCTGCGGAAGAAAAGGTTTTTTTTTTGTAAAAAGTGTCTAGTTTTTTCAATATTTTAATTTCAGGTGCTGAAGAAGTTACATATAAATTTACCTTGGCGAGTTCCCCCGTTGCATATGGTAGAAACAAGGGTGGCTGTTAGACCGAACAAAGAACAGAAGATGCGCATAGAAGAATTGGCGGTGGAAGTGAAGACGGGCTCCTATACTAAACTGGAAGATGTACAGATTAGGGCCAACTGGGAAAAATTTTGTAAAGTGAGCATCTTCACCCTTAATTGGAAAATTATCTATATATAACATTTTTTCACAGATGCACGAACTCGCTGAAGATCCCAAACCTTTCCTCAACTTGGTAAATTCTGACAGGAAAGTGACTTTCCCCACGAACGAACGTATCAACTTTGTTCGCTTTTTAGCGCATAAACTCGATAATAGACTTCTGTGTTCAGTCTACAACAGATTCCGACGACTCTTCCAAGCTCAGGAAATCAGAAGTGGAAGGTACAACCAAATACATACAACATACATAATTTATTTTTGAAATAATCATGTTGGCATTACCGCCATTTGACTTTATTTGACGCAACTGTCAAACCGAATGTGTTGCCAACATAATTTTTTTACCATTAAAATTTGCATTGCCAGGTTCACAACACAAGAAGACGAAAAAATTGTTGAGTACATACAGAGTTCGTCATCGAGAACCCCCTACTCGGATCTGGCGGTACTTTTAAACCGAACCAAAACTGCGATCGAGAAAAGAGCACAGAAACTGGTACTAAAATTCAATAATGCTCAAACTTCTGTTATAAAATGGGACAAGAAAAAAATTGAAGAATTCTTAACCAATTTCGTTGAGGTGACACAAGTGGAAGAGATTACAGATCTTAAAACTCGAGAAGTCACTACTGAAGAGTGGCGCCAGATGGAGAGTAGAATGAAAATCCCTATGGTGAAGCTACGCAACGCGTGGATGCACACCATTTACTCTAAAATATTCACGAAACGGAAACTGAAGACGTCACGTGTGAGAAAATACCTCATAAGAACGTTAGTTTAGCGTTTTTGTTGATTTTCGACAATGTACGAATTTTGTGTTGTTTTTAGGTTGGTAGAGAGGGGCGAAAACGACTTACGGGCTATTAATTGGAATTCGATTCAAACGGAGATGGAAAAGAAATACGAGGGATTCACAGGACAGAAACTTAATACAATGCTGCAATCCATGATTAATTATCACGTGCCTGCGACGAAGCGGCATAATTTGAAAGGTATAGATTTTTGAGAGTGCCACTCGAGTTTCATTGTTTTGGTTTCAGTGTGTTTAAAATACTTGGAAGAAGCTTGTAACAATGGTGGAATTAGAGGACAGAAAGTGAAAAGGTTTAAAGTGATTGATAATAGATAATCAGACAAGTGATAAGTGATTATTTTAAACACTCCGAGCTTTTTTATTTTGAAAATTGCAATTAATTTTGAGCTGGCGATGAAGAAAAAGGATTTTTTGTGTACATGAGAGAAAAACGAATTCTGTTAGGGCTGAAAAAATATTTCTTTTTTAAGTATGTTGCAAACTATGCAGAATCAACAGACTAAAAGTGAGATGATATAAAATAGTAAAAAGAAGCTTTAAATAAAAAATAAAACAGTGTCATGAGGGTTTGATTGTTGAAGATTACCGTTTTTTTTGTAATTGTCAAAAATTTCTTATCAGTTTCCGTTACTGCACCGTTGTCGGTACTTTTGCCACAAATGTCATTGTCATGTGATTAACTACGAGCGTTGTTATTGGTTATTGGAAACATCGGTGCCAACCACACAGTAACTACCCTGTTTTTACCATAATTTGTTAAAAAATGTCAGACACGTCCGCACGAATGTACGAAAACACGGTAATTGAGAAGAAACGTGATATTGTTTTTAATAATCCCGAGAATAATTTTCCTCATTATTAGATTGAGTAATTTCATTTATGATTTACTTCAACATTGGCAGCAATGCATCACGTGTCAATGTGTCAATTTGATTGAGCCAATGGGATCAGGGTTTTTAAAATACGTCTCTGTGTCTAAAAACTTTCTTTTTTAAACTTTTGTCAGTTGAGATTATTACAATAAAATGAACACGGTAATTTGAGTGAAAATACGGTAAATTTTAGCTATGTTTACGGTATTTTCTTCCCGCAAGGTTGGCAACACTGATTGTAAATAATTTCGATTTCGAAAAGTCAAAGTCTAACCTTACTTTTACACGTTTATTTTTTCATTGTTTTTATTTAAAATCGACCAATTTATGGCTGACTGAAACCCACGTACTTTAAAAGGTGTTTCAACATCAGCAGCTGAAAAATGAAGAATGCAAAAAGGGGGTCGTTTTCTCAGTCTGAGACAGATTTGGTCAAAAATAAAACGAACGGTGATTCTTTAGTTTCGGAATATGATACAACCAAGAGGAAAAGAAAAGCACAAGCCGAAATTGATTTAGGTGTAGACAGTGGGGCATCAAAAAGACAGAAGAAAAATAAACGCTTGTCTCAGGAAAGTGTGATAGTGGAGGAAACCTCACAGCCCCCAGTTTCCTCAAAAAAGAAGAAAAAGAAGAAATATGTCGATCAGAGTGAGGTTGAGGAACAGCTGCCCCCAGTTGAGTTTGAAACACATGAAGAGAATACAAAAAAGAAGAAACATAAGAAGGAAAGAAAAGAAAATATTACTTCTAAAAAGAAGAAACATGTAGATAATGAGATCCAAGTTGAAGCATATTCAGAGGAAGATACAAAAAGGCACAAACATAAAAAGAAAAAATATGAAGATGATCAGATTGCAGACAGTGAAAGTGATGCTTTAGTTGCACCTAAAAAGAAGAAAAAGAAACGCAAAAATGAACACGAAGTGATAAAAGAAGAGAAAAGTAAAATAAAGGAAGAGAAGACTGAAAGAAAACGAAAAAAGCAAGAAAACACAAAGTGGAGTGTCATTTTTTCTGATTATAATTTTGACACAGATGATGAGGACCGATTAAAAGAAGAGGTTGCTTGGTTGGAAGCAGAGGCGGAGGAAATAAAAGAAAAAAATCGATTAAATAGTGCAGAAGAAAAGGTATTTGATAGAAAGTGACCACATTTTTCTCAAATTTTTGGTTTGTAGAAACTTAGTGAATTAAGAATAAATGTTCCATGGCCGGTTCCTCCTCTTCATATGATAGAAACCCGAATAACCATGAGACCAAATGAACAACAGAAAAAGGCTATAGAGGACCTGGGGGTACCGATTAAGTCGGCGACTTATTATAGTAAGACTGAAGATGAGCAGATTACCAAAAACTGGAAAGAATTTTGCAAAGTGGGTAATTGTGCAAAAAAATAAACAATTATTGAGTAAATCGCTTACAGATGCACGATCTCCCTGAAGACCCCAAACCCTTCCACAACACGGTGAATCCAGACGGTCAGGTAATCATTTCATTGCCGGAAAGGCTGAATTTCGCTCGATTTTTAGCCCACAACCTCCACGACCGCCTCCTGTGTTCAGTGTACAAGAGATTTCGCCGGTTATTCCCTCAGCAACAACAGAAAACCGGAAGGTAGAAACCGTCCAAATTTTTTACAGTGTTAATAAAAATGAGTCATGTTTAGTCGATTTACGCCGGAAGAGGACGCCAAAATCGTCAAATACCTGGCAAAATCGTCCAGCAGGACACCGTGCGCAGACTTGGGGGCTTTACTGGGCCGAAACAAGGACGCCATAGAAAAACGGGCCCGCATTCTGAAGGAGGAGGCCAGTTTTGGGAACCTCGACGTTAAATGGGACACCGAGAGGATCCAAGAGTTCATAAATCACGCTGTGGAGGTCACCCAAGTGAAGAAAGTGAAGCATCTGAAGAAACGGGAAATCACGACTGAAGAATGGCGCCGTTTAGAGGAGAGATTGCGCATCCCAGTGCGCAAATTACAGAAAGGGTGGGCGTGCCGGATTTACCCGACGTTGTTTGTGAAAGTCCACGCAAGCACCATGCAAGTGAAAGAGAGTCTCATACGGCTGTAAGTCACCACACTGGATGACACTTTTCGACTAAAACCAGTGGCGTTTACGGATTTTTTTTTTTAGATTAGTACAGAGGGGTGAACGTGATTTTAAAACAGTCGATTGGAATTTAATTCAGGAGGAGCTGGGTCAAGACGGTCAAGGTTTCACAGGGCGAGGTCTCCACGAGTTGCTACAAGGCATGATTTATCATTGCGTTCCGGTTGAGCAACGAAACGACGCAAAAGGTACTAATTTATGTCTTAAGGCCGTGTGACACGATGCTAAATTTATGACAAATTTTAGCGAGATAAATTTTGTGCAAAAAATTGTACCGTGTCATACACAATTTACATGCTAAATTTGTGTGCAAATTTTGGTGAGAAATTATTTAGGACACGTTCTAAATACTGACTAAATTTGTTACGAAAACTGTGCAGTACGATAAGGCGCAACCGGTACGACGCCATGATGAAATCAACATAACCAAACAGTTCTTTTGCCCACAAATTGAGCACCCGTTAATCTCAAAAAAATTTGATATGCAATTGGATCTTCTGGCAACAACTCGGTATTTAACATGTTTAAAATATCTCGTCCTTCTTGTCGCCTTGTTAACCAAGGTCTGCTCCATAGTGAACGTCGTTTTCTTCTTTGAATTTTCCGATTTGTTTTATAGGCATAGCAGCTTAGAACAATACTCGAAGCAGCAATAGTTGTATAAACAAGTATTTCCTCACAATTCATTATAAATGATTAATAAGTAAATAATAAACAAACAAATTGTAGGTTATGTCACAGAGGTTATGTTGAAAAACGCACCTTACCAATCACCATTACCAACACTATTTCTTAAATTCCCGAAAATTTTCACTCACTACGCATGCGCGAATGGTAAATTTACAAGAGAATTTAGTAAGGTGGCATACAGGAGATATATTGTTTAGTTGTAAATTTAGTTACATTTTTTCGAACTAAATTTCGTACAAAAATTTGTCATAAATTTAGCATCGTGTCACACGGCCTTTACTAAACTAGATAATATTGTGTTTTCAGTGTGTTTAGAATATCTGCAACAAATTTTAAAAAACGGGGGTATGAGAGGCCGCAAAATAAAAAAAATACATGTGAATGACGAGAACGAGATACTCACGTGATGAAATTGCAGAAAAAGGAACTATCAACACAAAAACAGGATACATTCCATAACTGGAAACCCCCACATCCACTGCAATGACTTTATTGTACCTTTACAAACTTAAACTTATTACGAAATAAATTTTACTTTTGTGAATACTCCTTAACTCTGAACCTTAAAAGAACAAACTTAGATAAATTCGTCGGGCTCTCTGGGCGCGTCCAGGTCTCTGTAGTGAATCACGGGCCTAAAATCTCCGCCTCCGCCCCTGCAACTCACCAACTTTACGCAATGTAACCACAAGGTCTGAATATTTACCTCGATCGTGGCGTGTAGCCTCTGGATCTCTGCGAATACCCCTGGTTGTAGTAGGGCGGTAACCGGCCGTACCCCCCGAACGACCCTCCGTACGAGGGGTGGTTGTACGTCGGGGGCTCCTCCCGCTTAGGCTGGGGGGCCTCGGCCAACATCGGCCTCTTCGGGTCGCGCAGATAGTTATTGAAATACTCCACCTCCTTCTTCACTTCTTCGATTTTCTCGGCGTGTTTGTTGAAGATGTGCTTGCGGACGAAGTTCGGACCTTTGAACTTCTTTCCCGACAGAGGGCACAACCACTTTTCTTTGGCTAATTCTCGCGTGTTCGCTTGCACGAACTTGTCGATTTCCGTGTCCACGTCCTTGAGGGACAAGTTGATCAGCTTGGTCTCGTTTTTGTTCTCGTCGCGTGGCTTCTCTGGGAGGAAACTCGCCATTTTGGCTTCGATTGGCACGCCAATGAACTGAGTCATGTCGGTCTGGAATTTTTTCGGTCGCGATTAAACTTATCTCGATCGTGCGGAAAAAACTTACTTTTGTGGTGGGCGGGGGGCCTCGTGCGTGCAAAATCCCGCACCTGTTGGGCATCTCGTCTTCGTTCGGATACTCGCAGTGGTTGTAATAGTCGACGGAGTGAACGACACGTAGGTATAAAATAATTCTGTCGAGTACGGCTATCAAATTCTCGTCCCGGTCCACCGTGGTGGCGGAATCCTGGGTCTCGGCGGTCGGTTCCAGACCCAGGAGTTCCTCTTCTTCGGCGCTCGCTTCCTCGATGAGGTAGTCGGTGATGTTGTGGAGGACTGGGTTGTTCGAAACCAGACCGAAGGTCTGTTGGGGTTTTTCCTTCTTGTCTTCGTCCAGCCAAAGCCCCACTTTGTTGTCGAGATGCAGCGCCACCTAACACACACAGAGGTCATTTTCAATTTTTGGATTTTTGAACTTTTCGAATCAAAAAATGAAAAAACAAAAAACTGTAATTTTGAAAATCTAAAAATTGGAACTCAAGAATTTGATAAACTTAAAAATCGAAATCCTGAAATATTGAAAATTAAAGAAATAATAATAAAAAATTTAATTCAATAATTAGAAATTTGACAAATCAAAAAATCGAAGACGAGAAAGATAAAATCGAAACACTGAAAAATTGAGAAATCGAAAAGTGAAAAATTGGAAAATCGAAAAAAAGAGAAACTCAACTAAAAAACTGAAAAATTGAAAAATCACAAATTCCAATTTCTCGATTTTTCAATTTTTAGACTTTGTTGTTTTTCATTTTCTGGTTTTTTTGGATTTTTCGATTTTCCAATGTCTCGATTTTTCGACTTTTTGAAAGATTGACAAACATAAAAATCTAAAAATTGGTAAATTGAAAAATTTAGAAATTGTGAAATCGACAAATCGAAAGTTTGAAAAATTGAGGATTTCTCAATTTTTTTATTCGACTTTACGATTTGGAAAGTCGAATAAATTGGAAAACGAAAAATCAGAAAACTCAAAAAATCCAAACATCGAATAATCGAAAAATTAAGAAATCGAAAAATCCAAGAACAGAACAATCAAAAGTTGAAAATTCGAGCAATTGTAAGGTATAGAAATTGAAAAATCAAAAATTTGTATAATGGAAATGTTGGAACATAAAAAATAAAAAAAAAAAACTGTGAAACAGCTAACAAATTGAGGAATCTAAAAATTGAAAAATGGATAAACCGAAAAAAATAAAAAATGAAAAATCACAAGGAACAAAACAATCAAAACACTGAAAATTCGAGAAATTGAAATATCAAAAAAATTGAAAAAGCGAAAATTTGTATAACCAAAAAATTATAAAGTTGAAAGATCGAATAGTCGAAGAATTAATAAATCGATAACTCGAATATCAAAAAAATTGAAAATTAGAGAAATTGAAAGATTTGAAATTTGAAAAATCGAAAATATAGAAAATACGAAAATTAAAAAACTGAAACAGCGAATAAATTGAAGAATCTAAAAATTGAAAAATCGAAAAACTGAAAAGTTGAAACATCAGACAGTCGAAAAATTAAGAAATCAATAAATCGAGGAACTGAAATAAAAAAACTGAAAATTCCAGATACTGAAAAATTTGAAACTTGAAAACTCGAAAATTTGTATAATTGAAAAACTGGAAAATAGAAAAATTAAAAAACTGAAACAACGAATCGAAAAAGTGTAAAATCGAAAAATTGAGGACGAGAAAGACCAAAATCGAAAAATTGAAAAATCACAAATTCCAATTTCTCGATTTTTCAATTTTTAGACTTTGCTGTTTTTCATTTTCTGGTTTTTTATTTATATTTTTCGATTTTCCAATGTCTCGATTTTTTGACTTTTTGAAAGATTGACAAACATAAAAATCGAAAAACTGATAAATTGAAAAATTTAGAAATTGCGAAATCGACAAATCGAAGGTTTGAAAAATTGAGAAATCGAAAAGTCACATAAATTGGAAAACGAAAAATCAGAAAACTCAAAAAAAACAAACATCGAATAATCGAAAAATTAAGAAATCGAAAAATCCAGGAACAGAACAATCAAAAGTTGAAAATTCGAACAATTGACAGGTCTAGAAATTGAAAAATCGAAAATTTGTATAATCGAAATGTTGGAACATAAAAAAATAAAAAAAACTGAAACAGCTAATAAATTGAGGAATCTAAAAACTGAAAAATCGAAAATTTGTATAACCAAAAAATTAAAAAGTTGAAAAATCACTAGGAACAAAACAATCAAAACACTGAAAATTCGAGAAATTGAAATATCAAAAAAATTGAAAAATCGAAAATTTGTATAACCAAAAAATTAAAAAGTTGAAAGATCCAATAGTCGAACAATTAATAAATCGATAACTCGAGGAAATGAAATATCAAAAAATTGAAAATTAGAGAAATTGAATGATTTGAAATTTGAAAAATCGAAAATTTGTATAATCGAAAAGATAGAAAATACGAAAATTAAAAAACTGAAACAGCGAATAAATTGAAGAATCTAAAAATTGAAAAACTGAAAAGTTGAAACATCAGACAGTCGAAAAATTAAGAAATCAATAAATCGAGGAACTGAAATAAAAAAACTGAAAATTCCATATACTGAAAAATTTGAAACTTGAAAACTCGAAAATTTGTATAATCGAAAAACTGGAAAATAGAAAAATTAAAAAACTGAAACAACGAATCGAAAAAGTGTAAAATCGAAAAATTGAGGACGAGAAAGACCAAAATCGAAAAATTGAAAAATCACAAATTCCAATTTCTACATTTTTCAATTTTTAGACTTTGCTGTTTTTCATTTTCTGGTTTTTTATTTATATTTTTCGATTTTCAAATGTCTCGATTTTTTGACTTTTTGAAAGATTGACAAACATAAAAATCGAAAAACTGATGAATTGAAAAATTTAGAAATTGCGAAATCGACAAATCGAAAGTTTGAAAAATTGAGAAACCGGAAAGTCGCATAAATTGGAAAATCGAAAAATCAGAAAACTCAAAAAATCCAAACATCGAATAATCGAAAAATCCAGGAACAGAACAATCAAAAGTTGAAAATTCGAACAATTGACAGGTCTAGAAATTGAAAAATCGAAAATTTGTATAATCGAAATGTTGGAACATAAAAAAATAAAAAAAACTGAAACAGCTAATAAATTGAGGAATCTAAAAACTGAAAAATCGAAAATTTGTATAACCAAAAAATTAAAAAGTTGAAAAATCACTAGGAACAAAACAATCAAAACACTGAAGATTCGAGAAATTGAAATATCAAAAAATTGAAAATTAGAGAAATTGAATGATTTGAAATTTGAAAAATCGAAAATTTGTATAATCGAAAAAATAGAAAATACGAAAATTAAAAAACTGAAAAGTTGAAACATCAGACAGTCGAAAAATTAAGAAATCAATAAATCGAGGAACTGAAACAAAAAAATTGAAAATTTCAGATATTGAAAGATTTGAAACTTGAAAACTCGAAAATTTGTATAATTGAAAAACTCGAAAATAGAGAAATTAAAAAACTGAAACAACGAATCGAAAAAGTGTAAAATCGAAAAATTGAGGACGAGAAACCAAAATCGAAAAACTGAAAAATCACAAACGTCAATTTCTCGATTTTTCAATTTTTAGGTTTTGCTGTTTTTCATTTTCTGGTTTTTTATATTTTTCGATTTTCCAATGTCTCGATTTTTTGACTTTTTGAAAGATTGACAAACATAAAAATCGAAAAACTGATAAATTGAAAAATTTAGAAGTTGCGAAATCGACAAATCGAAAGTTTGAAAAATTGAGAAATCGGAAAGTCTCATAAATTGGAAAATCGAAAAATCCAGGAACAGAACAATCAAAAGTTGAAAATTCGACTACTTGAAAGGTCTAGAAATTGAAATCGAAAATTTGTATAATCGAAATGTTGGAACATAAAAAAATAAAAAAAACTGAAACAGCTAATAAATTGAGGAATCTAAAAATTGAAAAATCGAAAATGTGTATAACCAAAAAATTAAAAAGTTGAAAAATCACGAGGACAATCAAAACACTGAAAATTCGAGAAATTGAAATATCAAAAAAAATTGAAAAATCGAAAATTTGTATAACCAAAAAATTAAAAAGTTGAAAGATCCAATAGTCGAAGAATTAATAAATCGATAACTCGAGGAAATGAAATATCAAAAAATTGAAAATTAGAGAAATTGAATGATTTGAAATTTGAAAAATCGAAAATTTGTATAATTGAAAAGATAGAAAATACGAAAATTAAAAAAATGAAACAGCGAATAAATCGAAGAATCTAAAAATTGAAAAACTGAAAAGTTGAAATATCAGACAGTCGAAAAATTAAGAAATCAATAAATCGAGGAACTGAAACAAAAAAAAATTGAAAATTCCAGATATTGAAAGATTTGAAACTTGAAAACTCGAAAATTTGTATAATTGAAAAACTGGAAAATAAAAATTGAGGACGAGAAAGACCAAAATCGAAAAACTGAAAAATCACAAATGTCAATTTCTCGATTTTTCAATTTTTAGGTTTTGCTGTTTTTCATTTTCTGGTTTTTTATATTTTTCGATTTTCCAATGTCTCGATTTTTTGACTTTTTGAAAGATTGACAAACATAAAAATCGATAAACTGATAAATTGAAAAATTTAGAAGTTGCGAAATCGACAAATCGAAAGTTTGAAAAATTGAGAAATCGGAAAGTCCCATAAATTGGAAAATCGAAAAAACAAAAAACTCAACAAATCGAAAGATCGAATAATCGAAAAATCCAGGAACAGAACAATCAAAAGTTGAAAATTCGAGTACTTGAAAGGTCTCGAAATTGAAATCGAAAATTTGTATAATCGAAATGTTGGAACTTAAAAAAATAAAAAAAACTGAAACAGCTAATAAATTGAGGAATCTAAAAATTGAAAAATCGAAAATTTGTATAACCAAAAAATTAAAAAGTTGAAAAATCACAAGGAACAAAACAATCAAAACACTGAAAATTCGAGAAATTGAAATATCAAAAAAATTGAAAAATCGAAAATTTGTATAACCAAAAAATTAAAAAGTTGAAAGATCCAATAGTCGAAGAATTAATAAATCGACAACTCGAGGAAATGAAATATCAAAAAATTGAAAATTAGAGAAATTGAAAGATTTGAAATTTGAAAAATCGAAAATTTGTATAATCGAAAAGACAGAAAATACGAAAATTAAGAAACTGAAACAGCGAATAAATTGAAGAATCTAAAAATTGAAAAATCGAAAAACTGAAAAGTTGAAACATCAGACAGTCGAAAAATTAAGAAATCAATAAATCGAGGAACTGAAATAAAAAAACTGAAAATTCCAGATACTGAAAAATTTGAAACTTGAAAACTCGAAAATTTGTATAATCGAAAAACTGGAAAATAGAAAAATTAAAAAACTGAAACAACGAATCGAAAAAGTGTAAAATCGAAAAATTGAGGACGAGAAAGACCAAAATCGAAAAATTGAAAAATCACAAATTCCAATTTCTCGATTTTTCAATTTTTAGGCTTTGCTGTTTTTCATTTTCTGGTTTTTTATTTATATTTTTCGATTTTCCAATGTCTCGATTTTTTGACTTTTTGAAAGATTGACAAACATAAAAATCGAAAAACTGATGAATTGAAAAATTTAGAAATTGCGAAATCGACAAATCGAAGGTTTGAAAAATTGAGAAATCGAAAAGTCACATAAATTGGAAAACGAAAAATCAGAAAACTCAAAAAAAACAAACATCGAATAATCGAAAAATTAAGAAATCGAAAAGTCCAGGAACAGAACAATCAAAAGTTGAAAATTCGAGCAATTGACAGGTCTAGAAATTGAAAAATCGAAAATTTGTATAATCGAAATGTTGAAACATGAAAAAATAAAAAAAACTGAAACAGCTATTAAATTGAGGAATCTAAAAATTGAAAAATCGAAAATTTGTATAACCAAAAAATTAAAAAGTTGAAAAATCACAAGGAACAAAACAATCAAAACACTGAAGATTCGAGAAATTGAAATATCAAAAAAATTGAAAAATCGAAAATTTGTATAACCAAAAAATTAAAAAGTTGAAAGATCCAATAGTCGAAGAATTAATAAATCGATAACTCCAGGAAATGAAATATCAAAAAATTGAAAATTAGAGAAATTGAATGATTTGAAATTTGAAAAATCGAAAATTTGTATAATCGAAAAGATAGAAAATACGAAAATTAAAAAACTGAAACAGCGAATAAATTGAAGAAACTGAAACAAAAAAAAATTGAAAATTCCAGATATTGAAAGATTTGAAACTTGAAAACTCGAAAATTTGTACAATTGAAAAACTAGAAAATAGAAAAATTAAAAAACTGAAACAACGAATCGAAAAAGTGTAAAATCGAAAAATTGAGGACGAGAAACCAAAATCGAAAAACTGAAAAATCACAAACGTCAATTTCTCGATTTTTCAATTTTTAGGTTTTGCTATTTTTCATTTTCTGGTTTTTTTATATTTTTCGATTTTCCAATGTCTCGATTTTTTGACTTTTTGAAAGATTGACAAACATAAAAATCGAAAAACTGATAAACTGAAAAATTTAGAAATTGCGAAATCGACAAATCGGAAGTTTGAAAAATTGAGAAATCGGAAAATCGCATAAATTGGAAAACCGAAAAAGCAGAAAATTCAAAAAATCGAAAATTTGAGAAATGGAAGAATTAAAAACCTGTGACAACGAATAGTTGAAAAGTGAAAAAGCGATGAATTGAAAATTTGAATAATTGAAAAAGAGAGAAATCGAAAAATCGAGGGCGAGAAAGATGAAAATAGAAAAGTCGAAAAATCGGAAAATCCAGAAATTGAAAAATCGGAAAAGTTAACTCTCACGATTTTTCGGCTTAAAAAAATTGGTCGAACGTTGTTTTGGCAGAACTTCCTAAAAAAAAAATCATAAAATCCAAAGAAACATTGGAAAAATAAAGGACATGAAAAAACGAAAAATTGTGATATAAAAGCGAGAAAACGAAAATTAAAAAATCGAAAAATGAAAAATATTAAAATCAAAAATTGAAAAAAAAACGAAAAATAATGACACGGAAACACTGAAAAATGGAAAACCTGAAAAATGAAAGAGTACAAAAAAACTTTATACCTTGGCCGAAATCCGGATGTCCGACCGCACCACCTGCTTGTGGGCGGTGATCCCATTAATGGGCCTGATCCGGCGGCTCAGATCCCTGTTCACGATGGCCCCCAGCTCGCAGTCCCTCAGCCTTATGTTGTTCAAATTCCAACAGATCTCCTTGATGTTGGCGTCCCTCTTGAACGTGACCCAACCCCTTCTCAGCCAGCGCCTCTCGGGCTGGGGGTCGGCCAACGCCACCCTCAGGAAGCCCTCGTACCGCCCGCACACCGCCTCCACCTCCTGCTTGGTAATCGTCGGCGCTAAGTTCCTCAAGAAAATCGACGTCGTCTTGTGCAGCGACTTCGGCTTTTCGGGCTTGTCGTCGTCCACCATCTCGATCTGCTCCTTCACCTCCTCCTTCGGCTTCTCTTTCTCCCTCTCCCTCTCCCTATCGACTTCTTCTTCGCCCTCCTCCTTCTTCTCCTTGTTCTCTTTCTCCTCCTCGCTCTCGCTGTCGCTGCTGGACGAGCCGGCGCCGCTGCTACTCCCAGAGAACGAACGTTTGCGTTTTTTATCCTCTTTCTGTTCCTTTTTTTCTTCGTTTACCTCGCCGGCTTCGATCTCTTTCGGCTGCTCGATCGTCTCGGGCTCTTTCTTCTCGTCCTCGACTTCCATCTTCTCGGGTTCTTTGATTTCTTCTTCGGGAGGCGGCGCGTCGTCTTTCTTGTCGGGCTCGATTTCGCCGTCTTCGGTGGCGGCGTTGTCGGTTTCGCCGTTCTCTTGTGTTTCGGGCTCCTCGGGCTTGGGTTTCTCGACAGGGGGCTCCTCTTTTTTGGGGGGGACTTCCTCGACGGGCTTTTCGGGAAGAACGTCCTCTTTCGTTTTTTCCTTGATACGTTCTTCAAGTTCTAAAGTACGATTGATTTACAATAAACATTATTTTTGTTCCAGATTAAAAAATACCTGTATATTCCTGCTCCAGTATAGCCAGATCTTCGTCAGTGCCACCTTCCAGTTTTATAACGACCGTATCCAGCAATTTAAGCAAGTCGTTCGTTTTGGCACAATCTACAGAAACTGCAAGTTTGCCACTATTCATCAAGTCCAAGAAAACCTCAACTCTTTTCTGCAAACGACATGACAGAAATCAAACTTTTAAAAAACCCTAATTACATAGATAAATAATACTACGTAAAATAGAATGCAAAGTCGGCTGTAATGCGTGTCCCAGGTTTGTGTCTAGGCTTATGTACCGGCCACATAATAAGAGATAGCACTGATAGCAGTGAAGTATTTTTTTTCCAAAAATTACTTGGCGACAACTTCCACAGCCAATTTTAAGAAACAATAAAAAAAACTAATGTCATTTATGATCAGTATAAAAGTGTCATTTGTGTGATTATACGTGATAACAAAGCGTAAAATATGAAACTGTGCAGTGTTTTGAAATGTCTAAACACTAAAATTATTAAACGCCATCGTTTTCCCAACCCATACAAATACAACGAGCGTTTTAAAATTTGGTTGGAACGGACAGGGAATCCAAATTTATGCAAATTAGATCCCATGAAAATATATAAAAATGGATATTTTCTTTGCGATGTACATTTTAAAGAAACGGATTTTGGCCCCAATCAAAAACTTAAAAATACTGCTATTTCTACAATTCAAATTATGCATGGTAAATATTTGTGTGCAAGTGAATGCCATAGATAATTTTTACAATAATTTCAGATAATATGAACGACTCCGAAAGACACACCCATGATCCCGTAAACCCTATTTCTATACTGGATTCTCAAAAATTTCGTACTGAAGTATCTCGAAATTCCAGAGAAACCCTAAACGAAACTTTAAACCAAGAATCTTCTCGAATACTAAATTTACATTCAAATTCTAGGAATATTTCGCGTACAGCCCGTAGAAACAAAATTAAGGTAGCTTCGTATCGCCAACGATTGAAATTATACTCCAAATTTGAAGTAAAATTAGAAAGCAAAATTTTAAGTCAGGATGCTATAAATTTTTGTTTATCACAATTAAAAAGACGAAATGTCAAACCAAAGGGTCGCAGGTTTACCACTGAAGATAAATTATTTGCATTAATGTTTTATAAACAGTCTGGGAGATGTTATAGAAAAATGAGACAGATTTTTGCACTGCCTTCACGTCAAACAATTATGTCTATGTTGAACAAAATTCCAGTAGACGTTGGTATAAACAAAATAATTTTCGACAATCTTAAAGAATCTGCTTCAAAATTAAATAACCAAGATAGAATATGTGCATTAATTTTTGATGAAATGTCCATAATGCCCCACATAGACTGTGACAAATACACGGATACATTTTTCGGATTTCAAAATTTTGGATTTGAACAAAATTTACAGATAGCAGATCATGTTCTTGTTTTTTTCATTCGCGGAGTGTTTAAAAAATGGCAACAGCCAATATACTTTGCATTTTCTTTTTCGTCTACAAAATCTTACATATTGACAACTATTATAAAAACTCTGGTTGAAAAAATACAAAATTGTGGATTCAAAATTCTGGTTACAATTTGTGATCAAGGCCAACCAAACCAAGCAGCTATAAATTCTCTGCTAAAGGAGTCGAAACAACGTTATATACATAAAGGGATGGAACCTAAAAGAAGAATTTTATTAGGGGATCAAGAAATTATTCCATTATATGACACGCCTCATTTAATTAAATGTATTAGGAACAATCTGCCTACTAAAAATTTAGTGTGGAAAACAAGCGAGGAAATTTTGGTTGCAAATTGGAAACATATAATCGATGCGTACTACAGTGATCAAACATGTGGAGAATTACGGGCTCTACACAAAATTACGGATCTCCACGTAATTCCGGAAAAAATTCAAAAGATGAAGGTGTGCTATGCGACACAAGTTTTGAGTCACTCAATGGCATCGACTATTACGCTATTGGTTAAATCTAGTAAATACAAATTTAAAAATAATTAACAGATTCATTTACAATTTAATTTTAGAGCCGAATGCAGTTTAACACAGGAGGCAATGGGAACAGCACGAATTATAAAATTTTTTGACAAGCTCTTCGACAGTGTAAATGGCAGTACTTTTCAACCACGGTGCGGAAAACCATTTTCTGCGGGCGTATTTAAATCTTCTGGTCATAAACATTTTTGGAAGGAAGCTATCAAAATTTTGGGTGATATGTATTTCGTCGATGAGGCCGGAAAAATGGTAGTACCTCCGTGTATAAAAAACTGGATTGCAACGTTAGAAGGTTTTGTGGATTTACATACAATTTGAGTAGAACAGGGCAGGTGCAAATATTTTTTACCTAGATGTTTAAATCAAGATGTTATTGAAAACTATTTTGGCAAAATCAGAAGTCAAAGAAATCGAGCAACTAATCTAACGGCAGCCCAATTTAAGGAAAGTTTCAAATCTCTATTATTACGCAATTTTTATAGTTCAAATTCAGTGGGCGCAAACTGCGAGAAAACGAACATACCGGATTTATTTCATATTAAAGGACTTGTGGATAAAAACATAAATCAACCTTCAGTAAATGAAACGAGTTACGAAATTTTAAACGTGAATATGTACATTTCAAAACTGTTTCCATATAATTTAGAAAAAGATCTTCATAAAAGTATTGTTGGTTATGTGTCTGGCTGGGTTGCGAAAACATTAAGAAATTTGAAGTGTGAATATTGTAAAACCCAAATTTTAAACAATTTTTCGGAAGACGAACAATGTTACAAATTAATACGTATAAGAGAATACAATTGTAATAACAGAAAATTGCAATATTGTAAGTTAGATTTTATAAAAAACATTAACAGAATTTATAATATTTCAAGAATCATTTTAAACAATTGTACATCTTTCGACAACATCAAAAACAAAATTTCGTTTATAGTATCTCATCATGTCAAATTTTCGTTTCATTGTGAACATAAGGAATTAATTGAAAGTGAAATATGTAATAAAATTATATATTTAACAATTTTTACGTTTGTAAAAGGTTTGAATTTAATTTTAAGCGGTCGCGATACAAGAGTTTCCACACATAAAAATGCATTATATCAAAATGCTTGTATAATGTACCAAAAAAAATTAAAGTCAAAAAAACGTAGACAATACTAATAAATTGTATATTATTCTACTCTGTGTTTTTAATATTATTAGTGATAATAAAAATAAAATATTAATTATAAAATATGCAGCAATGACGCATCTAGTAGTTCATGCTTTAGCACCGGCCACAAGGCACCAGGGGGCGTTTATTGAGACCAAAAATCAAGTGGGAGTTTGCATTCTATTTACGTAGTATTATTTATCTATGCCTAATTACCTTCAGTGCTGCCATCTGTTCTTCTTTTCTTTTAACGGAATCCTCTGGGTGGTACTTCAAGCGGAACCTAAAAAGAGACAACGAAACACATCAACTAACACAAAAAATAAAAACTGTTGGACGACATAGTAAAAAAACGTCCATTCACCCGACGCATTCGCATGAGATGAGTAAAAGAATTGTCAAAAACTAACGCCGACGCAACTGTTACCGAAAAAAATTGTATTTGGTCGTATCAGTTGCGTCGTCTCAAGAAAAAACAAGGATGCAAGAAGTGAATAGATGAATCCAAACACCCGCGCACAAACATAATAATCTTGTGGGAGTCATGTTGTGGATTATTGTGTTTGTTTTATCCAAGCACACCAAACATACATGTACATATAATAAATTGATAATATTTCATCTTCGTGAATCTCACCTGTCAATTTAAACCCTAACAAAGTACGCGAAAGCATATGCATTGCGCGCATAGCTTTTCAAACGGTTTAAAATAATTCCACATTTCATATCTATATTCAATTCAATATTACTTTTAACGTAGTGTATTCACATGTTTTTCACACACAAAACACATAATTATATTTTACGAAGATGTCAGGAAGTCTCGAATCAGTGCTGTAGAGAAAAAGGCTTTTTAAAGTAACATGTTGGGGAAAAGTTAAATCTATCTTAACCTTATTTTGTACAGTTAGAGCTACTAGTTGATTAGTTACTCTGAAAAATACCATTTAAGGCGTGAAGATGGATGTAACTCAACTTACTCGGATCGTCAAGGAAAAGCGTGCATTACATACACCTTCAAGGCAAAACTCTGAGTATATTTTTCTGCAGGATATTTTACAAGAATGTACAGAAGTGAGAATACACACCATTCGTCGTCTTTATGGGCAACAAAAAATTCGTTGAGTTGTTGTCTTTGGAACTCCAGTTTGTAGTCATTGTACTTTTCTATTGCCTCCCTATCTGAAATGTTATCGTCCTGGGTGGAAAGGAATGCTTTAAACGACATCATGGGTGGCTGGTGGCCCTCTGCTTGCGAAGACGAAGGCGGTTCTCTGAAGAAATTACCGGCTCTTTAAAACAAGAAGTTCACATTGTTAGAAATCGTTGTTAATTTGACGTTACAAAACACAAACGAATTCTAAAAGAAAAGCGACAAACATGCAAAACATAACTCAATAAATTCTGTAACGGGATTAGTTCTCGGTTAGGCGAAACCTCGGCATTATTTACTCCGTTTCGGTTTTAGGAATCAAGGAAACTCTACTGAAATTAGTAAATTTTTACGCGAGTGATATTTTTTGAAAAAAAAAAAAAAAAAAAAAAATTGTGCTACAACTTTATATATTGTCAAAGCTCTTTTTAACGTAATGACTACGAAATGGTACACGTTTGAAGGTGGCGTTCATTAATATTTAGTAAATATCATAATTAACAACTGATTCACCTAACCTAACAAAAAGGCGTCACCCAAGTGGCGCCCCCTACTACTACCTGCAGCCAGAGTGTTACAAGCGTTAAAATGCAAAAACACATTCCTCATTCCCGTATTTGGGTGGAGTTCCCTACCTGTGTGAGCTCTGGTGGTACGGGGCGTAATGGTTGTAGTAACTGTCGGGGTAGTAATCGTGGCGCAGCCGCTTGGGGGCCGGATCCAGGCTCGGCGAATACCCTCTGTCTCTCACGCCCGCACGGTACTCCCGGGGCCTAGGTCGTGACCAAGAATCACTATAATAATACCAGTAAGCCCATTTAAAACAGATACTGAAGTGCTTACCGTTCCGCCCAGTCGTCCCGAGGCCTGGCCACCCTCTCGGCGCCCCTGTAAGTGGCCTCGGCGCGCTCCCCCCTGAATTTATCGCGCCTTTTGCGGTCGTACTCATCATCACTGTCTGCCATTTCCTGGAAAGAACGAAGAAAAAAGTGCTGCGAAACCGGGCGGAATAAAATAACCGTGCAAACAAACAAGAAGCGAGAAAATTGCGAAAATATGTACCTTTGAGTTATAAAAATAGTTTGTTTTTGTTGATAATCCGGCAAGAGGTGCTGCGTTATCAAGCTGAAATTAGACTATGGCGGACACGTCAAAGATAGCGTGGGGATTTTATGCGGTGGCGACATTGTCTGTCAACAGTGGCGGGCAATTCAAAAACTCGGCTTTCGAAATGGTTTAATTTTTCACGAATTGTGTTTGCTTTTGAGGTGGCGTCTTAAAAACTCGATTTCGATGAAAGAGTGGCTGCAGTGGTCACACTCGTGGGGGCCCGAGTGTGCCATGTGGTGCACCAGTTGGTTGTATCTCGACGTGAAAGTCTTAGGGCAGAAGCGACATTTGTGGGGTTTTTCTCCGGTGTGGATCATTTCGTGCTTTCTTTTTTCGCCGTTGGAGCGGAAGCCCTTGTCGCAGAAATTGCAAACGTAGGGTCGGTCGTCGGTGTGGATCCTGGTGTGGCGTTTCAGCGCCGACTTCATGTAGAAAGTCTTGTCACAGTATTCGCACTTGAAGCTGCGCTCGTTTGTGTGCATTCTCATATGGTAGACTAAAGCGCTAGAGTAGAAGAAGGTTTTTCCACATAGAGTACACAAGTGGTTTCGGACATTGGCATGACTTTTCACGTGAAGGTTCAACGATATTTGGTAGGAAAATTTCCTGTGGCAAATGTGACACTCGAACGTTTTTCCTGCGTGGGTCTGTCTGTGTACTTTCGCCCTACCGAGCGTGTTACTAACGTGGCCACAAATATCGCACAAATATTGCCTCCTCGCACACTTTCTACACCGTGAATTTTCATTCTTTTTTAAACCACAGGTTTTACAAATCTTGAGGAGTCTATAGTGGGCTTGTTTGAAATGACCAACGAGCTCAATTTTCGTAAGACAAGTTATATCACAGTGGGGACACACAAGGTCACTTTTTAAGTTTAAATCTACAGGGCTTTTTTCTGTTGTAGTAAAGTTTGTTGTTGTTTTATTCACAAAAACTGCAGTCACTGCTGTACCTAAATTGTTTAAAAAACCGTCAAAATTCTGTTTGTCTTCTTCTAGGTCTTCCTTGATGACTACATCCTTAATGTCAAATTTGTGTCCAGCGAAAATTAGTTCAACGTCTGTTTTTTCGGGTTTTTCTGGGGGTGAAACGTCGTTGAAGAAAATCGTCAGACTTGCCTCTGAGTTGTGAAACAGAACGTTCAAGTCGTGCGCCGTTTTGAGGGTGGTTTTGCACGACGGGCAAATGAATGAGGGGTACTTGTCGCGCATTATCACCTGAAAACTAGCATGTATGGGTGTTTAAATCATGCGGGTGGTTACTTTTTGTGACATGACTTGTTCCAGTGTTTCCAGAATCGAAAGACACGTTTCGTTATGGTCAATTTCGTCGGTAAGAGGGGTCATGTTGGGGCGCTTCGTAAGGCAAACGCGGCATAGAGTTTGCACTTCGTTGTAGTCTACGGTGTCCATAGCGCGTGCAATCATAAACATTAGTCTCTGAAATAAATATTTTGAATTTTTGCAGGTTATGTCACTTTTGGTGACACTTGGTTTTTTCTGTCATCAGTATTGGCACCACTGAAAATAAAAAATTCATTTTAGTAAAAAAAAAGGTAGATTATGCACAAATTCGATGTCGTTTTTGAATTTTGTATGAAATACTAACAAGGAGTTATTTTTTTTGTTACTAGTTGTTTTAAAAAAAATATTTGTTTGGTGTTTTGACGGTTTAGATGTCGCCCCTGTCGCTTTTTGACATCCGGACGACACTTCCTCTGACGTCAGTTCAAAATGGTGATCCATAGTTTGTGTTAGTAACGAAGTTGGTGTCCTAACGGTTTAAAACTCGCCAAAACTGTGAAATTGTTTGTTTAAATGTACGTTTTAATGGACTTTAACCGCAATGTTTCCCACGAATAAAGCCGACGTCGACAGACACGTAGAAGACAGCCTGAAGAAGATAAATAACGAAACGGAGGTAAGCGTTTTGAAATCGCTGTCATTTCGCCGCACCGAGGAAATTTCTCGAAATTTTCGTCTCCGGGTGTTTCCTCGACCCCGTCGCTCTAAACATATCGATCACCGTCACTCATCCTATTGCGTTTTATTATTGGAAAATGTCTCACACATCAATGTCACATGCAGTGAGTCGCTTTGGCGGGAAATTATTTTTAGATCGCCTTAAAAAAAGTCCGCTCGAAATACTCGAGCGGGATTATTCGGTGTGGTACTTTTTGCGAGCCGTGGGTGGACAGGGCCGGCTTCGCGAGATCGATACAGTGATGCGGAGGTCCGCAATTTTTTTATGGTTCGATGATAGCGGCTAATCAGGGTTTTGTGTTTTTGTGTCTGATATTGCGAATTCTGAGCCCCGATTGCCGTCAAGGTGTGTCGATAGATAGATAGATAGATAGATATATTTGTGCAATATACAAAGCATTTACACAGGTCAAAGAGCCAACAAAAAAAATATAATAAAATACAAAACATAACCAGTAAAATGTCGTACAAGTACGATTCAACACTAGAAAAACAACAGTCCATGGACTGATGTAAACTACTCACAATGTACATATTAAAACTTATACTCTAGGAATTCATTTGCACTATAAAAGGCATGACGCAGGAGAAGTTTCTTTACCTTTATTTTAAAAGCAGAGCCACATAAAGTTCTGTAGCGCTGGGGTAGGTGATTGTATAAGGATATGTTAATGGACAAATTTTTTGTCTTCGTCAATCTAAAACGTCTTGTTCTTACCAAATCAGCTGTTCGGGTATTATATTTATGAATATGATACTGATGAATCATATCACTACGATTTGAGTGAATTTCTATTACCGTGAAATATATAAAAATGCATGGAAGGGTCAATATATTATTCTCAATAAAAAAAAGACGACAGTGCTCGCGACAACCCAAACCCAGCATCACACGAAGGGCCCTCTTTTGTAAGCGGAATATAGTAATAGATAATGGCGAGTTTCCCCATAAAACAATAGCATAAGACATATTTGAATGGAAAAGCGCATAATAGATAGACTTAAGTGCTCCAAAATTAACGATTTCTTTCATTTTTCTTAAAAGAAATATAGTGGAGGAAAGTTTACTGGCCAGACATTTGATATGGTCACACCAGGACAGGTTTGTATCAATTGATAAACCTAGTAATTTTACTGTGTCAGAGTTCCCTACGAGGTTGCTATTGGATGATATTAAGATTTCTTGTGTTTTATTTTTATTAAGTTTTAGAGAGTTAGAGGCAAACCAGATGTCTGCATATTTTTGCGCTGTTTCGGCTTTGTTTAGTAAACTGTTAATACAACGATCTGACGTGATTAGTGAGGTATCATCGGCGTATAGCACACAATTCGCTTTCTTGTTTATAAAATTATAGAAATCGTTTGTATAAATAATAAAAAGCAGGGGCCCTAAAACGGACCCTTGCGGAACACCATGTTTTACTGTTGTAAACGCGGATTGCATGTTATTCACTGCCGAACATTGCTTTCTATTAGATAAATACGAAGAAAAGAGCTTGTGTGGAATGCCTCTAACACCATAGAATTCCAGTTTTGTCATTAGCGTGGTATGACTGACACAGTCAAAGGCTTTGCTTAGATCGCAAAGTGTGACCATATTAATTTCACTATTTTCTAAACCGTCGACTACAAGTTCCATAACTCGTAATAAGGCCTGCGTTGTTGCTTTGCCTGATCTGAAGCCAAATTGTGCTTCGTTGATTACGCGAAATTTCTCAAAATATTTGGTCAGTCGTGATTTAATTAGTATTTCTAAAACTTTGCCAAAGATTGGGATAATGCTAATGGGTCTATAATTGTCAAGCAGAGCCGCATCGCCCTTTTTCTGGATAGGTATAATTTTGCTAAATTTCAAGCTGTCAGGAAACACCCCACTTCCAAGACATTCGTTAAAAAAGTTAGTCAGAGGCGTTAATATTAAACTCACGGTCTCTTTTAGAATTTTAGAATTGATACCGTATATGTCGGTGCAGTTGGAGTTCTTTAGGTTGTTGATAATATTTGAAATTTCGTTATCACATGTAGGCTCTAAGAAAAAATTATTACAAATTTTAGGCATGGTATTCAACAAAATATCCGGTGTACGTACGTCAGTTTTGTCGATCCCTTTTAGAATTTCATCAGCTATATTGGAAAAATAACTGTTAAATTCATTAGCGTCAAATTTTGTGTTTTTCTGACTGGAGTTATTTTTATTTTTATTTCGCAAGCAGTTGATAAATCGCCAGCTGTCTTTGGGAATATTATCAGACTGAGCAATGTACGAGCTGTATGCGTTTTGTTTAGCATTCATTATGGATTTTTTATAAAGGGATCTTGCTTGTTGGTACGCTTTTTTATCACTAAGGTCTTGGGTACAGTCAGAAATTATTTTGATCGCAGCAATTGAATCCCTCATACGTCGCAAGTCGTCGTTAAACCAGCTGATGGTACATTTGTTGGATATGATACGTTTTTTTAGCGGAAAACAGAGTTTGATCAATCGCTGATATGTTGTAACTAGGTATGTAGCAAAAGTGTTAACATCACAATTGGTTTGCATAGATAACCAATCCACGGATATGAGATGATCACGTAATTCGCTTAGACCCATATCATTTACTGGTCTGCTAAAATAATAATTGTTACGGACGATATTACTGACTGCGTGAAGACAAATATATTGACCACTGTGATCAGATAATCCTGGTTCCAATATTCCAAACGAGCACGAATCATCACTCAAATCGGTGATAATATTGTCAACGGCGGTTGCTGTCCATTTAGAAACTCTAGTAGGATCCATTATTTTAGCTTTTAGTCCAAATGATTCGGCAAGATCAAGTAAGGCGTGAATTTCGGCCGATTTAATTAGAATGTCCTTATTGAAATCACCAATCAGAACTAAATAATTAGTTCTTGTAGCTAATGAACTTAGTATTTCTTCAAGTTTGTCTAAGAGTATTTGAAAATGACGTGAAGTTGATGGTCTATAAACTGTGATAATAATTGTTTTAGCTCGAGGGACCTCGACCCCACAGAACTCTGCATGCATTTCGACACAGTATGGATCTAAACAGATGGGTATGCAAGTTAAGCTTTTATGAACATATATGGAAACTCCTCCATGCAATCTTACTTTTCTACAATAAAACGATATTAGTTGGTACTCACTAAAGGTTATCATCTTGAGTATATCCCTATTTACAATCCAATGTTCTGAAAAACACAAAATTTGAAATTTAAATTTTTCACAAAATAATGTAACTTCGTCGATTTTATTGGTGAGGCACTGGATGTTGATGTGAAAAATTGAGAGCAGACTACGCTCAATCATACTTAACAGGCCCCTTTCCGTATTGAAATTAGTTGTTTGAAATGGTTTGGGGTTGATGTTTGTTCCGAAAAAAATTGAATCGGCTGATAGACATCCCCACTGGCCAGAAGTTAGCTGAATACAGAATATCTTTGAGATCCATGTCGGCCCCAATTTTAAACGACCCATTCCTCTGCGTATCATGTGATAATGACTCGATAATAAATTCCTTATTTGGACATTTATTTTTAAGAAACTTGTCGACGTCTTCCACTTTGGTGTTAGCTCGTACTCTTCCTAGATGCAACCAAATTCTTCTTGCTGCCCCAGCAAAATTCAAGTCGGCATCCCCGTTCCCAATAATTGCATTTTTTTGTTTTTTCTTGACGATAGACTGTCGCTGCTGTGTATTTTTCTGACGCTCCGGTATCTTCACCTCTAATCGTCTTTTTTTCTTATCGATTTTTTGGTTGGATACAATGATAGTATTTTGATTATTGGCCTCACTTTTATCTTCGATCGCCGACTTAAAGGAATCATCCTGAAGATGCTCGAAGGATTCTTCATCCCTGTCTGTACGGGGTTTCAAGGTACCGTCATTGACGTCCGTTAATAATCTTACTTGTTCCTTTAAGTCGGATACTTCTTTAAGTAGGCACTGGATATTTTCTACAAGCTCATTTGTTCTCGTTTTTACTGTTTCCTCGATGATTTCACGGAGATTTTCTACACTTAATGATGTCACCAAGCAAGAATCATTGATTTGCGAGTTTTTAGAGCGAGTATTTTTTGTCATAATTGTTCAGATTAAATACCGCGTGCACGTCTAGACTGTACGGCGATTGACCGGCGAATGAAGGACAAGGGGAATCACATTGAATCGATAACATCGAAATTTAAAGCAAAATTGTGTTTGTCAGTGTGGGAACTTTCACTTTCAAAGGAATACGAGCACGGTTTACTTTTACGCGATTTTTTAGTGCGGCTACAATGCTTGAGAAAATCGTATTTGCAAAATGTTGGAGGAAAAGTGTGTCAGTCTATGGGAATGTTGCATAAATGGGGGTTTTAATGCATGCTTAATGTCAAGTTTGTTTATTTCGATTGTGTAATCGAGCAGGTTTGTCAATATAATGACTGTTACGTACGCCACTGGTAATTGCGACTATCGATTTCAGGGCTGCACAAACTCTAGCTACTGACTAGGGGTGTACAAGAAGTTTATTAAATTATTTTGGATATTTAGTCTGCACCAATATGAAACTAAGCATAGAAATAAGTTTTTCTAGCTAGTTTTTAGTTCTTTTTTATTGTGATTTCAATTGAAAGTCTTTTTGTACTGTTGAATTCTGCCTACTGGAAATTTATACTAATTTCCAGAATTTGCCGTTTTCTTGAGATGGCATACCAAATTTACATTTGGAATTATTGGTTGCCTACCTATCAGGCAGCAAACATTGAAAAACTGACAGGGACTTGCTAGAGGGGTTATAACAATTGTTTTCTTTTTTCATTGATAAAATGATACTAATATTGATGTATTATACATCAAACTGTAGCTTTTTCATGCCCTAAGTCCCTAAAACAGAAATAAATATCATGAAAAATAAGGTAAGAATTCAAGGCGGATTTATAAACCACAGTGTAGGTGTAAGTTATTTTATAAAATGTCAATAACATTCATTCGGAAAAATTTTGTGATGAGGTCATTTTTTGGGAATTTTGTAGTTAGAATTACTCATATTAAATTTTTTTCTTGATAAATAGTAATAATATTGTGTCGACCTACTCCACTTTAGTAACGAGTTTGGTTGAATAAATATATAAAGATTTATTTACGGAATAATTCCATTTATAGGATAAATTAATTACGAATCTTAAATAGGGCCTTATTCAAACTTGCCTGTAGTCTATTGTTCCACCTTAAGAAAGTTAGACAGAAAAATGACATTTGAGACGAGCAACGACTAAAGTTAGGTTATGATTGTCAATTTGTGATAGGCGACGCCCATGTTATCATCTTTTTTTTTTTTAATGGGAAGTTTTAGTATTTTTACTTCCCGAGCGTAAGCAAAGGAAGTATTGTAATCGAGTCCGTCGGCCGACTCTCTACTTTTACGTTTTCTCGATCTTTCATGACCCCTAGAAGACGAAGAAATAGGTCTCCCATTTCCGTCTGTCTGTCCGTCTGTCCGTCTGCCGTCCCGGATTTTATTAGACAGATAATCTCCGAAAGTACTCGACCGATTGTTGTGAAATTTTGTACTTATATTAAGAATATCATGTAGATGGTAAAACGCTAACCAAAATTTCTCTAATCATCCCCACCACTAATGCGATGACGTCACTTCAAAATTGTACATAGTAAATGGGTTTTCAATTGTATAAAATAACATAGTCCTACACATGTAGTTTACAACTCTGAATCGACTTTTCACCCGAAACGTCCAGATTTTTGGAAAAAAAATCAAAATTATAAAACAACATTTTGAAATTTAATTTTTAATCTGCTAACCAGAATGCTTTGAAATGTTGCAGATGTTTTAAGGCTATAAAGAGCATCATAAATCTTTAGTCAAAAAATATTGGCTTATCCCCTCCAAAAACTTGATGACGTCAGCTCAAAAGTTTGTGGAATAAATCATATCTAAAATGTACAAAATATGATGAGTCTGTACTTGTGATTTATCATTCCATTCATATTTTTGGATTTGCATATGCAGGGTGACTCAAAAAAATTAATGAATGCGTGAGTTTATTTTATCGATTTAATCAGGAATTACAAAACCGAATGCTTTGAAATCTTGGGAATATTTTAAAGTTATTATAAGCATGGTAAACTTTTGTTCAAAATGTATTTGTTCATCCCTCCTAAAAAAATTGATGACGTCACCCTTAAATTTTGCTGAATAAATCCTATCTAAAATGCAAAAAATATGATGAGTTTGTACTTGTGATTTATCATTCCATTCATATTTTTTAGATTTTCTTAAGAGGTGGTTCAAAAAAAATTAATGAAGTCAATTTATTTTATTGATTAAATTAAAGGCAACACTTATTATTAATATTACACCCCAACCAACCCAATTTGGTAGACACAAAATTTGTTAAAGAAAAAACTCGGTTGAAACATAAGAGTAGCACGCTTATTTACATCGACTTTAACATTACAGACCTGCATTTGTTTTATGCGCTCACTTGGTTCCGCGAATGCGAAATAGACATGTTTATAATCAACCAATTGTGAATTTCACCGTCAAGAATTAAAATAAAACGCAATGTTTTATATAATAAGCGGAAGTCGAAGCAATAAAAGCGATGGTCGTTTTGTTTACAGTTTCTCTGTTTGGCTCTCACGTATGCTGTTACGCTTGTCATCTTAAATTAAGAATGTTTATACATAAACGATTTTCAGTTGCCCCTCATATTACTAGACAGCGGATTTCTGTCGGGCTACGTCACGATTATAGGGGGGGACGTGCTAGATTCCATAAATATAATTAACGATTTATTAATCAAACGGCTAAGTAAATGAGAACGGGAATTAACAGCAAAAAAAAATAATTACAACTAATTAAGTTAGGATCGCAAACAGAACAATTTAGTCATAAGCAAACCGACTTTAAACCTGCTTAGTCATTTTTGTCTTCCATTTATCCATAAATGTATAAATTATTCCACTCGTTACTCTTCTACATATCGAACTGCAATTATCTCGCAGCAAAGTATCGATTTGTATGCCGCTTCCCCGCAGTTAATCCACCATTACCTCGTTTCCATATTTTACTCTATACAATCATCGTTTCCCTTTCAGCGCAACCTTCGTTGCTTCTCGTTCGCCAAACAGTATTTCAAAATCCAGCGTTATGAAGAGGCCCGCCGCTACGTCTCCACCTACTTGAGCGCGCGCCCCAACTCCGCCGAGGCCCACTGCCTCCTCGCCAAATGCCTCGAGGGTCAAGGAAAAAAAGAAGCCGCCTTGCAAGCTTACACCACCAGCTTGCGGCTCGACCCCAAGCAAAACAGCCTCGTGCTTAAAGGTAACCCAATCGCCATCCACCCCTCAACTCTACAGCGTTATCTTCCAGTGTGCGAACTCCTCGCCTCCGACGACGTCGAAATGGACCAAAGCGGCGCCCGCTACTTCTGCGAAATGGCGCAGTCGTTCGACCCCCACAACCCCGCCATCTTCAACCTCAAGCAGCGCATCCTCACCATCAACAACGACGATCCCCGAGAAGTGACGAACTTGATTCTGAAGGAGCTGGAGACGCGTCCGACGGACGTGAGTTTGCGGGTGCGCTTGCTGAAGCACCTGATGCACCACCGCATGGTGAAGGAGGCCTACAAGCACGCGGCGGAGATCGAGTCCAAGGACTTGTCGATTTTTCATAACAACATGGCGTGGTACCAAGCGGTGGCCGAAGTGTTGGTGAAGTACCAGAGGACGGTGTCGTTGCCGAATTCGCTCGGGTGGGAGTTCTGGTTTCTGTCGGTCTCGATCCTGGATAAGTTGGTGAGCTTGTCGCTGGAGGAGAACACGGATAATATTAAACCCACGACGGAGTACGTGAATGCGTTGTTTAATTTCGACCAGACGCTGGCGAAGGCGGCGTTGAACGTGGCGGATTGCCCGGATAAGTATTTGGTGCAGGAATTCTTGAACCACTATAGTAGTGAGTTGTGTTTCCATCTGGCAACGTTGGTCTTCAAACAAGCGAAGAAGGAGTTCATGAATTATAAAGAAGCGGCGAATATTTCTCTCCCGTTGTTGTTCGCTTCGTACCACTCCCATCCTCCAGATCTCCAGAGTATGTGGTTTAACCACGCCCCGGAACATCGTCGGAATTTGGTCCGGCGGTGGCGGCGAGAAGCCGCCTTCCGCTGCTCCCAATCCGGGCACATCTTACAAGCCGCCGCCAAAGACCGAAAGTCGATCGTGATCGAGAAAGCCAACCAGTACTCGATGGGGATGTGGCGGGAGCAACTATTCAAGAAGCTCTTCATCACTCGAGACCAACAGCAGAAAATGAAAACCAGCTACTTCCTCGCCGACCAGAAGCTCCTCGACATCACCATCCGACTCCCCGACGCCTCCGAGCTCCTCAAGTACGACGAAGAAGCCCAACTCAACTATCCCGATTCGTTGCACCACCACATCTGGATCGGTCTCAACAATAAACTGTCCGACTTCAAGTGCACCGTCTTCGACGGACTGCAATACTCGATCAAGAACCTCAAGAACTGCGGAGCCGAAACCTTGAACGTGTTGGATCTTCAGGCGTTCATCTACTGCGCCACGTTGTGTTCGAAGTTCAACTTGGAGAGTTCGAGGCATATTTCGTCCTATCATAACGTGGATAAGCCGAACGTGCTACCGGCGGCTGTCACTCCCGAGCTGGGTACCGCTTATCAGAAGAAGTTCTTCGCGGCGGCTTACAAGACGTACAAGAACGAGTACGACCCTGCTGTTGACCAGCAACGGCTGACTTTGATCGACGGGATTAGGGTGGTGAGGTGCGTGGATAACGGTTTGGACGTGAAACTCCTGGTGGTGTTGGCGCAGACGTTCGCGGATCGCGCCAAAGGCGCGACTAAGCAGTCGGAGATCGAGTTCAACGAGGCCCGAGCGGAGCTCTACTGGAAAGCCGCACTACCGATTCTCGAGAAGATGAAAAACAACCAAGCTGTGTCGTACCCGCCGAATAAGTTCTTTGACCATAGGTCTAAAGAGATGGCGCTGACGGAAGTGTGTGGTTACATCGAGACGGGGAAACTCTTCAGCGGCACCCAACTCATGAAGAAGAAGGACTATGAAAAAGCGTTGCGAGTATTCGAGGCTTTAAGAGACCCCTACGCCAGTTTCTACCAAGCGCAGATTTATAAGCAGCTCGCGGACCAGCAGACCAGTCAGAGTAAAGAAAACGTGACGAGCGAGATGCGCAGTCAATACATTATACTGTTGTCACGAGCTCGGGACTGTCTTTACTTGACTCTGGATAGACTGAGAGAGCCTTCGGTCGATCAGAAGCACCCACTGAACGAGCAATTGGGTACCGAAATCGAGAAAATCGAGAGGTTGTTGTCGAGGATCGACCCCGACTGCACCAACCGGAACGAGTGTGATGGCATGTCCGACGAAAACGTGTCTTCTGCGGATAGCGCCGGCGAGCACTACGTCACTGGGTACTCGGCCCACAACTCGAGCTACTTCAACGGGGTTTTCTCCGGAAGGAACGACCACAATCACTCGACTCCTTACAGGTCGGATCTTTTCAAACGTGAAGCCAAACCCAGTCCTGAAAGGTTAGATGCTCAGCTGAGACAACTGACAGCGTCTAAGGACGCCGCGATTAACCATATCCTAGAGAACAACAAAATCATGGTGGAGTCGCACCGGACCCTGGTCGAAGAACTGCGAAGCTTCAAAGAGGTCGTGAATAACCTCACGTCGACCGTGGACGAACTCAAGAACATGAAGCACGGCTACGAAGACCTGAAAGACATCAAGAAGACCGTGAGCGAACTCAAAGCGAGCATCGATGACTTGGACGGTTTCAAGAACGTGTCGGATATGGTGTTCGAAATGAAGAAGGAGATCGCGGAGTTGAAGAAGGACGTGAACAAGACGAGTCAGTTGAGCGAGGAGGACATCTACGGGTTGGCGAACGAGTACGGGGCCGAGTACAACCTCAATTCGAACTTGGCAGCTTACAATTCTAATTTGTACCAGAACTACCAGAGGATGCCGGGCGCGACTTCGTTGTACGGTCCGCCGCCTTTGTACCCGGGGATGTACCCGATGGCTTACGGGTACGGGTTAGGGTTACCCCAAACGAGTGGTCTCCAATTCGGGACCGAACAACCTATTCCGGGTATCTCGGGCCAAGATTTCCGGGCTATTTCCGCCGCGTTGTCGCAAGTGCAACCTAGTGTGACGTACGCGCAAACCACCCAGCCCCAAACCAACTTAGGCTTGTTGGCGGCTCAGGGTTTAACCCAAACTCCGAAAGTAGGGTCCGGGCAAATGGTCTACCCGACTATAGGTGGCGTCGCGGTTACCACCACCCCCACCACTAAAGCACCACCAGTCAACGTGGTCATCACAGCTTCAGACCCACTCCCCTCCACCAAAACCACCACCTCCCAACCAATCCTCTCCGTCACGATTCCCCCACAACACCTCAAAGGCAACATTCCGAAGGCCCAACCACACAATTACCAGATCCCGTTACCCGTGAGCGCGGTCGCCAACACGTCGCCGTCGGTCTTGAGCAAACCCCCGCCCACCGTGTCCACCCAGAGCATCCTTTCCAACGTGGCACCGCCCGTGTATTCCGCCGTCTCGGATAAAACCCCCTTGAACGTGAGTCTGGGGCTGCAGATCGAGAAGACCCTCGAACAGACCTTCAACTCCAGCAAGAACGAGACTTTGAACAAGAGCAGCGTTTCCACCAGCTCGGTGGAAGAGCACGATCCTTGTCCCGATTTCAAACCCATCATTCCGCTGCCCGACGAAGTCCCGGTGACCACCGGCGAAGAGAGCGAGAAGGTCCTCTTCTGCGAACGCGCCAAGCTGTTCCGATACGTCGCGGAAGTCAAGGAGTGGAAGGAGCGAGGGATCGGCACTCTGAAGATCTTGAAGAACCCGGAGACGAAGAAAGTGAGGATTTTGATGCGGAGGGACCAGGTGTTGAAGATTTGCGCGAATCATTTCTTGACGAAGGAGATGGTTTTGACGCCGATGGCCAAGAGCGATAGGGCGTACATTTGGGCCGCGCACGACTACGCCGACGAAGAGGTGGTGCTGGAGAAGTTGTGCGTGAGGTTTAAGACGGCGGATGAGGCGAAGAAGTTCGTCGAGGCGTTCGAGAGCGCCAAGAGAGACTTGGGGGAAGAGAAAGTCGGGGTTAGTGCGACCAGCACGGGTAGTACTTTGGGAGGGTTCGTGTTTTCGACGACGCCGACGTTCAAGCCGAAGCAGGAAGCGGTGATGGTGAGCGTCAGCGTACCGGAACCACAGAAAGAGAGTCCGTTCGCTGGGTTTTCGTTCGGCGGTACCAAGTCTGGTGGTTTTCCGACTTTCCAGACGAACTTCACCCCGGTGAAGCCCACCGAGACCGTTAGTAGTACCACGAAGCCGCGCAAAGCTTCCGACGACGAATCCGACGACTTCGTCCCCACGGCGGAGTTCAAGCCCGTAGTACCCCTCCCCGAACTAGTCGAGGTGAAAACCGGAGAAGAAAACGCGGAAGTACTTTTCGAACACAAAGCCAAACTGTTACGTTTGGACACCAGTGGTGAAACGAAAGAGTGGAAGGAGAAGGGCGTGGGAATATTCAAAGTACTCAGAGACAACATCGTGCGCTTGGTTATGCGTCGCGACCAAGTCCTCAAAGTCTGCTGCAACCACCAGCTCCTCAAGAACATGGATTTCAAACTCATGAGTAACAACGCTAACGCGGTGACCTGGTGCGCCAAAGACTTCTCCGAAGGAGTCGTCAAACCCGAAACTCTGTGTGTTCGTTTCAAAACCGACGACCTCGCCGCCGCATTCCTCAAAGCCGTCAACACCGCGAAGGAAACCCTCGACGACAACCACTTCGTCGTGGCCAAACAAACCGAGAAGCACGCGAAGACCGAGTCCCCGGCGAAGCTCCAAGGTTTCGGGGATAAATTCAAACCGGTCAAGGGTAGCTGGTCTTGCAAGAATTGTTACGTCATGAACGAAGGCAAAGCCAACTATTGTATCGCTTGCGAAACCCCGAAGAACGACTCGCTTCCGAAGAAGAGCGAAGATGCTTCAGGAGCCGCTTTCTCGTTCGGTGTGGCTAACATGACCGCCGTTACGAACTCCTGGGGGAGCGCTTTCAAACCGAAAGAGGGGTCATGGGAGTGTAAAACGTGCTACATCTTCAACGACGCGGAGAGGACGCATTGCGCGTCGTGTGAGAGCCCCAAGGACGACACCGTCCCCAAGAAGGAGACCCCGAAAGGCGTGAACCTAGACACGGGTGGGTTGAAGTTCAACTTCGGTATCCAACCGGTTAAAGTCGAGTCTGCTGAGCCGCCGAAACCGAAGGTTTCGGGTTGGGGCGACTTGTTCAAGCCGAAAGCGGGATCGTGGGAGTGCAAGCACTGCATGGTCCAGAACACCGGCGACGTGGTGCATTGCCTGGCTTGCGATAACCCCAAGGATGAAAGCGTGCCGAAGAAAGAACCGAAGGGTTTGGGGTCGGATGCCCAGAAGTATACTTTCGGTTTTCCGCCGGCGACGACTCAAGCGGCGAGCGCCAAGGCCACCTTCACGTTTGGCCAGAGCACGATTTCCACCACGAAACCGGACACTCCGTTTGTTTTCAAGCCCCAGGTGACGATAGCGCCCGAGAAGAAAGATCCCGGGGCGGAGAAATTCGTATTCGGGTCTCCACAAAAGCACGACTTCGAGTTCACACCCAGATCTCCACGGAGAATCAGTAGCGGCACCAAAGACGAAGAGTCGGACGCCAGTTACGTGGAAGAGGAAGTCGACAACATTTACTTCAAACCGGTGATTCCTCTACCCGACAAGGTGGAAGTGAAGACTGGGGAGGAGGAAGAAGACGCTTTGTACTGTCACCGGGCGAAGTTGTACCGGTTCGTGGACAAGGAGTGGAAGGAGAGGGGTATCGGGGACATCAAGGTTCTCAGACGCAAGGACACCGGGAAGTTGAGGTGAGTGTCTTCGGAGAGGTTAAATTTGGGTTGATGCGTGGCTTTTAGGGTTTTGATGCGAAGGGAGCAAGTGTTCAAGATTTGTCTCAACCATATTTTGACCACCGAGATCAAGTATTTGCCTAAAGATGATAAGTCTTGGTTGTTCTGCGCCGCCGACTTCTCCGAAGGCGAGTTGGTCAACGAGCAGTTCTGCGTTAGGTTTAAGAACGCGGAAGTCGCTCAGGAATTCATGAAGGCTGTGAACGATGCGCTGAATGAGGCATCGAGTGATACAGGTAAGAGTCCAAAGGGCTTTAGCAATAACGTACATTCCGCTGTGGTAATCTCTTTTGCTGCTGTGACCGTTTTTTTGATGGCTTACTACGTCTACGGCAGACGGTCGAACTGATTAATGTATTTTAACAAGGTACTGAGTGCCTATCGATTGTGATTCGAAGCGTGATCGTAACTTTGTTTGTTGCCAATGTGTTACCGTTTTTGGTGCTTATATTCCTAACACTGTTTTAGTAGTAGTGTCTAACTTACCTTGCGATGTGATACACTAATTCGGGCGAGAGAAGGCGAAGTAGGGACGCTTTTTCGTCCGTGCTTCGCCTTGTATCGTCCAACGTTTCCTATGTTAACGATGTTGGTATTGTTGGTTTTATTTGGTCTTTAGCAATAAACACAGTTTACAAAGAGAACGAGTTTTTATTTCGCCAAATAATCCCAGGAATGCCTAACATTGCAAAGATATGTGCATGCACTAACTTAACTAGCAGTGGCGTAGAAGTCGAGTTTTTCCAATAACTAAAGTACCGTATTGTCATTGTTTAAGTATATTATAGTTGGACAACCTATACGGACAATCACTTTCCCATGTAGAAAAGAATGAATATATATTTTACATCTCACTCGCTTCACTATGAAGTGGCGGTACCTTACGAAAGGGGGTAAAAATAGTCCGTAAGCACGTGATGTCGATAAGGTAGTAAACGGACGTATTAATCAGTACGTTGTACGGGGAGCAGTCACAAAATAAGCAAACGTACGTGTTGAAGACTTTACTGTAATATATGTATATGTAGTGCATACCTGTTTCAAGGTTAAGGTAACAAAAATTTAATATTATCGCGGTATACCTATTATCCATGAACTGCATGGCTAACAAATATGCGTCCCTTCGTCCACTTTAAAGGTATACGAAATTAAACGACCACTACTTTAATTAATAAGTAACAAGTCATCTAATTTGCCTCCAGAATAACATGGATTATCATCAAACTATGAACACCAAATTAATTCAATATGAACATCTTCTTACGTATTTTTTTTATTAACAGTAGTCAAATCATTAAATACATATTATTTTTGAAACTAAAATGCATTTTATCCTAAGATTGTATCACAAAATATTCATCACCATTTAAATATATACGATTTAGACATCAAGAAATAAATTTAAAATTGCAAAAATTGTACTAAAACAGCCTTAAATGTGTCTTGTATGTACGTGCTTATCAGTATGTAGGCATTTTAACGCACAGCAATAATCGTTCTTGATGAGTAATGACTGATGACTACTGTAACACAGTAAATCCTCGAAATCGAAAATTTAAAACACTGAAAAATTCAAATATGGGAAAATTGTAAAATCGAGAAATCGAAACATTAAAAAATCAAAAAAATAAAAATTGGAAAATCTAAAATTTAAAAATCGAGAAATTGAACAATCGGTTAATTCAAAAATCGAAACATCGAAAAATTGGAAAATCGAAAAATAAAAAAAAATTGGACAATCGAAAATTTAAAAATTCCGAAAATTGAAAAATTGAAATATAGAGAACTGAAAACTCAAAAAATCGAAAAAAATTAATAATTTCAAAAATTGAAAAGTTAAAATTGAGAAATCGAAAAACTGAAAAATCACAAAATTGAACGAAATATCAAAAAATTAGGAAATTAAAAAATTGAGAAACAAAAAAGTCAAAAAATCAGTCTAAAAATCGCAAACTTAAAAAATCGAAAAATTGAAAAATCAAAAACCTGAATAATCGAAAAATTGAAGAACTGAAGAACTGAAAAATCGAAACATTACGAAGTGGAGAAATGGGAATATAAAAAAAATAGATTAATTGAGAAATCCAAAAACTAAACATTCAGAAACGTCAAAATTTGAAAAATAAAAAAATATTGAAGAACTAAAAAATCGAAAAATCTAAAATTTAAAACACTGAAAAGTTAAAATATCCTAAAACTGAAAAATGGAGAAATCCAAACATCACAAAATCAAAAATAAAAATAAAAATCTAAAATTTAATAATCGAAAAACTGAAAAATCAACGAATCGAGAAGTCGAGAATTTAAAAAATTGGACAATTGAAAAATCGGATAAATCAAAAACCGAAACATTGTAAAATTCAAAAATTGAGACATCGAGAAATCGAAAAATCAAAAGACAAAAAAAAATCGAGGAGTCGAAAAATCGAGAAGTCGAAAAATCAAAAAATTGAGAAACCGAAGTAGGCCAAAATCGAAAAATCGAAAACTTAAATATGGAAAAAATTGATAAAGCGAGATTGAATAATCAAAACATCGAAACATCCGAATCTCAATGAATTGAGATCTCAAAAAATCTAAACATTCGTAAATTTAAAAAATTAAAATATAGAACTGGAAACTCGAGAAACTGAAAAATCTAGAAATTTAAAAATTAAAATATGAAAAAGTTGAAAAATTGAGAAATTAAAATAAAAAACAAAAAACTGAAAATCCAAAAATAAAAAATAGAAAAATCTAGAAGTCGAAAAATGAAAGAATCGAAGTATTGAAAAATATCAAAACTGAAAGAAATATCCAAAAATTGAGAAATCGACAAACCAATAAAGCGAAGTCGAAAAATCAAAAATAGATTAATTGAGAAATCAGAAAACTGAAAATTTAACGCAAAAATTTGAAAAATTCAAAAATTTAAATACTGAAGAACTGAAAAGTCAAAAAATCGAGAAATCGAAAAAACTAAAATTTAAAACAATGAATAATTAAAATATCGCAAAATTGAAGAATCGAGAGATCCAATTCAATTTGAAAAATTGAAAAATCGAGGCATTGAAAAATTGGAAAATCCAGAAATTGAAAAGCTCAAAAGAAAAAAATTGAAAAACCGAGAAATCCAAAAATCGAAACATCGAAAAATTCAAAAACTGAGACTTCGAGAAATCGAAAAATCGGAGGATCGAGAAATTGAGGAGTCGGAAGCCGAAAAGGAAAGTTAAAAATTGAAAAATTGAGAAATCGAACAATCAAAACAACGAAACATCTGAATTCGATAAATTGAGAAATTAAAAAATTGAATAATCGAAAAATTTTAAAAAAGAAAAACTGGAAAGTCAAAAATTAAAATTCAAAAAATCGAAAAATGAAAAATTGAAATATAGAAGAACTGAAAACTCGAGATATCGAAAAACCTAGAATTTTAAAAAATGAAATATTAAAACATCGAAAAGTTTAAAAATTGAGAAATCGAAGCATTAAACAGTCCCAGAATTGAAAAATCTAAAGTTTACAATAAATGAAAATCCAAAAAGGAAAAAAGCGAGAAATCAAAAAAAAATCCATCAATTCAAAAATCGAAAAGTCGAAAAATTGAAATATTGAAAAATTTCATAACTGAAAGAAATATTCAAAAAATTGAGAAATTAAAAAGTTGGAAAATTGAGAAATCGAAAATCTAAAAAAGTAAAATTGAAAAATCGAAAAATTGAGGAATTGAAGATGTGAAAAATCGAAACTTTAGGAAATCCAGAAATGGACAAATAAAAAAATACTTTAGAAATCGGCAAACTGAAAATTTGAAAAAACCGTAAAATTGAAGAGGACAAAAATTGAGAAATCGTATCATTGAAACATCGTAAGATTGAGAAATCGAAAAATAAAAAAAATCGAGAAATAGAAAATTTAAGGAATGGAGGAATCGGAAAAGCCCAAAATTGAAATATTGAAAAATTGAGACATTTAAAGTTGAAAAATCGAGAAATCGACAAGCCGAAAAATCCCAGTAGCGTATTTAGGTATAAATCACAAGATCAGGACTATTCTACTTTTTAAAATTTAAATACATAACATTATAAATTGGAAAATGTTGATTTTTTTTTTCAAAAAATCTTGACGTCAAAGGTGAAAACTCGACACGGATGCATAAACCGTAAACGGGCCCAAACTACAATTTTACTATTGTAAAATTTGGAGATTGCGTCATTTCATTGTTCGTGACAAATTTTGGAGAGTGTAATTTGATAATACAATTTGAAATGTAAATTTTGTCATTCGGGAACATTATGTATTAAATCGTTAAGATGTTCAAGAACTTTGTTCACTTATTCGTTGTAAAGTCCAATGGTCGAAATGGGTTAGTTCTTCGTAGTGGATGTATTGTATCACATCAACTCTAACGAATATCGGTTTATAGATAAATCGCTTAAAGCCGATATTGGCCTGAGTGAGCTTTGGTCTGTAGATCAAACAAGTTCTCAGGCGACGAAAAATTGCATGTGGAGGGAGACTTCGGATTACAAATCGTGCCAAGAAAGACATATTTGGGAGAGATGGATTTTCAGGTGCTTGACTAACGGTAATTTTAAATTGTTTGCTGTCGTTCGCGAAGTGAAGAACACAATTTCATTCAAATGATAATTATAAAATTATCATAATCACTATTGGTATTAACACAAAATGGCGCGCAAGTTATCAGTTGATTTCGTTAATAAATTCATAGAAACCTATAAGGGATTTTTTCATGCCTTAGAAAATTAAAAAGTAAAAAATACAATAACAAAAATTTTAAAATGCGGTTTACGAAAAATTAGTTGACCTGTGCAAAGAAGAAAATTTTGGAAACGCTGACAAATATGACATCATAAAAAAAATAACACTTGAAGAAGTGCTTTCGGCGTAATATTTTTGATGCTCGCGTGAACAAAATACTCTATGTCAGTGTGCAGTGCGCAAAGAGTTAACTGTGCAGATCTAGCCAAAAATCCGAAAACCAAATCGCTGTGTGTAGGGCCAGCATAACGGAAGTAATAAATCATCCCATCGGTTGAAGAACGTTGGGTCGGTGCACTGATGTCGGTGTTATGTCCCGAGAGGTGCCCAATACACCCAATAAAATGGAACAGACAAAATAAAGCTTCAAACATGATTATTTTTATACTAAAATTCTGAAGTTTATAAACTGCACATTTTATTTATTTATTTATTTATTTATTTATTTATTTAATCTTGTTTTCGAACTATAATAAACATTTCAAACAATGTCTGTAACTTATTTTAATGTAAATTATACTCATGTGGTTAACAAAATCAGATGTAATATTAGTGTGATTTTGACCTTATTCTAGATTTTATTACAGCAGAACGGCGTATCCTTTTTAAATTTTAGAAGTTACGGAAACTAGTTCAAGAAACAATTAGTTATCTCGGATTTTTGGAACAAAATCTACCAAAATGTCCGATAACAGCAATTGTTTTTCATAGAAACAAACAGTCTTCAAAGCAGCCTTTAACAACTCGATATTACAAACATGCCTCTTAAGTTGTTTATGCGTTTTTTTCTCTCTTGTAATTATTTGTAATGTTAACGCCGAAAGTTTATGTCATTCTGTTATTTACTTCGAACATATATTTTCATTTTGTGTTAATGTTTTTGTAACACCACGAATCTAAATTTTACTTAAAATCTTATTTTACTTTAATCTTGTAAAACTAAACAATTATACCAGTTTAAAAACCCTTGGAAAGTTTCTGTCAGTCTTCAGATATAGTCAAATAAAAATATGCGTCAAATTCAATTAAATTCAATTCTTTCTTATCACGTTACAACGCGTTGCTTCATATTTTTTATGTCAAGTATATTTTCATATTTTGTACATATATGTTTATACACATTACTGTTTACGGAACAATGTTAATTATGGATTTATGGATAACTCCTCGTATAAGAGTAGAGTAAAGGGTGTTTGCCTTTGCTAATGTTTGATGGCGCCATCTGATTTAGAGTAAAATAAACCTAATACGTTGGCTCACTGTAGTGAAAATGCGCGTTGACGAAAAATTTGTCCCACGCCCCCTGGATTCCTTGTCCTAAAGCTCACTATTTAGGCGAAGTAAAATTTGTATTAGGTTGTCCAACTATAATATACTTAAACAATGGTATTGTACAAGCAGACGCATTCGCCATGTTCTAAGCCCTTAAAAAAAAGTTCAATCTACCAAAAAAAGGTCCCTGTCATATTAAATATTCGTTAGTAGTACAATTTATTTAAATAATAATGTTTTTATTAAAATCAAAATAAAATCTGATTGATCTGCCAAGTCCTAAAATCGCTAAATGCACCAGAAGATGTATAAGTACCAACCTAGCACTTGAAAACTTTACAACGTGAAAGTTCCTAAGATGTAATTTGTATTGCTTGCGTCTGCTTGCATAATATAGCACTTCAACGCCACTGCTAATTTGGTAAAACTACGTCAGGTCATCAGTTCGCCACTCACGACCCCCTTCTAGGTAAAGAAAGCGACGAAAAGACCGACGACTCCGAAGTCGAGTTCGTTAGCGAGACCAAAGTGACCCCCGAAGAAGAAAAAGAGGCCCTCAGACTCGGTTTGCCGGCCAAGTTCCTGTCGTACCGACAGCTCCCGGACTGTCAATGCGACCAGTGCAAAAAAGACGACCTCTACCTCAAAGACTTTTTCAATCAACGCCGACTCTCCAAACCCTCGAGCACCGACTCCTTATCCTGTGTCAGTGATTCTTCCAGCACCAGTTCAATCTTCGCCACCCCCAGAGGCGACATTTTGAGTTTTAAAACCGCGTCCGACGCTTCCGTGACTTCGGGTACCACCTTGAAGAGCCTCCTCAGCAAACCGTCGCTCCTAAGTACCAAAACCACTGAAGGCATTTTCTCGTCGTCGCCCGTCTTCGCTGCGACAAACAGTCCGAAGGTGTTCACGACCCCGACGACGACCACCAGTACCATTTTTGGGTCGAAATCCACCGGGAGCTTCTTCCAGACGCCGGAAAATAAGAGCGAGAGCGGAGCGTTCGCGTTCGGTTCGGGGAGCATCTTCGGGTCGACCACTTCGGTCACCAAACCCAGTATTTTCGGTTCGACTACCACGACGGCGAGTATTTTCGCTGGGTCGAAATCCACGGGTTCGATTTTCGGTACTGCACCTTCGATTTTTGGTGGTACTGTTACTACTACGACTACGAGTTCGGTGTTTGCCACACCTACTACGACGGCGTCGTTGTTCAAGGCGCCAATTTTTGGTAACAACAACAAGGTGGAGACTCCAGTGACTACGACGGCTTCGATTTTCAAGACTGGTGGAAGTATCTTTGGGGGTAGTTCTAGTACGGGGAGTATATTTGGAGGTTCGCCGGTGGTGTTCGGGAAGACTCCTGAGGCTAGTAAGACGATATTCGGGGGCGGCGATTCGTTGGCGAAGGCGGCGGAGTCCCCGATTCGACCTACTTTCGGGGCGACGAAGAGTACCGAAGCTAAGACGACGAACTTACAAGAGGATGATGCGGCGGTTCTGGATTGTAGTACCGGGGTGACTTTTGCGGCGTTGGCTGCTAAAGTGACCGTGGACGCGCTGCCGTCGTTCGTCACGGATAATAACGGTGAGTGAGTTTGGTGTTGGGTTAGGGCTGGGTACTGAACTAGATCGTAGATTCCAGTACTACTGAAACTCCGTTCGCTTTTTTGGGTGCTGGAGCCCCTGTTTTTTCGTCTCGTGGTGGCAACGATAGCAAAAGGTGTGCAGAAGAGGGACAGGAAGGGGGCGACGAGGAGTACGACCCTCACTATGACCCCATCGTGCCGCTCCCGGAAGCTATAGTGGTGTCGACTGGAGAGGAGGATGAAGAGGTCATGTTCAACGAAAGGGCGAAGTTGTTTAGGTTCGACACGGATAGCAAAGAGTGGAAGGAGAGAGGAGTCGGGCAGATGAAGATTTTGCATCACCCGGTTAACAGTAAGTGGTGGTTTATTGTGGATTTTGGAGGGTTACAGGTGGTTTTAGACACTTACAGGTTCTTGTTGAGGCGCGAACAAGTGCACAAGGTGGTACTTAATCAGTTGATCATCCCGGACTTGGAACTCCAGCCGATGAGGACGTCCGACCAGGCTTGGGTCTGGGCTGGCTACAACTACACCGACGACGATTCAGCTCTGGAGAAGCTAGCCGTCAAGTTCAAAAATTGCGACCTGGCGCAGACCTTCCGCAAGACCGTGTTAGACGTGATCGAGAAGGTGAAGAAGGTGCAGTCGGAGAAGGCCGCCGGCGACCACAAGGAGGAGCAAGCCGAGGTCAAACTCATCCCGTCGTCGATCCAGAATTTCGGCGTGGAGGAAGTGAGCGGCGACGAACAGGCGAAGGAAGCGTATGAAGAGGACGACGACGACGAGGACGAAGACGAAGATGACGACGATGATCGGTAGGTTCTCCTTTGATCACTATCAGTTAGCATTGTGAGGTTATTCAGTTGTTAATATTTAGTGTGTACTTTTAGATGTGTATTAGTTTAGCATACATTTGTTTGATGAATAAAGCACTGAAAAATGATTCTGGTTTTGGAAGTTGGCGAAACTGTGTGATTGTGAGTGTTCAGATGAAGCCTGGAACGGTTCAAACGTGAGCGTGTTCGGTGTTGTATGAGACTGTTTTGCAGCACGGTGATGTTCATGAAGCGCTGTACTCTAAGCGAGGAGATGAATGGCGAGTGGAAGGTGCTGACTCTTGGGGACCTGCAGGTGTACTATGACCCGGATCTGTACGCTGCGCGGATTTGCATTACGAACGATAGCGGGGAGATGGTGAGCAACACCTTGATCGGGGTGAACACGGTGATGCAGGTGAGTGGGTCGTCGTCGAGGAGGAGGCGGCAAACGCTGATTCTTGTGTGGCAGATCGAGAAGAACAACTGCGTGTGGAAGGCGGTGGAGTGGAGCTCGACGGACATGCGCTACCGGACCTTGAAGGCCACCTTCAGCAGCACGGCGGCCGCCCAGGAGTTCCACTGCAACTACCTGGAGGGATTGAACTACGCGCAGGAGTTCGACGTGGTGGACGAGATCCCGGGGACGACTGAAGAAGAGACTGACTTAGATCACTGAAATGTCCTTTCGGCTTGACAAATTTCCGTTGTAGATAGCTGGATTCTATGATTTCCATTAGTACGTGGTTTTGTAAGCGATTTTCTATTTTTTAAACTTGTTCCTTCTAAGATAAATTTTAATTGTAATTTTATGATAGGGCGATTTAGATTTTACGCAAATAAAATGTTACTATGACGAGAGGGGTGCTTTATTTGAGGGTTACACCGTGTAGAAGTACTTGACTGTGTACCAGTAGTAGGAGAGGAACACCCAGAAGAAGGTGCCCCAGAGGTTCTCGAACAAGGCGATGAGGTGGGTGCCGTGGTCCTTGCCGCAGTAGACGACCCAGCGCATGGGCAGGTGGCCGTACGTCATCTCGTGACCGGAGTAAAGGAGGATGGCGTTCATCCCGGCGAAGAGGAAGGGTTTGCCGGTCCACCAGTGCTTGAGGTCGATTAAGACGTAGCATACGGAAAGAAGGAAGAAGGCGAAGCAGCAGGTCACAAGCACGAAAGATATGGACCTGGAGTAATAATAATTAAATTTGTGTGTTGGCGACCATGCTAATAAGTGAATTTGACGACTAGGTGCGCAAGCGCAAACATCATAAATGTCACTTTGACAATAAAATTTTAAAAAGGTTGCCAACCTGACAAAAAATTCTCAAACAATATTATAGTCGCTAATACCAGAGGTTTTTATTGATGGGGATGACGCCGTCTTCCTTGCTGAAGGCACACAAGCCGCCCCCAACCAACCCCGTCACGACGCTCCAGGTCAGCCACCGGATCAAACGATGAGTGTGTTCTTTGTAGACCAAGAGGATAATTCCGGCTTGGACCCCGATGAAGACGTGGACGACGGAGGTGAGACACCCTGGAAATCGAAATTCGTTGCAATGGATTAATTTTGATGGAAATAAAAATACCCAGAATTCCTTCTGGATCAAACGCCTGCGTCCCCAGAAAAATCTCTTTGCTGGTGGGGTTCTGGTACATGTGTTTGCCTAGGATGACCTTGTCGATGTACCCCGTGGCTCCTCCTGTACAATTAAAGTATTTTCCGTGGTCGTGCCACCCTCCGGGACCTAAATATCCCCTGAAACAGTTTTAAAGAGTGGAGTTTTCGTTTCAAACGAAAATAAATACGTACTGAGGACATCCTTCGTCAGTCAAGAGGAACAAAAGCATGCAGTGGATGAAAAAAATCACCCCAACTACCACCCAACCCTTCCAAAGAACTAGCAAGTCGGTGAAGAATTTACCAATTTTGTGCTGAAACCACTGAGTTAGTTTTGGCGTGATTATCGTGTAAGTTATACTTTGGATTCGATGAGGTCTCGTTTCATTAGAAAGAGACAAATCGTGGTGACTACTAGGTAACAAATTCCGAAGCGCTGCAGCACTCCGAATATTCGCATGCACTCGAGGGTGGATCCCGCCCCCAGGAAAATGCCAAGACAGAAGAGTTTAATCGAGCGCTTTAAAACATTGAAGAAAATGCTCGTGTTGGATAGTTTTTTTCTGAAGCTCGACATCAACGAAATGGGAACGCAAGCCCCCATTATCCACATGAACCACGGGAAAACTAAATCGGCAAAATGTAGACCGTTCCAGCTGGCGTGTTCTAAGACTGCGAATCCTCCGGCTCCATAATTCACGAATATCATAATCACAATACTAATCCTGCATAAAATTCATTATAACTACGATTCTAACGAGTGTTCGTTATAGTTTTACCCTCTGAATGTATCCAGTGACTTAACTCTCATTTTACCACCTGATTCTTTCTCCTTTTTTTCTTTTTTCGTGACGAACTTCCTCCACAGGAAACCCGACCCGAAAATAACGAGAAACAGGGCGCAATAAATCAGAAACACGGTGAGGACGGCTACAAAGGGTGGTTAGAAGGTGTTCCAACAAGGGTGGTTACTTACGGAACGCTGTGCTAACCGCATTCTTGACTACGTCCACCGCACACCCCGATTTGGTCACGTTCACGTTGTAGATGCCAAATTCGCCGAAATCTTCACCAAACTCGCAAGTATAGTCAGCTGAGGCTTCTAAAGGTTCGGCATTTTGGGTGCTTATTCGGTATACGTTGTTGGGGGTCTGTTTAAGGATTACTCTGAGACCGTCGATGAGGATGGAATCGTCTGGCGATAGCTGTTCAAGTTTGACAAAGGGACACTTGACACAGTCTACGTGTTTTCTGTACAGCCTGTAGGTGTACGAAGGGTCGGGGATGTTAATGGAGAGGTAGGCTTCGTCCATTTTGAGCACGGACATGTCGAAACCGTTAAAGTCGTTCTCGCCATAGTCTTCGGTCCAGGATAAGTCCGTCATTGTTGCGGGTATCTGTGGGGATTTGTTATTGTTATATTACACAAGCTCTGAAATTAGCTTTAGATTGTGTCGTTATTTCGGGAATCGTCTATTTCTGTTTTAATTAATCGTGACATTTGTGCGTATAAACTGGTGGATTTTTATGAATAAAAAAATTATTTATTTTTATCGTTGTTTATGATGACTAACTCGCATTTTTCCATGACCTTGACCTTGCAGGTAATGATAGGTATAAACTGGGTAATCTACTGGTTGTGTCACGCTGGTAGGACCGCCGAGGCATGAACGGCGCTTAGTGGCAATTACAGATAAAATATCGACGTATTTGAAAAACTTCAATTACCACACGCGCGATAAAAGCGATAATATTATCATTACCGATGTAATATGTAAATACCCGCAATTAATGTTAACTGCCCGTGAACACCGTAAATATATATAGAATTTTTATTACGGCACTCCAGATATCCTCTCCCATCCTCTATCAATCTAAATATTTTCACCTACCGTACACGCGATCCACACGCTCGCCGTCCCCAGGCCCATCTGTTTTCGGCATAATAAACTTTTTCGTTTTTACTATTTTTCCTGTATTTATATTCAGCGGAGTTCGTTTTTAGTGTCTGTATCTGACGTGGAATTTGCGCGCGTTACGTGACGATGCGGATCGGCGGCTGAAAGGGGCTTCGGGGGCAGAGTCGCTGATTCCCCGAGAGGCTCCAAAAGCAACAGCTGGTCATACAGATGCTGTGTGAATTATCTTTATTGTGTTCTTCGTTGCGTAAAGCGGCCGTTATCGGTGACATCATCAACTTAATCTTTGAAGATTTTCGATTTTTTTTGCGTGGTTATTTTGGAGCTGTGGCGTGATGGAGCGATAGAGATATTGGATGTTTATTGTTATTAGTTAATTACAACGTGGTGATTATCCGAATTTGTATAGATCTGAGTGATTTATACCTACATTTTTTATAACTGGAGTTGTGCAATGCGACAACTTTATGTGAGGGTTTCAGGGATTTCTTGTGGAACGTCATGATATGAAATTGGTTCATCATTTAACTTCTTTATTGCTAGAGCACTAATGAGTGTCTATTTTTATGCCAGTTTGGGAATGTACAGTTCGTGGACTACAAAAATGCGCTTTTTCTATTTCCGAGTAATAATTTTGGAAACTCTGACTTTGAGTTTTAAGTGTAGTTTGGCACTGTCGTGAATAGCAAAGTGCCAACAAGAAAATTGGTGTTGTTTCAGTATTTTTGTCACAATCGACATAAAAATCGAAAAAAGTAATTAAATTCACGTTTGTTATCTGCGTCAGGTCAAGTCAGGTCAGGTCAGGCCAGCTGATTAATGAAAGCTACACAGAAAATTATCTAATTAATGTTTAAATTCGAGTTAAAATTTACAATCAGTTACGTTTTTCTGTCTAAAAATGTGCCAAATTGTTTAAGTATGCGATCAATAGATGATACGATGTAGATATTTATCTAAGATTCTAGGTAAGATCTTGTCAAAGTGTTTAGAAATCTTCATCTTTAATGAGGAACAGATTTTGTCTTGTCATCGACATCTTTTTAGTAGCATTTTCTAATTAAAATATTTAATAAAATAAATGTAAGGAACGCTATAATACAAAAAATGACTTTTTTGTTTGCAAAAATGTAAAAAAATAGAATTTTTAACGAGGGTTTGAACGGTTTTGAAACTTTTGAATATTATTTTTAAAGCTACGTCATTTACTACGTCTAAATGACAAAAACAAGGCGATTAAAACATAAAACTACCACTTAATGGTAGTTTTTAAAATTTTTTTGTGTGTAATTTGCCTACAAAAATAGGACAATTTGATTATAATAACACACAGGGTCATCAAAATTGACCGAGTTGGTACTACCTGTTTTAGCTGTTAAGTTTGTCAACCTTATGACAGATTTGTTCACAGAACACTCGATTTGTTACTTTATGTCGCAATTAATCCAGTGGCGCAACAAGAGAACTGCTCAAACAATTTATACCGACCCTTAAACTTTTTTCCAAACAGAAATCTAAAAAACCACGCCACTGCTTTTTGACGTTTGAAATCTGAAATTTCAAATCTAGCATCTAATATTTTTCGACAACTTAATAAACCAAATTGTTCTAGTTCAGGTTTACCAACTATTTCAATTAATTTTGGTGACCTGTTACGTTACTCCGAAATAAAAAATTCATAGATAGCGCAGTTTCTTCGAAAATACTAAAGTCACTAGATAGATTAAGTACCGCAATCCATTAGGCCCATGAGTTAGAGAGAGATATGTCAATTTTGCCCCAAAATGGTGGCGCTTTTTAGTGTCTTTTGTACATTACTAAAAGTTTACTGGTAGAAGTGGTTCAAGGACGCATTCTCTGCTACGTCACATAAATTGAGTTCTGTGGTGTGTAGCACGTGTATAATAATAAATAATAATTAGTTTATTGTTAGTTGCATTACGTATCTCCCAGCCCTTTTTATATACTTGGTCTCCCAAAACCTGGTAACTTTGGAAATTTCCAATTTTTGTTTGTTTAAAAAATAATTACCTTCTCAGCATTTACCTCCCATAATATAATATGTTGATGTCTGTTATTTTCACTATATGCCAAAGTATATAGCCCTCTTGGCTAAATATTTTTGCATTCCTTGAAAAATTCAGATTTCAGATAAATAACATTTAAATTTACCGCTTTTTTGCCCCAAAATGGAGGAGCATTGCGGTACTTAATCTATCTAGTGACTTTAGAAAATACAATTGGCAACGTTCCTAGTGTCAGTTTTACTGATTTATTCCAGTGTGAAATAACTTAAGGTTGTTTCATTTTCAATGATAGTTTTTTCCCGTTTTTAAACTTCAGATTGACAATCCATGACACGCAAAATCCCAATTTAGGGACTTTGGTTGCAAGAAGCTTTCAAATTTTGTAATACCAGTCTTAGAATAAGTCAAATATACATTTAGGGTTTTTTATCAAACTTCAACAGGTGGCGAATTTTCGATTTTGGAGTACATTTTACTTTTATAAAGTACCTAATGTTTATATGGTACTCCGAAATATTGCACCTTCACTCAAATTTTGTCGTTTATAAATAAATAAAATATCAAAAAAAAAAGAAATGACTGAGTCTGCTGGTAATACTGGATGTCACGATTGACATATCCGTCACAGATTTATTTCCGTTTCACCAACATAAACGCAAGAAAAGTTCACATTTTTATTTTTAAAGCACATACCTGCTCTGTCATTTCTGATCACGCGGTATAAGTAAAATATGTAGGACTTTCCAGTGTCCCGTTTATTATTTCCACCGATGATTCTATATGTTATGCGATGGAAAAAAAATGGAAATTAGAGTTGGCTGCGAGTTTACACTACAGTTGGCAGCTCTGCTTTATGGACTGATGTGACTCGCAATGTCAAAAGTACAACCACCTCTAGTTCTTTTGTTTTTTTTTTACGAATTAATTAGTGCAACAACATACAAACAAATTACTTGTAATAAAGGACCTGATTTAAAAAGGTGTTTTTCTATTTTATCCCTTTCCTCATTTTCATTTTTTTTTTTTTTGTTATTTATAATTAATATTTCATAAAAAATATTCCAGCATTGTCGAGTATTTGCATGTTGAAATATTTTTTCTCTATCTGTTAAAATATCCAAATTTTGTGCTGAGTGACTATGTTGGCGATCCTGGATTTTTAGTTAAAATTGGTATTATGATGTTTTCTATAATTTCCTGCTCTCAGGTGTCAATATTGACATTTTAAATCACAAAATGTATACAAAACATAACCTAAATTTATCGCATGTCACGACTGACATATCTGTCACGCAGTTACTTCCGTTCTGCCAACATAAATGCTAAAAAAGTTCACATTTTTGTTTAAAAAGTACTACCAACAGACTCAGTCATTTCTGATCACTAGGTATTGATGACTAAAGCAAATTTTTCTCTTAACAATTGGCGGTAATGAATATAATACAGATACAGACTGATCAACAAGTGCTGTTTTAGATGGTATCAATGAATTTTGCTTGAAATTGCTTCCTGTGTTTAAAATTAACATGGCTGATAGTGACGTCTCAATTTATTATTATTATTATTAAAATGTCATTACCAAACGTGACCAAACTTTCTCCATGCTGGGTACTGACTTGGTGCCTAAATTTCAAATTGGTAAGCAAGTATGCGATCATAAAATTTTGAAAATATTGCCAACGTGACAAAAAATTACAAATATTAACAGTCACTCGGTGGCTTAATTGAGTTTGTGTAATTTATATTTTCAAGATTGGTAGTCACTACAAATGTTACTGCCAAATAATAAAGAAAATAAGGCCAAAACAACGAAAATTATTTTCGTACGCAGAACAAGATTTAAATTCAAATATTACGATTTGAGATTTGTCATACAAACCGCGACAAAATTCCCCCAGATTAAAAAAAATCCAATTTTTATTTAAAAATGGAAAAAAGTAGGGACGTAGAAACTTCTTTCTTAATATACTATTAGTTGTGGTTTTGTGTTTTGTACAGATATTAATTTTAAAATAAAATAAAATAATATTTGTTGAAATTGATGGAAAGTGGTTCCGTAGCTGTGATACTAAAAGAGAAGTCAGCCTGGAATTGTCATCTGAAGAACACAACGAAATTTTAGTTTAAAAAATTGTTAAGCATAAGAAAAAAAATTGTTTTGGTTCTAGTTGTAAATAGTTGGTGACGTCACAGAAACAAAAATAGGTAGTAAAAGTATTGGAAAATGAGACTCCTAACGGATCTGCATGAAATAAATATTACTATTAATGTTATTTCTGACAATTGACGAAAATTTATTGTACGTGGAGATACTTGTACGTTAATTTTTTAATTGAACACGAACTTGTATCAGCAGCTGTTTTAAGTGCCACAACTAACCCACTTTTAAAACTAGCGAATTTTCTAGTCGGAATGTCACCACTTCATCATCACAATTTTCAAAAGCGACCTCATTACTTAAAAAAAAAACCCTCCTACAATTAAAAAAAATTCCACAACCACACTCTAGACCTACTTACTTGACCTGCTACATCCACCGAGGAAAAAACCCACCCGCACTAATAAAAACAATAAAAATATTTCGCGCTTTTGTTATTTTATATCACGGTATCGTTATCCATCAAGAGCCGATAAGATTACCAAGATAGTAGATCTGAGCGAAGAGTTTCGCCGACTGGAGATTCCATATTGCTCAGAACTGCGTCCTACAATCCCCCCTCGAGCGACTTAAGTCAATCCAAACAGTGCACTTATTTCGGCACACGGTTATCACGGCGTGCCATTATGATAACGGCCATCAAAACACGCGTTATCAATCAATCACAAGAAGTATTACAATAAGGATTAGCCAAATCCTTTAATTGAGAGTGGAGAGGGCCAACGATTTGATTGTTTTCGGAGCGACGTAATGTGTTTGTTGCAGTTATTTTATTATTATGTGACGGTGAACCAGAATCGGAGTTACGTAGGAGTGTTCTGCTTTCACTTTTAATAAGTGTACCGTGTCAGTGTAATCGGAGACACCGTTGAGAAAAGTCAAGGTGGAGATGTTGTTGTTGTTGTTGTAGCTCATTGGCTTCGGGGGTGGGGAGAACAAAACAACTACAGTTATACACTTTATTTCTGAAACACTCATCACATGAAAATACGTGCTTATTTACATATTTGAAGAGCGGGATTTGAGTCCCGAGGTTTGGCGCAAGGAGTCGTGGAAAGGACGGAGGATCGACGACTTCATGCACGAAACGTCAAACGTCCTCTAAAGTGCCTACGAGAACAACTTAGCGTCTAGGAGGCTGAAGTCCGAAACTGCACAAGATTAGGATTAATCAAACTAGGTCCATCTAACGTAACTCTACTCTGGCTTCATGCAATTAGTTGTCCATTTCTTGGCGCAGGGGGTGCGGGATGTGGTGCTGGAGCTCCAGGGGGATCATGAGACGGTCGCGCTGGAAGAATTCAGCGTTCTTGAAAAAAATAAACATTAAACAGGCCGAAATTATTTTGCCACGTTTGCTGCACCGATTAACGCGATTGCTTCTCCGAGCAGAAAGAATAAAATTCGGCGTTTCGTAAGGCTTTCTTACCAGGGCCGTGTCTTCTGGGCAAACATGTGCCGAGAGACCGTTGGTGGGCGGCGCCCGGGTCGGGGGCTGCGGCGGATGGGGTGGTATATCCAGCATGGCCGGAACGTATGTTGCTCCTGGCAAACATTTCGAGCATTGTCGGCGAAGGGCTGGTCTTTGTCGAGAGCCGCGACATCGCAGGGCGAAGCAGAGCTCACCACCCATTTCCGAGCAGAGGGACTGGTGGGGGGCGCTGGCGGAGCGCTGAAAATGCAAAGGGCGTAAAAGGTCGTAAGGTAATAAATGTAAAATAAAAAAATGTTTTGGGTTGCATTTTTCAATTCTTCAGATTTTCATTTTTTGTTTTTCGATTTGCAATTCGTCGGGGTTTCAGGTTTAAATTTTTCAGTTTTTCCATTTTCCGACTTGAGAATTTTTCAATTTTTTGTTTCGGTTTCGGTTTTCTTAATTTTTACAGTTTTCGGATTTTTGGATGTACCGATTTAAAATTTTTTGTTTTTTCATTTTAAATTTTTTCAAAAACTCAATTTACACGATTCCAACCCGGAAAATGATCATGTATTTTTCTTATTTTTTCAATGTTTCTGTTTTTAAATGTTCTGATTTTATCATTTTTCTTTTTTCAATGTGAAATTTTTAATTTTTCAAATTAATTTTTTCGGTTTTTTATTTTCTTTATTTTTCGATTTTCCAATGTTGCGATTTTATAACTTTTCCTTTCTTCAATTTTCAGATTTGTTTTTTCACTTTTCATGTTTAAATTTATCAGTTTTTCGATTTTCCAAATTTTTAGATCTTTCAGTATTTAGATTTTTCATTCAGCCTTCAACTTTTAGATTTGCAATTTTCTCTTTCGGTTTTCTATTTTCTTTTTTCGGTTTTTCAATGTTCCGATTTTCGTTTTTTCACTGTGGAATTTTAAAATTTTTTGATTTTGTAATTTTTGTTTTTTTTTTCAATTTTAGATTTTTCACTTTCATGATTTTTCAATTTCTTCTAGTTTTCATTTTAAATATGTAATAATAATGTTAATAATAATTTAAAAATCACAACCACTTTTTCAATTTCACGATTTCAGAATTTTTTCCATTTTTCAATTATTGGATTTTAAAACTTTTAAAATTTTCGACTTTTCAATTCTTCGATTTCTGCTTTTTCAATTTTTCCATTCGTCAGTTTTTTATTTCTTCAAATTTTCGATTTGCAGTTTTTTGTTTCGGTTTTTTATTTTCTTTATTTTTACAATTTTCCCATTTTTCATTGCTCCGATTTTATATTTTGTTTTTCCAATTTGAAGTTTTTGAGTTTTTCATTTCTTCAATTTTTCGATTTGCAATTTTACAAGTTTTCAATTTTTCGATTTTTCAAATTTTCATTTCTTCACTTTTTCGATTTGTAATTTTTCGTTTTGGTTTTTTATTTTCTTTATTTTTTCAACATTTCGGCTTTTCAGTGTTCAAATTTTATAATTTTTCTTTCTATGAAATTTTTCAATTTTTGGATTTTTCAAATTATCGATTTACAGTTTTCCCGGTTTTAATTTTTTTTATTTTTCGACTTTTAGATTTTTTAATTTTTCGTTTCATCAATTTTTGTTTGCAATTTTTTTATTTTCCATTTTATGTATGTAATGTAATTTAGGAATTTCATTAATTATTGGATTTTAAAACTTTTTCATTTATTCCATTTTTCCATTTTTCGCTTTTTAATTTTTTCGATTTTTCAACGCCACAGTTTTTCGACAGTTCTACTTTATTTTGACGATTCTAAAATTTTTCGATTTCACAATTTGTGGGTTTTCCATTATTTTTTTTTATTCTTTCCAATTTTTCGATTCATTAATTTTCTGGGATTTTTAAATTTCTCGATTTTTAGTTTTTCAATGTTTCAATTTTTCCTTTCTTCAGTTCTGCGGTTTGCAATTTTTCGATTTTGTAATTTTTCGTTTTTTCAGTTTTTTCTATTTTTAGTTCTTTGTTATATTTTAGTTTTTCGATTTTTAGCTTTCGAATAAAAAATCCGAAAAATTGCAAAATTGTAAAATTGAAAAATCAAAAATGAAAAGTATGAAATGAAAATTTTCAAAAATCTAAAAATTTGAAATCACGAAGTTGAAAAATTTGAAGAAACGAAAAGTCGAAAGATTAAAAATTGGGAAATTTAAAAAAGGAAAAAGTGCAAAATCGAGGAAACGAAATGTTTTGTAAAATCGAAATACCGAAAATTAAAGAAATCGGATAATTGGTAATCCAAAAATTGTAAAATTGAAAAATTTAGAAATTGAGAAATTGGGGAATTGAAAAATCAAAGATTGAAAATTTGAAAAATCGAACAAAGAAAAATGAAAAAATCGAAAAATGCATTGAAAAAATATAGAAAATGAAAAACCCAAAAATTGCGATACAAAATGAAAGAAATGAAAATACAAAAATTGGGAAAATGAAAAATAAAAATCAAGAAATTAAAAAATTGAGGAAACGAAAATTTGAAAAATCGAATTAAAAAAGGAAAAATTGTATTATCGAAAAATTGTAAAATTGTAAAACTGAAAAATTGAAGAAATGAAAAATCGAATGCTTCGAAATTGAGAAATTTACAAAATGAAAAAGTGCAAAATCGAAAAATCGAAATATTGGAAATTAAAGAAAAATCGAAGAAAGAAAAATTATGAAATTGAAAAAAAAAACATTGAAAACATAAAGGAAACAAAAAAACGAAAAATTGTGATACAAAATGGAGAAAATGAAAATACAAAAATCAAGAAAATAAAAAATAAAAATCAAAAAATTAAAAAATAAGAAACTGAAAAATCGAAAAACGAAAAATTGTATTATCGAAAAATTGCAAAATTGTGAAACTGAAAAATCAAAAATGAAAAAACGAAAAAGTATAAAATGAAAACTTTGAAAAATTTAAAAATTGGAAATCAAAAACCTGAAAAATCGAGGAAACGAAAAACGAAAAATCGAAAAATTAAACATTGAGAAACTGAAAATCAATAACTGAAAGATTCTAACATCGAAAAATTGCAAAATTGAAAAACTGCAAATCGAAAGATTGAAGAAACGAAAGATCGAAAAATTTGGAAGTAGAGAAATAAAAAAAAATCAAAGCTGAAACAGTGAGAGATTATGAAACCGAAACAGTGAAAAATGGAAAAATTGAACAATTAAAGAAAATAAAAAAAACCGAAATGCCATCAAAAAATTGTAAAATCGAAGAAAAAGGAAAAAGGAAAAATTGTAATACCAAAAAATTGGAGATAAATTTGATTTTGCGAATTTTATTTTTCCCTTAAAAGTTAAAATAAAGATGGGTATATTATGTAATTTTGAGTAAATGTAAAGAAGCATGCTACGCGTTTGTTTCAAGTGAGTTTTTCCATTACAAAATTTTGTGATGATGTCATCAACATTTTTGCAAGGACATGTAGATCAATTTGGATGGAAGCAGTGTAATACTAATAATAACAGTACCGTATTCCCAAATTTTTGGGAAAATGGAGTGAGTCGTTCTTGATTTAATTAATAAAATAAATTGTCTCATTCATTATTTTTTTTGTCACCTGTATAAGTAATTCTAGAAACTATGCAGTATTCGGTTTTGGATTTTCGAAGTTAAATTCCAAAATCTTGTTATACAATTTTAATTTTTTTTCCAAAAATCTGTATGAAAAGTCAACACGGATGCATACACCACAAGTGCAGGTGTATTTAATTTTATAAAAAAATTAACCAAGTTTTGAAACGTCGAGAAAACACGAAAGTAGCAAGTCGCCCGATGGACTCGATTACGGTGCTTCGAAAAGTAAAATATGACTAACAAATAATCTCACCAACACGCCCTAATTCGGCGAAAAGTCTTCCATTTTCTCATCAGCTCGCTAGTAATTCGAACTAAAAATTTAATTAGAGCCTTGATTGCCAGATTCTCGAGTATCCTCGACCGAAGCCGGAGCCCGGCGTCCTTGACGCACAAAAGAAAGAACATAATGCAATTTTCTTGCTAAAGGCCAAATTAAAACGCCATCAATGTTGTGTTGCTGATGGAATTTCAAGTAGACGATAAAAGCCCTTGAAGCAAGTTAAATGTTAAATGAAGGGCCGCAAAATTAGTCGGATATCCTTTTTCCTGCGACGCAAAGTGACAAAAAGTCGCCTTTATTAAATTCTTATCTCTTCCGTGCCGAAAACTTCGTTAAACTGTTTGCCTCGGCGCCGCCCGCTTTTATTAATTGTTGTTTTTTACAACAAACGGCTTATCTCGCGCCTTCCCGCTCCCCAGAAAATTATTTAAATAACGATTCGTACGATTAGGTACCTTCTCGGTGATGGCGTTCTTCTTCGAGTTGTAGCAGAACTCGCAGATCGCGATGATCACGGCGAACGCCAGCCCGCACAGCAGCACGACGAAAACGCCCCCGATGTTATCAACCCCCAGCGAATTCGCCTTCGACTCTTTTCCCTTGTCGTTCCTGCTGCACGTTTCCCCCGTATTCTTCCACCATTTGTCGTACAACATCTGAATCTCTCCCTTTTCCTGTAACTCGAGTATAGCCAGCGATATCTTATCTCTCCAGGGACTCCCCATCGGGGTGGCAATTCCGTAACCCTTCGAATCCAGCAGGCCGCCGATCTGGGTCAAATTGCAGTCACGTTGCACGATGTAGTCCAGCATGGTGGACTCCATCAGGAACGCGTAATTGCCCTCGAGGACCTTCTGGATGCCCTCTTCGTACGTGGGCACGAACACCGACGGCTTGCGGTTCTCCATGAAGCGCCACATCTTCTTGTACGTTTCGATCATGGAGTCCTAGTCGTAACATATAAAATACATTATATAAATTAGCTAAATTTTGCGGTGCGGTTTTTCGACAAATGTTTATCCGTGCACAAAGGCCTGTCTTGGAATCAAGATGCCTGCGTGTGCGGACGGAGCGGGTTTAAATATTTAGGCGGCGGTTTATGGCTTGGAGGGTGGAAATGGGGCACTTACCCTGAAAAATGTCATTGTTGAGCCGCTTTCGAGCGTTCCGTAAGGGATTTCGGTCTGGCCTGCCAGATCCTCGGCGTTCTCGATGGGGGTTATCATGCGCTCGACGGTGAGGAAGGCCGCCAGGTTGGCGGTGTACGACGAGATTATTATGAGGGTGAAGAACCACCAGATGCCCCCGACAATTCGGGTGGATGTGGCCTGATGGATGGAGTGTATTTATAAGCATTATCTCGGGGGTCGTGCGGGGGTTTTTAATGAAGAGAAATACGGGAGCTGCTTGCTATTTCGTAATGCCGCTACTTTGGGTTGGATTTTTCCGTGAGCTTTATGAGTCGTTATTTTTAACAACGACGTTGTCGGGAATATTTTTTGGGAAAAAACATCTGCATAAACGTAACTTGTTGCTTCTGAACTCATTTTAGTTGTAATGATTACTCGTCGGGAAAATTTTTCGATTATTATTATAACAGATAGGCAACCAGTAATTCACATCTAGTGTTGAATGCAACGTGATTAAAATTTTATGCATTTAATTAAACATTAAAAACAAATTACTCCCGAAATGGAACTAATTTACGCTCCAGAGCATCAGCACAAACAAAGCGTAAACAAAATTCGCAACTTTCAACATTTTCATTAAAACTGACATATAAAATGCGTCACTCGCAATGCAACATTTATTTAACCAGACTTTAACATTTTCTAGTTTTTAAAAATTCATCTCGGAAGGCAAATAAAGGCAGTGGAGATCCGAATCCAATTATAATGCATATTGTAGCATTCCGGTTGGCATCGCAATTTAATTTTATTACTTGAAGATTTACGAGGTATTATTTTAAAATGCATCGCTACTTTTCATCCGGCGCTGAATTACTGCAGCTACATACGCTATAAGAGGATAATAAATCCTCTCGAAATTACAAATCTGAAAAGAAGAGAGGTGTTCGTAGCGTATTACTGAAATATATGGTGTATTATGGCTGTGTAATAAACTGAAGTGTCGGGAAAGTTTAAACGAGTAAATCATAGAGGGCGGCGCGAAATTTTAGGGGAACTGAAAGCGCATGCGCGGAACGTGGCCACTTTTAATTGGTGGTTGAAGCGGAAAATTTAATTTTTTTGTGTTAAATAGTTGCATGTTTGTTCAACATTGTTAAAGATTTTTGTGTGCTACTTGTAACAGTTTTGAGAAAAGATTTCAAGGCTGAGAGATTTTTTTTTAAATAACTGCAACATTGTAAAACATTATTTTTAAGAAGATCAGAATTTTCAGTGAGTGACTTAAAATTAGGAAAATCACAATTTGTCAGCGTGACTTCAGAAAAACTGGGTTCTTACGAATTTTGTCTTCGAGATATTCGGGTTTAAAGTCAAATTTTTGAAATAAGTATCTCAAAATTTGCCCCATTTCATTTTGGCGATTCTGGAAAAATGATAAGGAATTTTCGAGAACATGAATCTGGAAAAAAGCTTCTGCTGGTTAAAACTAACAAAATGATTTCTTTTTGGTAATTTTCGACTGTTCCGGAAAGTCAAAAATGTCAGAAAAAAGTTTTTCGAAAAATTGAGCTTTTGACAAAGTTGTCTTAAAATCCACAAAAAAATCTGCGAGGTAGACCTCGACGAACTGAATAAACAATCCGGGAAATCTGGATGGCCAAAAATGATGAAAAAAATCACTGTTGCTTGGTAATGCAACGTTTTTCAGGAAAAATAATCCGAAGTTGATACGACAATTGGTTTCTCAAATATTTGAAGTCAAAATCCTATTTTCAAAATATCCCATAATTTGACATATTTGACTTCGGTGATTCTGGAAAAATGGTAAAAATTTTCTAAGAAACGAATCCGCATTTTTGCTTCTGAAGGTCAAAATTAATAAAATAATTTTTTTTGGTTATTTTTAATGGTATTGCGAAAAGTCAAAAATTTTAAAAAGGGTATTTCGAAAAATTGAGATTTTAGTAAAACTGTATAAAAATCCACAAAAAATTCTGGGAAATAGATCTCGTGGAGCTGAATAAAAAAATCTATAGCACTGATGTGCCGGAATCACAGTTGTAGAGGAAAGTTGAAAAATCTGGAGCAATCAGCATTTTTGTAAAGACCATATTTAAGGCAAAGCCGGAAAAACGGAATGGTTAAAAATCGTGAAAAATATGGTGGTTACATGTTACACAATAGTTCAACGTCTATTAGGGAAAATAATCCAAAGTTGACTCTGAAAAATGGTAAGAATTTTCTAAGAAACGAATCTGGAAAAAGCTTCGAGAGGTCAAAATTAACAAAATGATTTTTTTTTCGTAATATTCAACAGTGTTCCGGAAAGAGTCAAAAATTTGAAAGAAAGGGTTTTTCGAAAGATTAAACTTTTGGTAAAGTTGTCTAAAAATCCTTAAACAAATTGAGGGAAATAGATTTCGACGAATTAAATAAAAAAAATCTATAGTACTGATGTTCCCGGATCAGAATTGCAGGGCAAAGTCGAGAAATTTGGGGCAACTGTGACATTTTTGTAAAGAACATATTTAATGCAACACCGGAAAAATTGGATGGCCAAAAATTGTGAAAAAAGTCATCGTTCTGCAGTAAAAAAATGTCAGTGAGAGGTTTTTGAAATATTTGAGTCCAAAATTATATTTTTAAAGTATGTCAAAATTTGCCACATTTCAGTTTGGTAGTTCTGGAGAAATTGCAGTCATTTTCCACGAAACGAAGCCTGAAAAAGCTTCGGGAGGCCAAAATTAACAAAATGAATTTGGTAATTTTCAACGGTGTTTCGGAAAAAGGCAAAAATTTAGAGCAAAAAGTTTTTCGAAAAATTGAAAATTTAGTAAAGTTGTCTAAAAATCCACAAAAAATTCTGCGAAATAGACTTCAACGACCCGAATGAAAAAATCTATAGTATTGATGTTCCCGGAATATTGTTGCAGGGGAAAGTCGATAAATCCGGAGTAATCCGTGACATTTTTGCAAAAAACATATTTAACGCAATTCCGAAAAAACGGGATGGTCAAAAATCGTGAAAAAAATCGTGGTTAGGTAATAGTTCAATGTCAAACAGGGAAAATAATCCGAAGTTGATACGGCAATTGGTTTTTGAAATATTTGAGTTCAAAATCGTAGTTTTAAAATAAGTAAAAATTTGCCACATTTCAGTTTGGGAATTCTCGAAAAACAGTAAGAATTTTGGAAGAAATGAAGCCGGAAATAGATTCGGGAGGTTAAAAGTAACAAAATATTTTTTTTTAGTAAAAAATTTCAAAGAGGTTTTTTGAAAAATTGAGATTTTAGTAAAATTGTCAAAAAATCCACAAAAAATTCCTGACAAGTTGAATAAAAAAATCTACAGTATTGATGTTTCCGGATAACAATTGCAGGGGAAAATCGAAAAATCTGGAGCAATCCTAGCATTTTTGTAAAGAAGTTATTTAAGGCAACACCGAAAAAACTGAATAGTCAAAAATTGTGAAAAAAAAATCATGGTTACTTAGTAATGCAGCGTCTACCAGAGAAAATAATCCGAAGTTGATAGCGAGATTGGTTTTTGAAATATCTGAGTTCAAAGTTACTTTTTTAAAATAGTATCTCAAAATTTGCCACATTTCATTTTGGCGATTCTGGAAAAATATTAGGAATTTTCGACGAAATGAAATTATAAAAAGCTCTTGGAGGTGAAAATCAACAAAATTTTTTTTTTTGGCAACTTTCAGCCGCGTTCCAGAAAAGGCAAAAAATTTTATGCAAGGGTTTTTTCGAAAAATTGAGTTTTTGGCAAAGTTGTTTAAAAATCCACAAAAATTCTCGGAAATAGATCACAACGAACTGAATTAAAAAATCTATAGTATTGATGTTGCCGGATTACAGCTGGAGAGGAAAGTCGAAAAATCTGTAGCAATCGTGGTGTTTTTTTTTTTTTTAAAGAAGATATTTAACGCAACTCCGGGAAAACTAGACGGCCAAAAATTATGAAAAAAATCACGGTTACGCAGTAATGCAACTTCTCTCAGAGACTATAATCCAAAGCTGATACGGAATGTGGTTTTTGAAATATTTGAGTTCAAAATCGTATTTTTAAAATATCTCAAAATTTGCCACATTTCAGTTTGGGAATTCTGGAAAAATGGTAGGAATTTTGGAAGAAATGAAGCCGGACAAAGAATCTGGAGAATAAAAGTAAGACAAAATTTTTTTTGGTAATTTTCAGCGGTGTTTCGGAGGAAGTAAAAAATTTCAAACAAGGGTTTTTTTGAAAAATTGAGATTTTAGTAAAATTGTCTAAAAATCCACAAAAAATTCTGAGAGATAGATTCCGACAAGTTGAATAAAAAAATCTATAGTACTGATGTTTCCGGATAACAGTTGTAGGGGAAAGTCGAAAAATCCGGAGCAATCCTAGCTTTTTGGTGTGGAAATTATTTAACGCAACACCGGAAAAACTAAAACGTTAAAAATTGTGAAAAAAATCATGGTCACTTGGTAATGCAGCGTCTATCAGATAAAAGAATCCAAAAGTGATAGCGCGATTGGTTTTTGAAATATTTGAGTTCAAAATCCTGTTTTCAAAATATCTCAAAATTTGACATACATATTTTACTTTGGTGATTCTAGAAAAATTATAAGAATTTTCTGAGAAACGAATCCGGAAAAAGCTTCTGGAGATCACAATTAACAAAGTGATTTTTTTTTGGTAATTTTCAACGGTGTTTCGGAAAAACTCAAAAAGTCCAAACAAGGGTTTTTTTTTTTTGAAAAACTGATCTCTTGGTAAAGTTGTCTAAAAATCCATAAACAATTCTGGCAGATAGATCTTGACAGGCGGAATAGATCTGAAGTATTAATTTTTAAAATACCTCAAAATGAATGGAAGTATTTTCAAAATTTTAGTAGTAACTAGTAAATTTTAAGTCAGAAAAAGCAGTGTAATCCAACCTAAGTAGCGCATTACAAATAATAATAATAATGAAAAAAAACGTATATTTGATTCAAAATCTCTCCACTTATGATGCGTGGATCACAAGCCACTCCACCGCCACCCAGCCCGGCAGCGTCTCGGCCGTCCGAAGACACCATGTTGAATAAGCACCTCGTGTCGGCACGTGTGAATGTGATGAAATGGGCAGTGGACAGGTGCTTATTTAACATGCGGGTACCAAGGAGTGTGGTTTGTGATGCACGCAGTCACGAGTGCTTATCAACATGGTACCTTCGGGTTGAGGTCGGAGCCTTGCTGCATCAGCGTCCCGATCGTGAACCAGAACGAGTTGGCCAGCGAGAACTGGTTCTCGACGAGCTCGTTCTCCATGTCGCAGGGATGGGGGTTGTGCCACTCGTAGGGCGAGAACCGCGCCACCACGAACATGGTGATGGAGACCAGCACGTACGCCGACAGCACGTACAGCCAGATGTCCATCGCCAGGGGGTTCATGAACGAAAACAGCCGCGTTTGCTGGCTGGTGGGCACCTTCAAATGAGGAAAAATAAAAACAAAAACGCTTGCCGGGGCAGCGGTGGAGGGTGATAGCGGCGGCGGCCGACGCGGGGCTACCTGGGGGTTGACGCCCGACGTCTGGCGCAGGAGGGTGCCGGTGATGAACCAGAAGCTGTTGGACATGCTGAGCTGATTTACTAGGTAATTGTTCCGCTTCCAGGGCTGCGGGTAGACCCACTCGTAAGGGGTGAATCTGGCTAAGGTGAACAGGGTAAAGCTAGACATGAAAAAGGCGCCCCCTACAAAAATCCAAATGTCGTAGCCGAGGGGGTTGAGGAAGGAGAAGAAGGCCGATTCCTTGTCGGTGGGGACCTGGACAACAACAACTAATGAAACGCCGCTGCTGCTTGGTATGCGTGGTGGCTGCGGATGGTGAACGAACAACACGTCGGAGGAGAATTAAACTAAATTAAGAGTGCGTTCACTGCGTGGAATTAGTCGAAGAACAACGAAAACAATAAAGAACTAATTACGTATCATTAACATCTTTTGTGAAATGTGAAGGTTATTGTTGACAGTGCCGAAACTAGCTATAGGCCGAGTAGGCCCTTGCCTAGGGGCGCCAACGGCAAGGGGCGCCAAATTCGTCCAAAAATTATGTTGTACCAAGAATTATGTCATATTAATCTTTTTTTATTTTGAACGGAAACTCAGAAACATATTACATATTTATACATATTATCATTGTTTAAGTATATTATAGTTGGACAACCTAATACAAATTTTACTTCGCCTAAATAGTGAGCTTTAGGACAAGGAATCCAGGGGGCGTGGGACAAATTTTTCGTCAACGCGCATTTTCACTACAGTGAGCCAACGTATTAGGTTTATTTTACTCTAAATCAGATGGCGCCATCAAACATTAGCAAAGGCAAACACCCTTCACTCTGCTCTTATACGAGGAGTTATCCATAAATCCATAATTAACATTGTTCCGTAAACAGTAATGTGTATAAACATATATGTACAAAATATGAAAATATACTTGACATAAAAAATATGAAGCAACGCGTTGTAACGTGATAAGAAAGAATTGAATTTAAATGAATTTGACGCATATTTTTATTTGACTATATCTGAAGACTGACAGAAACTTTCCACGGGTTTTTAAACTGGTATAATTGTTTAGTTTTACAAGATTAAAGTAAAACAAGATTTTAAGTAAAATTTAGATTCGTGGTGTTACAAAAATATTAACACAAAATGAAAATATATGTTCAAAGTAAATAACAGAATGACATAAACTTTCGGCAAATAATTACAAGAGAGAAAAAAACGCATAAAGAATTTAAGAGGCATGTTTGTAATATCGAGTTGTTAAAGGCTGCTTTGAAGACTGTTTGTTTCTATGAAAAACAATTGCTGTTATCGGACATTTTGTTAGATTTTGTTCCAAAAATCCAAGATAACTAATTGTTTCTTGAACTAGTTTCCGTAACTTCTAAAATTTAAAAAGGATACGCCGTTCTGCTGTAATAAAATCTAGAATAAGGTCAAAATCACACTAATATTACATCTGATTTTGTTAACCACATGAATGTAATTTACATTAAAATAAGTTACAGACATTGTTTGAAATGTTTATTATAGTTCGAAAACAAGATAAAATAAATAAATAAATAAATAAAATGTGCAGTTTATAAACTTCAGAATTTTAGTATAAAAATAATCATGTTTGAAGCTTTATTTTGTCTGTTCCATTTTATTGGGTGTATTGGGCACCTCTCGGGACATAACACCGACATCAGTGCACCGACCCAACGTTCTTCAACCGATGGGATGATTTATTACTTCCGTTATGCTGGCCCTACACACAGCGATTTGGTTTTCGGATTTTCGGCTAGATCTGCACAGTTAACTCTTTGCGCACTGCACACTGACATAGAGTATTTTGTTCACGCGAGCATCAAAAACATTACGCCGAAAGCACTTCTTCAAGTGTTATTTTTTTTAAGATGTCATATTTGTTAGCGTTTCCAAAATTTTCTTCTTTGCACAGGTCAACTAATTTTTCGTAAACCGCATTTTAAAATTTTTGTTATTGTATTTTTTACTTTTTAATTTTCTAAGGCATGAAAAAATCCCTTATAGGTTCACATGCAATTTTTCGTCGCCTGAGAACTTGTTTGATCTACAAACCAAAGCACACTCAGGCCAATATCGGCTTTAAGCGATTTATCTATAAACCGATATTCGTTAGAGTTGATGTGATACACATCCACTACGAAGAACTAACCCATTTCGACCATTGGACTTTACAACGAATAAGTGAACAAAGTTCTTGAACATCTTAACGATTTAATACATAATGTTCCAGAATGACAAAATTTACATTTCAAATTGTATTATCAAATTACACTCTCCAAAATTTGTCACGAACAATGAAATGACGCAATCTCCAAATTTTACAAGAGTAAAATGGTAGTTTGGCCCCGTTTACGGTTTATGCATCCGTGTCGAGTTTTCACCTTAGACGTCAAGATTTTTGGAAAAAAAAAATCAACATTTTCCAATTTATAATGTTATGTATTTAAATTTTAAAAAGTAGAATAGTCCTGATCTTGTGATTTATACCTAAATACGCTATTGGGATTTTTCGACTTGTCGATTTCTCGATTTTTCAACTTTACATGTCTCAATTTTTCAATATTTCAATTTTGGGCTTTTCCGATTCCTCCATTCCTTAAATTTTCTATTTCTCGATTTTTTTATTTTTCGATTTCTCAATCTTACGATGTTTCAATGATACGATTTCTCAATTTTTGTCCTCTTCAATTTTACGGTTTTTAAATATTTCGATTTTTCAATTTTTCAAATTTTCACGTTTCTAAATTTTCAGTTTGCCGATTTCTAAAGTATTTTTTTTATTTGTCCATTTCTGGATTTCCTAAAGTTTCGATTTTTCACATCTTCAATTCCTCAATTTTTCGATTTTTTAAGATTACGATTTTTCAATTTTGCTTTTTTAGATTTTCGATTTCTCAATTTTCCAATTTTTTAATTTCTCAATTTTTTGAATATTTCTTTTAGTTATGAAATTTTTCAATATTTCAATTTTTCGACTTTTCGATTTTTGAATTGATGGATTTTTTTTTGATTTCTCGCTTTTTTCCTTTTTGGATTTTCATTTATTGTAAACTTTAGATTTTTCAATTCTGGGACTGTTTAATGCTTCGATTTCTCAATTTTTAAACTTTTCGATGTTTTAATATTTCATTTTTTAAAATTCTAGGTTTTTCGATATCTCGAGTTTTCAGTTCTTCTATATTTCAATTTTTCATTTTTCGATTTTTTGAATTTTAATTTTTGATTTTCCAGTTTTTCTTTTTTAAAATTTTTCGATTATTCAATTTTTTGATTTCTCAAGTTATCGAATTCAAATGTTTCGTTATTTTGATTGTTCGATTTCTCAATTTTTCAATTTTTAACTTTTCTTTTCGGCTTCCGACTCCTCAATTTCTCGATCCTCCGATTTTTCGATTTCTCGAAGTCTCAAGTTTTTGAATTTTTCGATGTTTCGATTTTTGGATTTCTCGGTTTTTCAATTTTTTTCTTTTGAGCTTTTCAATTTCTGGGTTTTCCAATTTTTCAATGCCTCGATTTTTCAATTTTTCAAATTGAATTGGATCTCTCGATTCTTCAATTTTGCGATATTTTAATTATTCATTGTTTTAAATTTTAGTTTTTTCGATTTCTCGATTTTTTGACTTTTCAGTTCTTCAGTATTTAAATTTTTGAATTTTTCAAATTTTTGAGTTAAATTTTCAGTTTTCTGATTTCTCAATTAATCTATTTTTGATTTTCCCACTTCTCAAAGTTTCGATTTTTCAGTTCTTCAATTCTTCGATTTTTCGACTTCGCTTTATTGGTTTGTCGATTTCTCAATTTTTGGATATTTCTTTCAGTTTTGATATTTTTCAATACCTCGATTCTTTCATTTTTCGACTTCTAGATTTTTCTATTTTTTATTTTTGGATTTTCAGTTTTTTGTTTTTTATTTTAATTTCTCAATTTTTCAACTTTTTCATATTTTAATTTTTAAATTTCTAGATTTTTCAGTTTCTCGAGTTTCAAGTTCTATATTTTAATTTTTTAAATTTACGAATGTTTAAATTTTTTGAGATCTCAATTCATTGAGATTCGGATGTTTCGATGTTTTGATTATTCAATCTCGCTTTATCAATTTTTTCCATATTTAAGTTTTCGATTTTGGCCTACTTCGGTTTCTCAATTTTTTGATTTTTCGACTTCTCGATTTTTCGACTCCTCGATTTTTTTTGTCTTTTGATTTTTCGATTTCTCGATGTCTCAATTTTTGAATTTTACAATGTTTCGATTTTTCGATTTGTTGGTTTTTCGATTTTTTGCTTTTCGGTTTCTCGATTTTTCGATGTTTCGATTTTGGATTTATCCGATTTTTCAATTGTCCAATTTTTTAAATTCTCGACTTCTCGATTCGTTGATTTTTCAGTTTTTCGATTATTAAATTTTAGATTTTTATTTTTATTTTTATTTTTGATTTTGTGATGTTTGGATTTCTCCATTTTTCAGTTTTAGGATATTTTAACTTTTCAGTGTTTTAAATTTTAGATTTTTCGATTTTTTAGTTCTTCAATATTTTTTTATTTTTCGAATTTTGACGTTTCTGAATTTTTAGTTTTTGGATTTCTCAATTAATCTATTTTTTTATATTCCCATTTTTCCACTTCCTAAAGTTTCGATTTTTAAGTTCTTCAGTTCTTCAATTTTTCGATTATTCAGGTTTTTGATTTTTCAATTTTTCGATTTTTTAAGGTTGCGATTTTTAGACTCTGATTTTTTTACTTTTTTGTTTCTCAATTTTTTAATTTCCTAATTTTTTGATATTTCGTTCAATTTTGTGATTTTTCAGTTTTTCGATTTCTCAATTTTAACTTTTCAATTTTTGAAATTATTAATTTTTTTCGATTTTTTGAGTTTTCAGTTCTCTATATTTCAATTTTTCAATTTTAGGAATTTTTAAATTTTCGATTGTCCAATTTTTTTTTATTTTTCGATTTTCCAATTTTTCGATCTTTCGATTTTTGAATTAACCGATTGTTCAATTTCTCGATTTTTAAATTTTAGATTTTCAAATTTTTATTTTTTTGATTTTTTTATGTTTCGATTTCTCGATTTTACAATTTTCCCATATTTGAATTTTTCAGTGTTTTAAATTTTCGATTTCGAGGATTTACTGTGTTACAGTAGTCATCAGTCATTACTCATCAAGAACGATTATTGCTGTGCGTTAAAATGCCTACATACTGATAAGCACGTCCATACAAGACACATTTAAGGCTGTTTTAGTATAATTTTTGCAATTCTAAATTTATTTCTTGATGTCTAAATCGTATATATTTAAATGGTGATGAATATTTTGTGATACAATCTTAGGATAAAATGCATTTTAGTTTCAAAAATAATATGTATTTAATGATTTGACTACTGTTAATAAAAAAAAATACGTAAGAAGATGTTCATATTGAATTAATTTGGTGTTCATAGTTTGATGATAATCCATGTTATTCTGGAGGCAAATTAGATGACTTGTTACTTATTAATTAAAGTAGTGGTCGTTTAATTTCGTATACCTTTAAAGTGGACGAAGGGACGCATATTTGTTAGCCATGCAATTCATGGATAATAGGTATACCGCGATAATATTAAATTTTTGTTACCTTAACCTTGAAACAGGTATGCACTACATATACATATATTACAGTAAAGTCTTCAACACGTACGTTTACTTATTTTGTGACTGCTCCCCGTACAACGTACTGATTAATACGTCCGTTTACTACCTTATCGACATCACGTGCTTACGGACTATTTTTACCCCCTTTCGTAAGGTACCGCCACTTCATAGTGAAGCGAGTGAGATGTAAAATATATATTCATTCTTTTGTACATGGGAAAGTGATTGTCCGTATAGGTTGTCCAACTATAAAATACTTAAACAATGATATTATATACCTATATGTATAATCTCGATTTTTTTTTCTCTTTTTTATATTTTATCATAGTATCTGTTTTGCATACTTATTAAAAAACATAAATAAAACTGTTCTGTAAAATTGCTTTTTTATGTATAGAGGAGGGGCGCCTAACACAAGGTTCGCCTATACCTAAATATTCTCTGGTTTCGGCACTGATTGTTGAAACAAAAGCGTACAAGTGTAAATGTTATTTTTGTTTATTTATTCCACATAACTACATAGTTCGAAACTAGGAGTATTAGAATTCGCTCTGGTGTGCAAACATCCATTAACTACGTTACTCGACAATGGAGTAAGTGAAGCTCGGGTGAGCACAACCAGTCAGATTGTGAAGGGCTTCAACATCGTCACGAACATCGAACAATGACCATTGTTAAGGCCACCACTAAGTCAACTATTTCGATCTGTCTAGCCGAGACGATATTTATTCAGGATTTCTCTCAACAAACACAAACACTAATAAATATCGTAATGTGTAGTTATTTTTAACAACAAAATGAGGGTGTTTCGGTTGTTCGCCAACAACGTGTAATCTACGAAAAACAAGGACGTCCATTGTGCGTTTGAAAAGCATTAAGTAAACATAGGCAACCCAGAATACATATTACATGACTCGAAATACATTTGAATGAGTCCATCCCTTTCGAAACAACGTAGCTATGAGAAAATAACGAGAATAAACGGCGGATTTCTCAAGCTATTTGAACTTTTGTCAAATATTTGGAAGGGCCTGTTCTTCCCGGGCCATGTTTTTATTCAATTTGTAGCAACAGACCGTAAATAAATGTGAAATAATGTTGTTTTAGGACAATGAAACGGGGGATTGTTATTTGTGCTTTTGTGGAACGACTTCTTTGTTTTATGCAGCTTTTGCTCCGTTTTAAAAACAACAATAAACAAGTAATCCATTTTAGTTAGGGTTTTTATTTCCTGTAGTCCATCGGGCGAGTTGCTACTTTCATGTTTTGTGCAAGCTTCATGATCCCTAGAGTACAAAAAAGGCTCTCCATATTTTTGGAAAAAATCAAAATTGTACAATAAGAATAACATCTTGCATTACAATTTTTCTATTTTACAATTATTCAATCTTTGATTGTTCGATTTTAAAATAAATATTATAATTTTCCAAAGAAGCTCGATTTGTTCGATTGTTTCCACATGTGGCTTTCAAAGACATCGCATCTCATTGCATTTTTTTTCACACTCTGGTGATTTATTCCCGCCAGGAAAATCCGTTTCGAACAATAAAACACTTCACATTTCATCACCGACCCGCGTATGATTTAAAAATGCCGGAATCCAATACGCCCGTTCGATTAAACCCTTAAAAATGAAAGCGTGACGATTCGGACGTACCTACGTACGTATCGGGAATTTGCTTACCTTAAACAGAATGCTGATCCCCAGGTTCATGAAGGGCTTCGTGAAGTCGATGACGCTCTCCCTGGCGTAGTTTATGGTCATCGATCCCACGGCCAAATCCGCTTTCTGGGTTGAAAACATAATGCAATTAATCACATCGTCTGAGCGCATGGCGGCAATTTAACGAAATTCATAAATCAGGATTTTTGGAGTTTTTCGAAAACGGGTAATTTATCTGCACCGTGTTGGGTGCATTTTTAGCAACATCGGAAATTAATAGAGATGTTGACGGCGGCGATATTTCATCCGCTCGCGGGAGAAACAAAGTTTTAATAAATCACGGCCGGATTAAGGTCTAATGTTTCAAATTTGCGAACGTTTGCTGAAGTAGTGCGAAAAAGTTGGGAGTGGTGGAGGTAGGGGAGTGAGACAAGGGCAAAGCGAAAAATGTTTTGCGACGAGTGAATGTTTGAATTTATGTCGCAAGTTTTCTATAATTCGTTCATCAATCTTTGGTTTTGCAAAGTTTTACCTAATATACCTTTATACAGCGACGGTTTTATGTTGCTGCAGAAAAAATGATTCTTTCTAAAAATCTCCTTTATTTCACTTGGTTGGTTTTCGTTATTCGCTTTAACTTATTCTGATGGAAAAATTAAACGAGCACATAATTATATAGGTTAATTAATTTTCCATTTATCGAATTGTTAATCTAAAATTATGATGTAAGGTATATAAGGAAATTTAAATTCTAGTTAGAAAGGAGCTTATCTACAATTATTTGTTAAAGAATATAGCGTTCTAGCGTTTAGATGCTCCAACTTACCCCACCGTCCTCTACTTGCTACCTTAAATAAGAAAATTACCACAAAAATTACTTCCAACATTTATGTTAGAAATTTTGCAAGGAAAATATTCGATATTTTAGCAGATTAGGTCAGGTCAGTACAATTTTAAGAAAGACAGAAAGTCAGGAAAATACAATTTTTAGGGTACAAGGAAGAAATTGTAATTATTTATAATTTTTTACAGTGAACATTGAATTTTTTACTGCATCGTGTTGTTTTTATTTTTTTCCCTTTTAGAAAGAAAATAAAAACAGAGTAAGATAAATAAAATATAGTGTTCTATTAAAATAATCGAGTAAATTTGAATTAAAAGTTAGATATATTTTTTTAAATACTCTGTATACTGTGTTTCGTGTTCTTCACGCCACAATAAAGTGTGTGCGTTATTTATTTAGTCAGCGAGCACGTTTAGATGTTATTAAAAATTACTCGTCAGTCTCTCTCAGAAACTAAATTATTTATTCACACTTTCCTGCACTTTTATATCTGCATTAAGCTAAATAACGAAGTTTAAAATGCGAACATAGCGAGCCCATTCAGGTTAAGTACTTTTTTTTGTGGTTGTGATTTTAAATACATAATTCAAGATACAAGGAAAACAAGGAAAAATAAATCTTTTACCCGACAATATTTTGGACAAGAAAAAATTATAACTATTCTCTTCGAGTTCGATATTCCAACATTTGGATGTTTCAATTTTTTGACTTTGCAATTTTTCGATTTGAAACTTCACGAGTTTTCTATTTTCAATTTTTCAGATTTTCATGTCTTCAATTAATCGATTTGCAATTTTTCGTTTCGGTTTTTTATCTTCTTTATTTTATGTTATAATTTTATAATTTGTCTTTTTATGAATGTGATTTTAGAATTTTTCTATTTCTAATTTAGTAACTTCTCGCAATTTAATTTTTTCAATTTTTCGATCTTTCAACGTTACAGTTTTCGACTTTACAATTTTGACAATTCTATATTTTTTCGATTTTACAATTTTTAGGTTTTTATATTCGATTCGTTCTTTCTTCTTTTCAATTTTTTGATTCAATATTTTTTTTACTTTAAGTTTCTCGATTTTTAGATTTTCAGTGTCTCAATTTTTCGTTTCCTAAGTTCTTTGATTTGCAATTTTTCGATTTTCCACATTTTCGATTTTTCAGTGTTATGATTTTATAATTAGTATTTTTTTAAATGTAAAATTTTTTAGTTTTCGGATTTTTAAAAATTTTTCGATTTGCAGTTTTTCGGTTTTCATGTTAAAATGTAATAATAATTATAATATAAAAGAAAAAAATCGCTTTTTCAATTTTACGATTTTAGAACTTTTCCATTTATTGTACTTTAAAACTTTTCTATTTATTCGATTTTCAATTTTTCCATGTCTAATTTAGTAAAGGTCTTGCTATTTAACTTTTCAATTTTTGATCTTGCAATGTTACAGTTTGTCGACTTTTCAATTTCGACGATTCTATAATTTTTCGATTTTACAATTTTTGTATTTTTCTATTTGATTCGTTTTTCTTCTTTCCAATTTTTCGATTGAATATTTTTTTCGACTTTTAAGTTTCTCGATTTTTAGATTTTCAATGTTCAATTTTTCGTTTCCTAAGTTCTTCGATTTGCAATTTTTCGTTTTTTTCCAATTTTTTCGTTTTTGGATTTTTAATTTTATGATTTTTTTAATTTCCGATTTTTCACTTTTCGAATCATAAAAATGGAAAAATTGCACGATTGTAAAACTGAAGAAAAATCAAAAATGGAAAAACGAACAAGTATAAAAAGAAAACTTTCAAAAATCTAAAAACTGGAAATCAAGAAATTGAAAAATTCAAGAAACAAAAATTGAAAAAAAGAAAGGTTAAAAATTGGGAAACTTAAAGATCGAAAGGTGGAAAATTGAAAAAATAAATGTTTTGTAAAATCCAAGTACCTATGGAGAATGAAAGAAATCGGAAAATCGGAAAATTGAGAAATCTAAAAGCTACCAAATTTTTGAAAAATTGTAAAATCGAGGAATTGAAAAATTGAACAAACGAAAAGAAACATTGAAAAAAAAAAGGAAATGAAGGAACGAAATTGAGAAAATGAAAATTAAAAATCCGGAAAATGAAAAACAAAAATTAAGAACTTAAAAATTGAGGAAACGAAAAAATGAAAAATCTAAAAATTAAAAATTGAGAAATTGAAAATCGAAAAATAAAAAAATATATCCAAAAACTGAGGGAACGAAAAACTGAAAAATCTGGACGTCGAAAAATTGAAAACTTGAAAAAATTCAGGTTGAGAGAACGAAAAATTATGAAACCGAAAAATGGAAAAATTGAAAAATTAAAGAAAATGAAAAAACGAATTTTAATTTTTTTAATTTTCAAACAAGAAAAACCGAAAATCAGGAAAAATAACTCTTTCTTCCGACAATTTGGGTATTTCAACTATTAATTTACAGATAATTTGTAAATTTATAAAAGGGGTCATTTTATCAAAAATTTGTCAGTAATAACAAAAAGAGAGATTATATTTTACGTTTTTCACATGGACCTCTCTGCATTTTTTTTTACTGCATTTTTTATAAATTCTTCTATATCTAAATAGAATGAAAAACATAGTACTGTGGAAAAATAAAAGATATAGTGTGCTATTAAAAAAAATCGGGTAAATTTGAATTGAAAATTAAATTTTTTATTTTTTTAAATACTCTCTACAACAAAATCTATGCTTTATTTATCCAATTAAGAGAATATTAAAATTGCGGGAGCAGCGAGCACGTTTAGGCGATATTAAAAATTACTTGTGTGTTCCTGAGAAGCTAAAATATTTAGAAGAGATTTTTTTATTTTCTAAAAAAGTCTTTTTTAAATTCTAGAGATTTATTCTTACATCAGAACCCAAACAGCTTCGTTGAGACACGTTCTTGCATACTTATATCAGAGTAAATCTGAAAAAAAGTCTAAAATGCGCGCAGCGAGCAGTTTCAGGTGTAATTAGAAAAGTATTCTTTGGTATCTCTGAGACGCTAAATTATTCAGAAAAATTGTATTGTTGTTGAAAATTTGTGTTTGAAGATTGTTTGTAATCAATATAATGTCTCTGAGATTGAAACATCCTGAACGTGCTCGCTACACTCGCATTTTGTAGGTTGATTTTTTCAGGGTATAATGGCCATTCATTTGCAAATGTTTTTATGACACTAAGTTAATAAAAAAAGAAACTTTCAGAATGCGAGTGCAGCGAGCAAATTTTCTTTTGATTTGGTCAATAAAATGGACTGGCTCAGTCATTAATTTTTTTGATTCACTTTGTATAAGTATAAAATTTTTGAAATATCAAGCCATTGCTGGTGGGGATTATAAGACAAATTTTAGTTCTTTGACGACCTACAGTAAAAATAAAGACCGAGCTTCTTGAGTATATAAGGAAGCTTCTAATTTTAGTGGAAAAATGGTGGAGGCGCCAAAATAAAAATTCCTCGGTTATTTGACCACTTATAGGAAAAACAAGGACAGATTCACGGTCCCAAAAAAAAAAATTGGTTTAGATTCTTTTTCGGAATTTTAAACTTTTGCGTAAAAATTGTGGAGTCATAGAGAAAAATTCATTTCTCTCCTATTCGACGCCGTAAGGGAAAAATAAATCCAGACAGAAACTAAACAAATTAACCTGACTTCTGAATCTGCATAACTTGAATTAGTTTTCCGCGGCAAAAAAGACGTGCTCAGAAAATTAAATCCTATTGAAAATAATCTTGTGGCTAATGAAAGTCTGACTCCTGAATTTCGATCCGCCACCTCCAAATCATCGTACACGTTTTAGTAATCAAGACACAAACGAATCTTTTAAACGGCGACTTTTTCCAAAACGACCCACAATTTCCCAACTCCGATTCCCGTTTGATTCGCTCATTAAGCAACCATTTATGCTTTAATCCCGGCAGTTTTATTATTTTCGCCGAACATCCACCTCCACAGATGTAACACGTGTCGAAAGATGACTACCGGAAATTAATTTTGGGCAATGTAAGCGATTACGGCGAAATTTTAGCGGTTCAGAGCATGGAAACTTAATGGCTTTCAATCCGGGTTATTGGTTTAGACGCATTTTCGAGCTTAATTGGTAGATTAATATTCGATTCGCGCTGCGATAAGGCCCCTCGACAAATAGACTGCGAGGATTAGCAAAAAGAAATATCGCGAGATCAGGATGTTCAGGACGCGGTGCACGCTTAGCTGCTGAAAGTGTGTATAATTTACCGGAAACAAAGCTCCGAATCTATTAACTTTTACATAA